ATATCTGAAATCTATCATAATTTCTTTAGCGTATATGCACTTTGAAATTGATGTGCATGTGGGGGCGGCATATGTATGTGTGGTTGGGTGGGCGGGGCAGCCGCAATTGATGTGGCAATATTTGCTGCACCTTGTTGGCTTCCTCAGCTACCTTTAACACACCTGCCAGCCCACTTTCAGCCACCCTCCACCCCACTTTTCCTCTCGAGGGAACACGCGTCGTATGCGCAACTTGTGCAGTTTATTGAAAAACTTGCCTAATTTATGGGTTAAAGGAGGCAATCTTTAACTTGTTCTTTGACTTTTCTAAGCAGCAACTGACAGGCAATCAAATTATGCAGAGAATGCGCACTGAAAGGCCGTAAACAAAACCCAGGGAAACGAACTCCATAAACGCAATTGAGTTAAAAGTGAGGCGAAACACTTTAATTGGGGGGAATCTCCCTCTCAATTTCAATTGAAATTGAATGCAAAACGAATTACCAAAGTGATTTACCCTGATCCATTTAACAAGTTCGCCCGGCAACGCAGACATCCTGCCAAGGGTCATGGGTCATGGCCAAACCCCTGCGATTCCGAAAGGAAAAAATCAAACAGATGTACGAGCAGCAGGATAAACAGTCATTCGAATGCTCGAGTCTCGAATTCAAGAGAACGCTTAATGGCGCAGTAATCAAAAGTCATTATGTGGAAGCCAAGGACATCATCCACATCCTTACAAAGCAGGGAAAATTACGCGTATTATGACCACAGGCGGGGAGAGTCCAGGGAAAATGAGAAAATGGGTGAGGGGAGCTTGAGTCTTTAGCCAAAAAGGGGCGCGTCCCAAAGGCCCGGCCCAGCCCTCGTTTTTCGCCCCTCTATTAATTTGTTTGTCAAGCTAGGAAACTCAAAATTTGCCACATCACGATGACTGGCCATTAAGTTTGGACCGAGGGATTCCCTGGGCAGCAACAGGGGTTGCCTTTCAGGTTAACGAAAGACGGAAAACTAACCCGCGGATTAGGCCGAACTGCACGCACAGCCAGGAAAAGCGGAAAATCTTTGGGGGAGGAGGGGGAGGACTATATCTGAGTCCAAAGGAAGGGAAGTGTCCAAGTGCAGGCGATACACATATGTATATCCTGGAACAGAATGCCAGGACACGTGCCGCGGCACAAGAAACGAGATTAGTTCGCCCAGAGGAAAAGGAAAACTAAAACAAGAAAGTGAAACACTCACAATGGAAAAACAGATCAAAGAAATATGGGATCCACCAAATCTACATCAGAAAAATTAAAAAAATCTATATTCCATTTCAAAAATAAATTGGAAATTAAAAAAGAACTGTAACCTTTTTATTATTTAAGATTTAATCAAAAATCAGGGAACGTACTGTTTTTGATTTATGTTTTAAAAATTACAAGTTTATATTATTTTTGATCTTTATTCAAAAAAAATTAAATTGGGTTAACAATTGTTTAGAATTGGTCAAAAATAGATTTAACAAATATAATACAAGTTTGATTTTCGAAAAAATCGAAACTTAAGAATATCCTTTATAATTTATTAAAATTTTTTTTTTTATAAAATTTTAGTCAAAATTTGATTTTAAAATACTTTTATAAACTATTTAGTTTATATTTTTCTAGAATATTTCCATTCTTCATTTGTTTAAAAACACTTTTTTTTAAATATCTTTTCCTAATCACCTTAATTTGAAATCTCTATAAAAATACCCCGTTGCTTTTGGAAAATACCCCCAGATAATCAAATTAATGATAGCATCATTTAGCTTTTTCCATTAAAAAGTTATAATTTTAGCATATTAAGGAATTTCACCATAAACTCAAAACCAAGAGAATTCAAAAATCGCTTTCGAAACCCCAAGTAGCCAAATCAAAAAGCAATCGGAAGAAGTTCCCAGAACTCGATGAAGCACTACCTCAATCATAATTTACCTGATAGCAACCATTAATTAACTCGTCGTAAATGAGTTCAAGGAACTTATCATCAAGGGAAACATCCCCATAATTCTACAACCAGTTCTGCGGAAAGTTGATTTGAAATATTATTTCAACAGAAAGCTGAATTGTTTTGTAATAAATTGCCAATCACTCAGTGGCCATTTGGAGGAAACCACCCATCCACCCACCGAAAGCAGCCCACTCGATTACAGTCCATGGAAAAGACCCTCTTCGTCACGGCATCAAGTATAGAACATTATTAAGTGATCCCAATCCCAAGTTCTTATGGGGATGGCGATGGTGATTTTGGCGTTGTTGTTTGTTTACCTGGCCAGCCGATTGAAATAAACTCTCGTGCAATCCTCTGAAAATAGAATTTGAGTTTGTTTTCTGTGTTGCCTGGCTGGCGGATCAGAGGAAATATCTCGGGGGTATCGGAGGATCCAAAAAGTATCTATAGTATATAATCACAAGTTCTCGTGGGCACACGACGCTACTGATGACTGGTGGCGGCGCTAACGTCACCGATCCCATCCTATATATTTATTTATTATTTTTCGGTTTGGTGAGCATTATTTATCTGGTTCTTGTGGTCGCTGCATCATCGCCACCTCAGTGACGTCACTTGGATCGCTCAACTGATCGTTGGGATCAGTGGGTGGTCATCTCATTGCGATTCTACGAAAAATTCTACGAGCGAGTGCATAATTTCTCATGATGACCTGGTTGATTGACTGTTCTCTCTCTTTTTTGTCTGCTTCTCCATGGGGAAATTTATTTATTTGTATTTAACGGGAATTGCGCCTTGTTTTTTGGCAAACGCCCCCACATAAGGCGGCGAAAAAAGAGCAATCTATAGCTCTAAAATCGACACTTGGTGAAAAGTTATAGTCCGGTGGTTCCCGTTGGTCGCGCTTTTGATGTTCTTTTGGTTCCAAACGATAAACTGACCATTTTCCGCCTTATGTTGTGATCAAATGGTTGGATAAATTAACATTTTGTGTACCGATTTGATGGATAAACAGGAGGGTTATTCAAAAGAACACGAACTTAATGGATAACAGGTGTTTGTTTTCTGAGATTTTTGGCACTAAATCGATTAGAAATTAATTTAAACTGGAATATCTTTAATTTTTTTGTAAGGTTGTGAAAATATATATATTTTTACATTTTATTTTTTTTTGTTTATACTTTTTTGAGTTGGTTTATTAATTGGTAATTAATTATTTTATTTGAAATATTTTATTATAATATTATTAAAATTAAATTAATGTAAGGGTTTGTTTCTTTTTTCTATTCTCATGATTTTGGCAATAAATCGATATTAATATAAACTCGTTTTTACTTTTTAATTTTTTTTTTTTTTAGTTATATTATTTCAATCGAATTTAAAATTTTTTTAAACTTGTGTTTGTATTTTTTTTTGTATTTTTATCATATTTCTTGTAAATTCAAAATCTAAAACAAAAAAATCACCTCATTTAAACTAATCAATTTTTATTTTCTTGTTTGTTTAATTTCATATTTCAATCGAATTTAAAGTAATGAGTTTAATCATGAATACCTCAGCTAATCAAGCACATTTTGTTTTCCATTCGATATCAAATTAAAGATCAGATTTTCCTCGTTATGTAGCCAAAGTGTTGAGGGCACTACTCAACAACTGCTGACCGCTGTCAGGTCATTAAAGCATATTTAATCGATTCCATATTCCGTTTTCCAAATACCCCCCAAAATGCCACAGGTGATGAGATGTAAAATCAGCACTTGCTCTCGCTCACCTCCGACCCATTTGAAATTCAATCCAAAACCAGCCAGGGATTTGTTTTTCAACCCATCGGATTCAGCGATTATGGGCTGATTATGGACAGGCAAAATCCGCCAACGGAAAGTTCCTCTCCATATCACATGCTCAAGTGGTAAGTCCCATCCCCTCCATCCATCATCCTCCTCCTCCTCAATCATTCACTGATTGACGTCGACAAATACAAATTAAAAGCAAGTTAATTGGCATTTTGGAAATTTTCAACAATTTCATAAAATTTTACGCCTATCATGTGTCTGCCGTTTGTTTGTTTTCACAAACACAAATAACTTGATTTCGAACACGTATTTTTGAATTATTAAGTTTTCGACGTGACGCAAAAGTAGTAAATTTCGGATGCCCAACTCGCGCTGATGGCCTGCGAACAAATGGTTACCAAATGGTTGCCAAAAATTCGAGGAGGAGGACCTCCTTCTCGGACCCTACATCCCCTACTTCAGCGATTTTTCATTCATTCCTGGCTAGCCGGTGCAAACACACAAATCAATTCAATCATCGACCCTAAATTATTCTTCACACCTCGCCTATGATGACTATAAAAACAATGAACAGACGAAACTCATTGAGTGGGAATACTTTTTTATAACAGTCGTAAAAAAACGCCGCAGGATATATTCGAGCCATCAGAAATGAGTTAAATGGCCGTCTGTTTTTAATGACTGGAAAATTCGGTTGGAAACTGGCAGATCATTGGGGTATTTTATAGATTAGCTATGATATATCTATGTGGTTGGTGGTTAAATTTATTACAAACATGAAGATGTTACAGAAACGAGCTTGTTAGATCTTTCTAAGTAATTTTCAGGAAACAAAATGATCTTCCAATTTAATGTTTGTTATAACACGAGCCTTGCAAGCATTTTCACCAGCATAAAACAATTATTAGGATATCGATTCTTAATGAATACCATTTTTCTTCCGTATAAAAATTACTCTAGAACTATTATTGCCCTCCCTAAATTAGCTAATTAACCCATAAAATTACTCCAATTAATTTAATTGTTTGAAAAATGTATGGGTCAGAATGGGTCAGTAAAAAAGGCAGGAAATTTTTGGCTAAAGTCCTATGGTAAACAATAAGTTAAAAAAGTATGCTACATATTTTTTCCAAGATAATTCCCCTAACAAAATCCGGCACACGTTACTGACCTACAATGCTGTACAATTTAATATTGGCTAGAAAAATAATTAATTCTTTGCCAGAATACACCATTCAAAGAAAATCTCAGTGGGGTGATTATCAAATTTATGTACCAGGTACATTGTACCTATATTAAACTATTAGTACAAAACAATTTCAGGTCTCCAGTTTGGAATTGCCTGCCAGGGAGAGAGGAGTTTGGGCCATGAAAATATCGCCATAGGGATTGTGTGGCTTTTGGCTCTCGCGATCGAATTCAGAGCCAATGGCCCACAGCGACTCCAAATCGTATTCCTCGCGAGCATTCGGCGAGAATATGTGCAGGGCAATGTTGCCTAATAAAAGGGATAGGAGGTATAAGTTAAGATTTAATGTTATAAGGGATTATAATGCATCCCCCGACTTACCCAAATCCATGGCCATCCAATCCCGGCTCTTTTCGCCCTCGATGCGGGGTAGAATATCGCCCTTTACTTCTCTTGATCTTGAACATGCGACGCACAAACTCCGCGGTGGTCAGCATGTGTCGATAGCTGCGGCCACTGCAAACCACGAGGTGATCCACATATTTCAGGTTCTCCGGCACATAGCAGACGAATATGTCGTCCACATTCTCCCTACGCAGCAGCTCCACCAAGTCCTCCACATCGAAGACTCCCCGAACGCCACCTGGGAATAGAGATTACATGTTTAATTCCGATTCCTCCTGGAAAATCCCTCCAGCTTACGCTTCAAATTCAGGCCATAGTAGTGATCCTGCTCCAGTTCCGAATCCTCGGGAAGCTGCTGCTGCTCCTGGTGGCGCGCCTCCTCCACATCGAAAATCTCTGTGGCCTCCTCATCGCGGAATATTTTGTACTTGTCCTGCACGCCGGCAACCAAATTCTTTCCGGGATTACCTTGAGTTTCCTCTGTCTTTTCAGGCTGTCCTGGCGGTTTGGAGAACTCGTGGTGGAAGCAGCGCAACACGGGAACACTCAGGCGCTTGTCGTGGACCAGGCGGAACACGCGGGTCAGCATTTTGTTTGAATTACGGAGGTTTTAACAATTAATTAAGTAACAAGTGGAACATTTGTTTATTCGATAATTAATGTCCGTATTATTCGATACTTCTGAAGACCGATAAACGATTGCCCACCAGGCGTAGGGTGACCATTTCAGCAACTTGCTATCTTTTAGTATTTTAATAACGGTACATTTTATTTTGAATTTTATAAGAATTTCGTTTTAAATATTAAACTTTGTTTTTTTTAAACAATTTATGGTAATAGAAATAAGTTGTACACCAACCACTGCTTCTAATTGTTTTTTAAACACCGAATACAAGTGGTTGTTAAAACTACACACCAAAATCTTGACTTTTTATAAAAATATAACATTATAAACTATGATTTAAGAACTGAACACTTATGTATGTTAATAATGCTAAACAAAAAAACTGGACAGCAGTGTAAACACAAACTGTTAACTACTTCATCAATCAGAGAACATATCTTAACACACGATCGATAAGCACCAACATCGATACATCTTGTACTAATTTTATATACTCTTATATTAAAAATCACATCACTAACCCGGTTGGTCGATATAAAAGAAACTGCACAATTCAACAACCTTGCATTTCGAGATCGCATTGTATCTTCTCAACACATCAAATCCAAAAAATGGCTGATATTGAGGAAGTCAATCTGGACAGGGGTCGCTTCAAGGTGCTCCACTTGGATAACACCAAAAGGCGGCTAATTGTCGTTTTGGAGGGTGCTCAACTAGAGACGGTCAAGGTGGGTAATTATAGATTTTATATAAAAGAAGGAAACCTAATCATAACCCACCATAGGTAAACGACACCTTTGAACTGCTCAACTGCGATGATCACGTGGAGTTTTTGCGCCAAAACCAAAGGGATCCTGCAACCTGTCGTCCGGATATCACCCTTCAGACCCTCTTGATGCTCTACGATTCTCCCCTCCATCGGGCTGGTCTTCTCCAGGTTTTCGTGCACACCGAGAAGGATGTCCTCTTCGCAGTGAATCAACAGACCCTGATTCCCCGAACCTTCAAGGGCTTTGCCCCCTTAATGGTGAAACTGCTGAACGAGGGTCAGGTTCTATCCAAGGAGGACCCCACCCAAAAGCTGTTCAGTGTGATCAAGAATCCCATTTCGGATCATCTTCCCGTGGGATGCAAGCGGTACGCCTTGAGTGCCGCCGGCAAACCGCTGCCGAATCTCCGGGATATTGTGCCAAAGGAGGAGGATGAGCCGGTGGTCATCGTGATGGGAACCTATGCCTTTGGCAACCTGAAGACCGATTTAACCGAGGAGTTCTTCTCCCTCAGCAGCTATCCACTGGCCGCGAATGACGTGTGCTCCAGACTCACCACTGCATTTGGGGATGTGTGGGGCGTGGTTCTAGTTCATCCTAATATTGTTTTTCTTAATCTTCAGAATATTTGTTTTAGAATATATATTAAATGTTTTATTAAAAAACTGCCAAAGAATATACACAATACGAAATAAACACAGAAAAAATCAAGTCTTTTGTTTGTGTAATCCATTATTATTGGCTGGTCCATAGTTCAAGGTCGTTAGGATCGGTCTGGTTGGGTTTAAAGTCCATTTCCTTACAGTTTGTATACCAATATTATCACTAACGTTAAAATAATTAAACCGAACGATAAAAAAACAGTTGATTTGAGAAGGACCTTTATAATTTATTCTGAAACATATCAAATACAATCAAAAATATTTATATGTCTATTCTGAAAATAAAAAGTTATCATACGATTTGGCGGGATTATATATTTCATTCTAAAAAAATATATTTTCTGAAGATAAAAACCGCAATAAATATAAACATTGCCAGGCACCTGTTTATATTTTTATTCATATACAGTCGCCAATATATATTCTGAAGACCAAAAACAAAAAACAACACACCGAAACTACTAGAAGCATGTGGAAAATAAGGATGAATAAATCTTGACATACTTTTCCAAGAAATTAACCACCGGCTGATTCAAAGTCTATATCCTTACAGTTTGACCCGGTTGCCCTTGGCTTGATTGTTTTTTTTCTAGTGAATGCCAATAATAACAAGTTTAAACAACACTTGTTTTACGGAAATTTAAGACTGAAAAATCCATAATCTATTTTATTTTGTTCTTTTCTATAAAAAAGGATAAAAATTAATATCACTTATAATGAAAATTTAACATCCGCATACATATTCAAATATTTTGAAAATATAACAAAATAACTTTTAGAAGTGCCATGCTAATTGGATGAATGTTTCCATTTTATTAAAATATACATTCAAGCATATGTATATATTCTGAAGATCAAAAACAATAATAATGACCACCTCACATGACCAACACGCGCCGTCCGCAGAAGAAGAAGAACTCGTCTGTCTGCCGATTCGCAAGAAAATTGTTTAATCCGACAGATCAAACTATATCGTAAATCTTCGGCGGTTATAAATATTTGATACTTGATCCAGCGGTCGTATATGCAAAAGCCGGGTTAGTGATGGTCTATTCTCAAAAGCTTTTGTTGATATCGGTGTTTTGGAAACAATCGGCAAAAAAATAAAATACTATCGAACTGTCAATATGTCAATAAAGAAAGCTACATTTTAATTATTAACCATCTTATTAACTGTGGCATGTATTTTGTTTATTATTTATTTTTACATATCCATATTTTTCCATATTTTGCGTTAAGTGTAAGCACGGTATTTTTTGTAAGTGCGTATATTTGGCGTTCAGTGTGAACACGGTATTTTTGTACGTGCCAGAACGCGCTAGTGCTGACAGGTCGGTGCAAGTGCTCCTCCGCCGCCTGGTCACTCTAGAAGTTTTCCAGAAAAAAAATTAACCAGCCGCCTGATAACCAACCAAATTAAAAGTTATTAAATCGCAACAAAACCGCAGCCAAGTGTGCACAATGAGCGAGCAGAAATCGAGTTGGAGCGAGTTTGCGCGGCTGCAAATCGAGGCGGAGTACAAGGAAAAACAGGCGGAATGGCATCGCTTCTACAAGGTAAAAATGGCAGTGGAAATTGGATTGGATTGGCAACAACACACAACTGCGATTGCAATTGCAATCGGAAAAACCTGGCGAAAATTGGATAATCGTGAAAATCGCCAGGGATCTTCTTTATACACGAAGTACACACCTTTCGCAGAGCTCCTTTGGCGGTTCGATTTCCACGAAAATGTGATGAGTGCGCAAAAGGCTTCTGCAGATGCCACCAATACCACAGCAAGCTTTCAGTGTGTGCGTGTGTTTTGTGTTTGTGTGTCTGTGTTGTTGTTGCTCCAACAGCCAGGCTTTGGTTTGGGCCAAAAACAAAAACAAAAGCCATGGAAAAAGAATGTACAAACAGATTCTCACCCATACACATGCACATGCATACACGTTTGCTCACCTGCTGCACTTTACTTTGCATTCTCTTTGGCTCACTCGTGTGTGTGTGTGTATTTGGCATATTTATGCTTGCTATATAAGCTTATACCTTTCCCCAAAAACGATTTCCTTTGACTATCAATAGAGCGTTGAGCTTTTCCGCGAATTCCGTTGCTATTCCCATTCCCGTTCCCCATTTGGCCAAATCAAATTGGAGGCGATTTCTGGGAAGAGCGCTTCGTTTGTTGTTGTTGTGATTGTTGTTGCTGGATGTGCCCCCCAAAAACAAAATATAAACTGTGTGTTCTCCACTTAAGAACTCCTCACACACACCTATACAAGGAAGACTAGGAGAGAGAGGCTCACGCACACAGGGGCACAAAGGGCATGCGTCTGGTTTTTTGAGTCTCGCTTTGGGCTGCTTCTTCCTCTTCTTCTTGTGTTGCCTGTCGGAATTGGAATCGGAATCCTCTCCTTGCCCCCTCCTCCGCTCCTCTCTTTCTGCTTTATAGCCAGTTCCGGCGAACTGTGTCTTCAGCTGCTGCTCCGCCTCTCTTCCTCCTTCTCCCCGTTCCTCTTCCAGCGCTTCCACTCACTTGAATTGGGATTTCACGGAATTCCACTCCGCAGTTAGGATGACACAGTATATGGTATACCATACACATACCCGTTTCTGGACCCTCCCTCTCCTCGGGCATCCTCGTCCATCATCATCCTTTTGTGACCGCGCCGAGGATAATCTAATTTTCCAGCTAACTGAAAAAAGGAGTCCGCTCGCAATTGTGCGTTGGCAACTGGATGGAAAAATTTCCAGCAGCCACAGGCATTTCCACTGAAATACAGTCTAGCCTGGCTAAATCCTACGCTTTTTAAAATTTGGTTTTCATAAGAACCTTTTAAAATGTAAGAATGCATAAATATTGCTCCGAATATTTTTAAAATTTCTATTAAAAGTTTAGGATTGGAAAAATTACAAAAAATTAACTAGGAAGTCTCAAATAAGTTCTTGGTATTCAATATTAAACTTTATGAAATTCATCCAAATTCGTTAATTTTTATTAGTTTCTCGGATCACGGATATTGACTCATATGTAATTTTCTGTTTATCCACGAACAGATCATGTTAAAAAAACTGGAAAGACTAATAAATACTTATAAATTATTCGTTATATTATAGTTTTAAAGTAGACATCTGCTAAAAACAATTGTCTAGTAAATTATAAAACAAATTTGCGAACATAAAGATTATTATGTTCCAAAGACAGCTTTAAGGTCATTTAAGATTAGGCGAGACGTAATTCAACGTTTTTTTATGGACTAACATTACGGAAATGGAATAATTATTAATTCACAATTAATTTTGTACTTCTTCAAAATTATGATAACAAAAATAGGGTCTTCATAAGAACTTTTAAAATTCTTTCAAATAGATAGCTTTACTGGATTTTTTTTAGATTTGCCATATGATAGCCACACATAGGATGGTTTGACTGTATGCCGAAAACGCAATGACGCATTCGGATCGTATTGTTTTGTTATGCTTTTTGCGCACCCCATGTATAATCATTTCCATTGAACGCACTCCCGTTACTGGGTTTCTCCTCCCCGCCCCTCGTGGCCCATCCTCCTGCTTATCAGCTTACACCTAGCGCCTTCTCGATCCATCCTTTCCATCATCCCACCCATTATGACAACGTCCGTCGAATGTGACGAAGCTTCTTTACATTTATATAGGGTATTAGTGGGTATTATAATCTTTACAAGGTGTTGATATCAACAGGTTATAAAATAATATTATTAAAATCATTTTTAGATATAAACCTATTTAAATCCAAGAGTTATATGTTCCGAAAAAATAATAGGTTAATTTGAAATATTTTCCTATAGGGTATATAAAATTCGGCTTACCAAAATCAACTCCCTATCTTGTTGCAATTATGCTCTACATGCAATGTTTTTGTTACTGTTTCTCGCTTGTCTTCAAGCGCTGCAATGCAAAGCAGAAAAAAATAATAACAATAAAACAGTTTGAGCGACACGCTTTGGAAATTCAAGACCCCTAGATTTCGCCATTCTTATAAGAAGAGTCACCTGGATAGCCACAGAGCATAAAAAACAGTTTGTAGCTGCGGTAAACGGCCCAAGACTTAATGTTCAATGGAGCCGAAGAACTGTTTTCTCTTTCTCAAAGAGTCAAGAGTTGGAATGCTTAAAATCAAATATCAAAGTTGGTACCCATTTAAATAAATAATAACAGGTCCAGTTCAGTGCAGAATAAATTACGCACGGGCAACAGATGGCAAATATGAATTCCGAGAAATGTCTTTATGATTAGCAAATATTTGAATAAATACCACCAGTTATCAGCGCATATTCTTCACTCACGTGACATCTTGATTATCACACGTCAAACAATTGATAATATTATAGAAAATACTTTGAATTGATGAATTTCGAGGAATGAACTGAATGCAACCCCAGTTTACTTTCCGTTTCTAAAGAATTATCAATCGATAGCAGCGATATGCCAGTAATATTCCTCTCTAAGAATTCCACCTTATCGGACATTGCCCTCCCCATCAGATTTGGAGATTACGTAAGAGTTTTGGAGTTTACAAAAGTGAATTTCATAACAGCTGATTCACTTTTGAAACATGACGAACTGACAATTAACAACTGATTTTCGAGCTGCAGGAGAAACAGTATGAAATGCCTTTTTTATTTTCACTGTCTGGTTATATATTACTCATCAACGGATTTGCAGGCATGTGATTAAGATATCCGCTGACTTTTGAGCCGAGTTTTCGGAGGAACGGCGCCATTGACCTTGTTTTCGGTGTTTAGTTTTCGATGGTTCGATTGTCCATGACACTTTACAGCTGTGCCAGCAATTATATAGACACACATATATGTACAATCGGCTGATAAAGCCGGCAAACGGTCATGCCCAAGATAATGCCATTAACGACAGCCTGGCTAATTAGTCACGCCCGCTTTGTTGGCTGGGTGGGCTCCGGTATTCGGTATTGAGTATTTGGCAAGGTTCTAGTTACCACCCAATCCCCTCACAGTCAAAGTTTGCAGCCGGAGGAGGGCTGGGCAGCCCAGAGAAGCCCCTGGTGAGTGGGCCAGGTGGTGAATCACGGCCAAGTGGGGCAACCCCTATTCTATTTGTGGGTGCCAGTTGCTAAATGCTGGTTTCTTTCGCAAAGCCAAGAGTGGAATATACTTCGCATTTATCATAACTTGGGAAATTCTGTATTTGTAATTATTTTTCTTACAATTCGTTTACTAGGAAATTGTTTGTTTCATTTCCGAGAGATACTAAATTATGAATATATCATTTTTAAGTTCTTCTCGGAATTTCATGAGTCTTAAATTTGATCTAAAAGCGAAGTTTACATGTTTAATAACTTGCTGGAATATTTTTGTATTTTTAAAGTGGCTAGAAAATTAAATACTTTGAAAATTTGTTAAACAATACGAATTAATTTAATGCTATTATTTGTTTACTTTAATTTGTATTTATCAAAGAATGCGTTGAGTCACATCTTTTGATAAACATAGTTAAATAATATAGACTTAAGGTCTTAAAAAGTGCTTAAAAATTTAAACCTTTATGATCGATTACCAAGAAACCTAAAATTTCCACAAAAATACACTTCAAACCGGGTTCAACTAGCTATTTGAATATGTGCAAACCGTTTTATTGTGCCATTAACTAATTCCCAGAAAGAATATAAATCTTCACAGTATTTTTATGGGGCATTGTATTTTAAGAATTTGCTGATTATAGGCCTAAAATTCAATTTCAAAAATTTAGAACGCCGCAATCCCTTAATTCATTGCCATCCAATCAACTGATAACTTGAAAATTCACCTCAACCTCTTGTTGTTATGGGTGGTAATTTCGATTAGACTAATCGCCTGTATTTTGGAATTCCAGGAAATTTGCGAGCGCTGCGACCGGGAGGCGAAGGAGAAACAGTTCAGCACATCGGAATCGGAGCGTCACACGAATCGCGGCCTGAATCGCTATCGGGATGTGAACCCATATGACCATTCCCGCATTGTTTTGGAGCGCGGCAGCGTGGACTACATCAATGCCAACCTGGTGAAGGTGGGTCGCGTTTATAATTTACTTTTTTACTTAATTTAACACCTGCATCGATCTCTTTCCTCAGCTGGAGCGCGCCGAGCGTCAGTATATCCTCACCCAGGGACCGCTGGTGGACACAGTGGGCCACTTCTGGCTGATGGTCTGGGAGCAAAAGTCCAAGGCGATCCTGATGCTCAACAAGCTGATGGAGAAGAAGCAGATCAAATGCCACCTCTACTGGCCCAACGAGATGGGAGCCGATAAGGCCCTCAAGCTGCCCAATGTAAAGCTCACCGTGGAGCTCGTAAAATGCGAGACCTACCAGAATTTCGTGCGCCGGTGGTTCAAGTAAGTCATCCTTAAAGATATATCTTCCTTTCTATATCATCAATTGATTCAATATCGTTATTCTTACAGACTTACCGATCTCGAAACGCAGCAGAGCCGCGAGGTGATGCAGTTCCACTACACAACATGGCCGGACTTTGGCATTCCCAGTTCGCCGAATGCATTCCTCAAGTTCTTGCAGCAGGTGCGCGACTCCGACTGCCTCAGCCGCGACGTGGGACCCGCTGTGGTGCACTGCAGCGCTGGGATTGGACGATCGGGCACCTTTTGCCTCGTGGACTGCTGCCTCGTGCTGATCGACAAGTACGGCGAGTGCAATGTGTCCAAGGTGCTGTGCGAGCTGCGCAGCTATCGCATGGGCCTAATTCAGACCGCCGACCAGCTGGACTTCTCCTACCAGGCGATCATCGAGGGCATCAAGAAGCTGCACGATCCCGTATGTATGCGCGACCAGCGGCCGGCGCTTGGGAGCCAATTTAATATTTCCCAAGGGGGCTGCCAGGCGCCGCCGTTTACATTTGGTGTCACAGAAATCTCTAGAGACTGTGACATCACTTGGCTGGGAAATATGTACTTTCTGTGCGTCACAGAGTTTCTAGAGATTTTTTATACAAATATTATTTGAATTTCTATGATTTATTTACCACAACTCTATGATTTATTATTGTTTTTGTTTTAAATTGACTGAGCAATCAAATTCAGTTTAAAAACATTCAATATTAATACTATAAACTAAATTAATTTTCAATTTCATTGATGCAAAGGAGATGGCATTGATTTTCGGTTGGTAGAGACTTCTGTGACAGCCCCGATTATTAACCCAAACTAATTGTGATTTTTTACTTCAACTTTAGGCCTTTCTCGACGCTGAGGAACCCATCATTGCAAACGACACAGACACCCACACACTGGATGAGCAGCCGCCGCCACTGCCGCCTCGCGTTGCCTCGCTCAACCTGCCGCTGGCCCCCAATTCTGGTGGCATTCTCTCGCTCAATATGCGCGCCGCCCAGGCGAATGGAGGAGCCGCCGCTGACAGTGTCATCGAAAAGCTGAGCAAGGATGCGCTTAACAACTTTATCAATCAGCACGATATGATCCACGATGCCGAGGTGGCCGACAGCCGTCCCTTGCCACCGATACCCGTGAGATCTCTGAACGAATCGGACAGCGATGAGGATTACTTGCTGGACGATGACGACGAGGAGGAGGAGGACTCGGATGAGGAGTACGAGACCATTAACGAGCACGACGCCGAGCCGGTGAATGGTCATGTGCCCCTGACGACGACGACAGCACAGCCGCATGATGACGATGTCAATGCCAACAGCGAGAAGCCAGCAGCGCCTGCCGATGAGCAGCACAAGGCCAATGGCATTGATCCCATTCCAGGCCAGCTACCAGCCAGGTAGGAAGCTTTAGCATATTTCATAATCCATCTTTCTAATCACAACACCTCTCTTATCCCTTTTCCAGCCCCGAGAACGAGCTGAAGCGGCGGAAACGCACCGAATACCAGGCCAGTCTGGAGCAGAAGGTCAACGACATCAAGCGGAAGCAGCGGGAGAACGAGGACAGCCAGCTGGCGGCAAAGAAACGAAGGTCATTACTCACATATATTGCCGCTGGTGTTGTGGTGGGCGTGATCTGCGCCTACGCATACACGAAGCTAGGATAAGTGCCCCGCCCCCGCCCCCCAGTAGCCACTAAGTAGTCGTAGAGACCAGTAGTAGCAATAGCTGTATGACGTATTTAGTTGCCGTAGGACAACACACACACACTGATCACCGATTCCTCCGACCCCCCGATTCCTGGCATTAAATGTGTGGGCACGAATCAAAAGGACGACGAGGCTCACGAGGATCGGAATTGAAATCGGTTAGGATCAGATCAGATATCGGATGGAGTCGCATCGCAATCGCAGCCCACGGATTGCGTATGGCGGATTGAGCTGAACGAATGATACACGATAAATATTAGGGAATTTTTTATATACAAAAGAAAAGATGAAACAAAAAAAAACATGCAACTAAACTAAACGAGAATCGGGTAGAAATCACGTCGAAATGTAGATTTTGCGCAATAGACTGACATTTTAGAACAAATTTATTTTCTACACTCTAACAAATGGATTGAAAACAGACCAGAAATTCCCCCTACTCGCTCGCTATGCAATAAAATCGATAATACCTTTTACAACAAACAAATTATCAACGATTCAAGCAAACAAACCCCTTTACACCCACTCACACACGCTTCACTTGTTGTTGTACAGCAATTTCTTATAGCATACGACCTATGTATATTTATTTATGAAGATTTATGAGAAACGAAACGAAACACTTGTTGTAGTAAATGGCAAACAAAAATCATATAAAGTGCAGCAACGTGCCAAAAAGAAACGAAACGAAGATTTGTATGAAAAGCCCTTCATGACTTTTAATTTTACTTTGCCAACCCGCCCCGTACTAACTTTGAATTGTTGTGTTTAGAGAAATATTCGTCTTTAAAAAGCACTTTATTGAAAAATCGAAACGAAATGCAGCGCCATTAAAGCAATAATATAATGAAAAGCAAAAATAGCACAAAGTACACCTATATCTCGTTTAACGCCTGCTTTTAAAGAGGTCTACAATCAAAATTATCCACTTCGAACCATTTGAAATCAAAATAAAGTGATTCTTTTCCAAATTGTAGCCTTGGACTTGGCTAGTTGCACACTAAATTAAATTAAAGAATATTTTACTGAGTCGCTAAGCGAAGTATAGGTGTATGATTTAATTATAACGCAGGTTTTGCCATAGCAAATCCATTTGTGTATTCGACAAACGAAGAAAGGGGAAGAAGGCGGAAGACTATCCAATGGTTTTTCCCAGTAGCGAGTAAGTGTGTAACCCCAATCCCAAGAAACATATTTATATAAACGTGTAGCGTGAGAGGCGCAAAAAAGGAATTATTTTTTATATGTGTAACCCACAATTTAACGAAAATTCAAGTAACCACCCACGAAACACGAAGAGAATGAAATCGGATGAGCCGCCAAGGAGGATAACTAATAAACGAAAATACATATTTATATTAATTATATTTAACAGTAACGAGTAAAAAGTAACAACATGAACAATACCTATAGTAATGCCTAGTTAACTGAACGTCGGCTAAGTACACCATCCATACACTGAAACAAATCGAAAAAAACACCACACAACACAAACCAACACAAGTACTATATATATACGATGCCTATGAGAGGAGGAAAAGAGAAGTGAGAGAAAGTATTCAAATAAAGCTAATCATTTAAGACACGAAAACTGCGAACCGCTTGCACTCGGCGTATTTCTTACTGTCATTCATAACATATTTTCATCTCTCTGTTTTCAGACGCGAAAATCGACACAAAAAGTCCAAGACAAAGTAACAGCACCGCCCATCCAGTCCAGCACCAACACAAAGAAACAAATCTAACATATCATTTCGCATTACTGTAGCTTCTAATGCCAAAATAAATGTTTTTGAAATTAAAAACCAATTTCAAAGTGTAACGCTCATTTATCGATTAAAATGATCGAACTGAACAGATGTTATGTAACAGCAATGAGTTGCTTAGCAGAATGTTAGATTTGTTGCGGTTTTGGTACTTTTTAGTATATTTGCTAGCTGTTGACTGGTAACCCTACTGTTATGTAACAGAGCCCTGTTAGGTTCGATAACTGTCACTTTGCAGCCCTGAAAACAGCTATAAAAAAAAACGTGCGCACGTTTCACTATTTGTCGTTTGCTTTTGCTTGGTTTTATTGGATAAGTGACTTAAAACATGGCCAGTAAAGCCAAAAAGGAGGTGGTTTGCGACCACTGCCATGATGGGTACGAGGCCAAGATGATTTTCACCGCCCAGAAGTCGTTTGTGGGCACCAAAATGGTAGACATACTGGAGGCCATCACCCACAAGAGCGTGAGTTTGAAAGAGCGGCATTCCGATTTCCCTTTCTTATCACCTAACTTCCTGACCTCTTTAGATCCCACCAAATACGCCCATTAAGATATGCTTCATCTGCGCCTCGGGCTTCATGTCCACTACCGCCTTGATAGAGAAGGTCCGTGAAACGGTGGACAGGATTCTGGCGGCGCCCGCCAAGAAGGGCAAGGTGTCCAAAAAGGAGCAACAGGAGGCAGTGGATCAGGAATCCTCCGAAGAACCAGCCACTGAGATCGTGGACCTCACTGCGGAGGCGGAGAAGAAGAAGACGCCGGCCAAGAAGAACACCACCATCCGCCAGCGCAGCAAATCCGTGGCCTTCCTGCCCGACAGCCCCGCGATTTCGGCGCTCACAGAACCCAATACCATCGACAAGGCTCTCACAGGACTCAATGCCATGGCGGCTTCACCGAAGAAGATCCAAAAGACGCCCAAAAAGCAGGCTATCACAGCTTCGCCGAAGAAACTGGAGGGTAAAAACCAACTATCCCTCACGCTGGAGGATAATCTCAACGATTCCGTGAAGCTGACGCCCGCCACGAATGTCTCGGCCACGAAGAAGGTGTTCATAAATCTCTTTGGCAACGGCGATGATGATGCCATGGCCAGGGAAATTCAGACCGAGAGCGAGGAGGAAAAGGAGGAGGAGGGAGCCGTGGAATGTACACCCATTACCATAAACTTGAACAGTTTCCAGTGCCCCGAGTGCGAGTTCCACTCCAAGTACGGCAATCAGATGAAGGAGCACCTGCAGAAGGAGCATGGCCATCAGCGGCCTCGCATATACAAGTGCACCCACTGCACCAAGGCTTTCGGCGTGCTGAAGACCTTCCGGGATCATTTGCGGGACGTCCACAAGCGCATCCTACAAAGCGAGGTTGCGGTGAAGGAGAAAGTCAAGGGAAAGGAGTCGGAGGCCAAGCAGAAGGTGGAACCAAAGGTAAAAGAGCAGAAGCCAAAGGTGTCCGGGACTCAAAAGCCAAAGGAAGTGAAGTCGAAGGTCAAGAAGGCAGAAAAGGCAGCGGAGAACAAAGTCTAAGGAGAGTCCAGAAGCAGAAGAACCTTTTGTTAGCCAGGAGAAAGCAGAAAAGACCCCGCAGCCCAAAAACGCCTCCTTAAAATCCAAAGAAAGGCCAAACAAGTCCATAGAGCAACCGGTTTTCAGCCAGGAGAGTGCCGATGAGACCGCGGGGCCCAAAGTAGCCTCCTTCAAGGCCCTCAACGAATCCCTAATGAGGAAGAGGATGCTGGGGAACGTGCACGACTCTGAATACACATTTGCCATCAACGGATCAAGTGCCTCCACTCCCAGGGCGGAACTGGCCAATTTCCAGTGTGAGATTTGCGATTGTGAGTTAACAACCGCCAAGCAGATGCAGGAGCACATGAAGACCGCCCACGGCATTGACAAACCGAAGGTGTTCAAGTGTAACGTCTGCGAAAAGAGCCTCACTACCAAGCAGTCGCTGAAAACCCACTTGGCCACTCTTCACAACGAGGGCGATGAGCTGGGCAAGTCCAGCAAGCGCAAGATTCTGCAGGAAGAGGATGAGGACGTGGATATTGAGGGTAGTTTTCAAGAGCAGAACGACACTATCGACGATGACGAAGACGAGGGGCCGGCGGAGGAAAAGATTGAAAGGGAAACATCGCGGAAAGATGCCTCCTTAAAGGATGGACTTATGTCTGCACCTCAGTCGCCCGTGAAGAAGCCAAAGAAAGCAAAAAACAGCTTTGTAGACCTTTCAAACGTCACCATGAATGGTGGAACCCCTTCGAAGGCAGACAAACGCAAGAAGCAAGAGAAGTTCGAGGACACAGCCTCTTCTTCCGATATAATACTGCTGGATGAGATAAACCACAATGTGAAGCCGCACAAGAAGGCTCGCCTAGAGTCCATTGGCGGCGACTCGACGGCCGACGAGTCCATACTCAGCTGCAAGGAGTGCGGCAAGTTTGTCAACTCGCGTCAACGTCTGGAGCTGCACATCCAGAAGAAGCACTCCTCCGAACTGAAGTGTCCCACGTGCCAGGACGTCTTCACCAAGCAGCTGGACTACGTGAGCCACTTCTCCGATTGTGTGGTCCTGAGTGGATTGCCCTGCGGCGTGGCCAAATGCAAGAAGTCCTTCACGGAGGCCAACTTCCTGAGCTCCCACCTGCGGAAGCGCCACCACTTGGTCTAGGCTCCATTTTATTCGTTTTTTCACATCCATCTTGACCACTTTAGTTTTACGTTAGGTTATTGATTAGCTCATGTATCATGGAGTACATTTGTTTGTATTTTCTTAAGGCTTTTACACACTTTTAACTGAGCTGAAAACTGAAATGCAATGTATAACCCAGTTTATACCTTTACCAATTTTTGACTATTGAATAACTTTGGGACACTATCACAAATTTAAATCTATAAGACTAAAAAACCTCAGTCGGAATTACACGTAAGTACGCGTACTTCACAAGAGTATGTAAATTAATTAAGTTGTGAAACATTATTTTGTATGGAACAATAAACTGTTAATAAAAATGTCAAGTGACTACGATATATACAAAAACAGCTTTAGTTCAGCTTTCTTATACATTTATTTGTCATATTCCCCAAACAAAAACAAAACTAAAATAGCGTGTACGCGGAAACCAACAAGATTCGCCTAGGAGAGCACAAGGATTGAATACGATACAGATGTTAAATCTGGGGATTCTCCGCAGGAGTTCAACAACGTGGGTGAAATGAAAACAATATTGTCTAGTTACACTTTTCTACTTAATGTAAACGATGATGTGGTAATGGAAGGTGGGAGAAGTTGGCTTCAAGACGTGGCCACCTTGCCGTGAATCTCCGCCTGGGCCACCTTCATCACCTCGAGGGCTCCCCGCTTGATGAGGTCCTCGGCCAGCGTCTTGCCCAACTGGTTGGCCCGCTCGTAGATCCCCCGACTGTGGCAGGCGTGCTGAAAGAGGCCGCAGAACAGGTTCTCCACATCCTCGATGAGCACCGATTGCTGCGGCGTTGGCTGCTCCTCGTCGGCATAGTCGAACATCTGCACCGTCTTCTGTAGGAACGGGCACTTGGCCTGGGTAGTAGTGTTTCCATTATCCTTGGTTGCCGGCGCCTCTAGACCGCTGCCCTGATGCATCGCCGCAAATGGGCACTTGGAGGAGGTGGCCACGTTGTCCAGTTCATCGCCTACGCTGCTGGCATTGCTGGCCCGGCTGCTCGGTGGCGTGGGCAGAATGGAGGCAGGTGGAGGTGCTGCTCCTGCTACTCCTCCCGTCACTGGACACTTGCCCGCCTGGGCATAAGACACCTTGATCTCCTTGTTGACATACGGACACTCGCCCATAAAGTCCTGGCCCACGGGCATCTGTAGCGGGCAGTGGGCAGCTACATTATCATTATTTGCGCTGCAGGAGTCACCGGATTCTGCGGGTGCCTTGTGCGCCACTGGACACTGACCCATCACTTCCTGGCCGGCCACCAAACGCAGCGGGCATTGCCGTGGAGTGGTTGTTGCATTGGCATTGCTGTTTGTTGTATCCGCATCGCCACCACCGATTCCCGTAGCACTTGGATTGCCCAGCACCGGGCACTGACTGGCCAGTTCCGAGAGCTGCGCCACACTGTAGCCGGAGAGAGCCTCGCAGGCGGCCACATCCTCGCAGATCACCGGCGGGCTGCCCCGCTGGCGCGGACTGCTTGAGTTTGAGTTCGAATCCGATCCCGAGGAGCTGTCGTTGCCATTGCGGGCACGCTTTGTAGCTGGCGGCGAATCGCAGCTGCTGCTGTTGTTGTTATCCTCCTGCGCTTGCTGGGCTCCTCGCTTCCGCTGCTCCACCTGATCCACCACCGTTTTCTGCTCATTTAAGGCACAAGCCAGGTGATTCCGTATCTCAATGGCGCCATCCAGACTCCAAACAGCGCCGGTCAGCGAGAGTCCCACCTCCTGGCTGTTTCCATTCAGGGGTTCACCCTTTAGTTTACTCTCAACTGCCACGGGGGCAGAGCAACCACCGCCGAGGGTCTTCAGGAAGCTCCTTTCGGCCAGGATGCGGCACGTTGTATTGAGGCACATTAGTTTCTGCAGCATGGCCAGCACCTGGTCGTCATTGGCGCGGCACTCCACCGCCAGAGCGCCTTGGCCGACGGCATAGAGCAAGTCGGTGGGCTCCAGCACCTGGCTGATGCGGCTCATCCAGCCCATTCGCACCAGGCCTGCCTGGGCGAGAATGATGCCGGAGAACTTGGAGTCAGCGGCATCCAGTTTGGCCAATCGGGTGTTTAGATTGCCGCGAATATCGCACACGGTCAAGTGGGGATACATACGGCGGATCTGAGCCGTGCGACGGAGAGAGGAGGTTCCTGAAGAGGGTATTAATTAGTAAATAGAATTTATTACAATTTAATTATATATTACTCACCTATCACACTGCCCTTGGGAAGCGAGGCTATCGTGTGCCCCTTGAAATTCTCCCGCAGCACCAGTGCATCCCGAGCATCTTCTCGCTCCAGAACGGCTCCGATGGCCATTCCAGTAGGCAGTGCCGTGGGCAGATCCTTGAGAGAGTGCACCACAAAGTCTACGCCTCCGTTGCGCAGCGCATCCTCGAGGTCGCGGGTAAACAGGCTCTTCTCGCCAATCTTGGGCAGGGAAACGTTCAGCACACGATCGCCAAAAGTGGACATGGTGTCTGTAAGAATAAAAACAATAGGGTATTTTTAGTAATCCAAAGTTTACAAGGTTTAAACTACATTATTTCAAGTGTTTTTTATATTTGTAAATATTTTACTTTGAAAGGTAGTTGCATATTTGCTATCATAATGATTTAATTCCTGTTAAATTTCTTTATAATTTTAAATTGATTGTTTAAAAATGATAGAATAGTAATAGTTACCAACTATCTGTATCCAAACCCATTTGAAAGTCCCGAAATTAAGTATATATAAAGGAACATCTTAACTTGATCAACTTGTAAAAAAATTTCTAATAAATACTTTATTTCATTTACTTTTTAAAATTGTGTAAATATAATACTTTGATAAGTAGTTGCTAATTTGCTATAATGATTTTATTCCTGTTAAATTTCTTTATCATTTTAAACTAATTGTTTAGAAATTCATTTCAAGGTATTTTTAATAATCCACTGCTTACAATATTTAAATTACTTTATTACGTTTGCTTTTTTAAGCTTTGTAAATATTTTACTATGATAAGTAGTTGCTAATTTCATGGCTTTTAGATGTAATTGTTATAAATGTTTTTATTTCAATATTAAAACGAGTATCTTGAAAGCAAAACATCTTAAATTGATCATTTTGGGGGCGGGGTTCCTATAATTGCAGTAAGTTATGTCATCATCACCTGATAAGGGACCCAGTAGCACCCCAAGTATCTTGACTTTACGACAGCAATCAAGCGAGACATGCAAACGGAATATATCTCCCCAACTTCCCCTTCTTTCATTTCGGACACGCAACGATAATGTCTTTTCCAAATGTTTTGCTTATCGGAACGGGGAATACAATTTGAATAAATGTCCATATCAAAAGAGGATATTGCGTGCGAGGTGTTGAATAAAGCACTTGCTGAATTTCATTTTAATGGAATATCGATAGGGCAAGTGAACTCTAAGTAATCCAAGTAGATTACGTTTGTTCGTGCTCGCCATGCTAAAACCATAAATCAAACTGACTCATCGTGAGTGCTTCTAAAAATATTTCCAAAAACTCTCCAATCTTATCGGGTTCAAAGGTACTCAAACATGCCTGTTTAAATACAATTTCAACTGATTTCCCTATTATTTCAACAGCAAGCGTAAAACTAATCGGAAATATTTACGTTATCGGTGGCAGAACGGCAGTGATCAGATAAACTGATCAGAGATATCATATCATCCAAACAAAAAATGCTCACGTAATGGCAAAGCGCATAAGTATGTCTACAACAGTCGGCATACAAATGGAACTAAAATTTAAAGATTAAATAATTTGTAAAACAAAAACATTTCAAATATTTTGTAAAATTTGTTTGTTTTATTAAAATGTAATTAATTGTTTTGAGCACTTTTTAAAAGTGAGTTTGAATTTGTAGTATAAACTTGATAATTGATATTTATTTTGATTCATTTTAATGGAAGATATATCATTAATTAAGTAGTAATTTTATATCTTGACAAACCAGTTTAGTTAGTTATGAAAGTAATAATCATTTTCAGACCTATTTAATTACCCTCCACTGTATGTTTGTATGTGTGATATAACATTTTTCGGCATTCCCTAATCTCGAGAGCAACAAAAACAACAATAGGCATTGACATTGAGCAAACTTTGCCAAAATGGCACGTGAGTGGGAAAGAGATGACGAAAGATGGAGAGAGCCGAGGAAATACAGAAGAAACAGAGATATGTATACAAAATAATACCGATCATATGCAATCCCATTTAAACGATCGTAATATTTTTGTTTTTGACCACTATCATTTAAAAAAGTGAGATAAGCCCCATGGTTCCAGCTGGAATTTCCACGAGTCATGCTTCGCTTCCAGTTTCTTAAACCTCTTTATGCAGCGTGAGTTGACTGTTTGCCTGGAAGGGCGGCTTCCAGTGCCTGTTAACGCGGCATGAGTTTCCAATTTCCCCCTTCCAGTCCCAGCCCCCATATTCCAATTCCAGTATTTATGTTTACCCCCCGACTTTCACTTACGGATCTCGAATTTCTGCTTGGGATATAGCTTCTGCAGTCGGCCGATGACATGTTTGGTCTGAATCAGAGCCAGCTGTAAAGAGGGGATATCAATTAATTGATTAATAGAGTGTCCATTAAATGCTAAATGCAAATGAACCGAATGAAAAGGAGCGAGAGAGAGTGGGGCACTCAGCTGGCAAATAAGTCAAGTAATTTCAATTTTAAATGCCAGCGGCACACAGGTGGCCTTCGTTTCAAGCACGATCAAAGGTGGCTCGGTGCAATTAACACAAAAATTATTAAAAAGCACCAGCTTAAAATCAAGTTTTTTGGAACCGAGAGATCAAGAGAGCGATGGCCAAATAAAAAGTATCAAGCCACAGAAAAACAAGTACAGTGCGGGCACGATAATGTAAAAATATGTACTTAGATTTTACAACATATTAAAATATTTAATGGCTTTATTTTATTTAAGGAGGCCTTTTTACATTTGACCTATAAAAGTTTGGTACTATTTTTAATTAACTTCTTTTTTTCGAGTGTGCACTGTATAAGTTTGGCCTCTCTCTTTCTCTCTCAGTCCCCCCGCAAAAGTGCGTGTTGTTGCTATTGCGAATTGTGTAACAGTAAAGTAACCAAAAAGCAGAGCAAGTACAACAACTACAACTACACCGTGCGGAGAGCAACAAGTATTGCACTTAAGGGGGAGGGAAGGAGAGAGCCAGAGCCCACGAAATGTGATTGAAATTCAAATGCAGCATTCCAATTCGATTCAAAAGCGGATGTATGCACATAAATTTAGATTCTTACCTCGCTCTTTCGCGATCCAACGCGAATAACCTTTTCCTGCGCCGACATTATGACCGACTTAAAGTCTCGCTAATCAGTATTGCACAATAATGGTTTATGCTAGGTTATTTGTTCGTTGTTTTTGGTGCTTCTGGTGCAAAGTGAAAGTGTGCGCGAGAAGGACAGCTTTCGGGGTCACGTTGGCAGCCAGTTAGAGACGCGAGTGCAAGGGAGAAGGAAGAGAGCCCGGATGAACGATGAATGAAAAGGTAAATGCACGCACTATTCAAGACACATTTTGAAGTTATTGTCACGTTGGCTTTGTACTATCGGTAGCTAATCCCAATCCGTAAGATCTTTCCAAAATTTAGCTGCTGGCCGATACTACGACCGAGCAAAAAGCAAAAAGTGAATGATAAGTATGACCGCGGGCGGACTGTTAAAATATACAAAGGTGGGAGGGTTGCCTAGTGCATGGAGACACTTTGGGGCTAACGCTAGATCACTTAAAAAATACTGACAGCAATTTAAAATTAAGAACAAATGTTTAAAAAACTGGGAAATTTTATATAAAATAATTTACGATTTTTGAAGTTATTTAAAAGTCTGTTTCTATTGCATTATAAATGCACAAAGAATTTTGTGTATGCCACTCCATTTAAACATACATTTTGTAGGCTTTAAAAACTTATTGTCTTACTTTTCAATCTATTTTAAATTGGCTAAGGTATGAGGTATGTTCCTTTTTTAAATAAAGCCTTGTAAGCCTTAAATAAGACTCTATTATAAAACACAGGCTTTAAAATCGAGAATCAATAAATCAAGTTATTAAACAATAAATCACAAATTATTCTTATTGAAAACTATTTATAATTTAAAATAAATTAACGGAAAAATACCACTACTACATAATGCCAACTTGGCAACTCCAGAACTCATTGAAGGCAAAATAAAAACAAAGAAGAAATCGTTAATCGATATCAAAAGGCTTAAAAAGAAAAACAAAAGGATTTTAAATGTTTCTGGTAAGAAATTAGCAATATTGCACAAAATACTTGTTTATAACCTTCTCCCATACCCACCAGTTCATCAGCCGTCCCACGCGGACGCTGGGCAACCGGATGCAGGCGGTTCGCGAGCGCCTGGGCCCGGATTTGGCCGACCAGCTGGACGCACTGCATCGGAATGTGATGCGCACGGGGCTGGTGTCCACGCAGGAGCTGGAGGAGGCGTTCCGCAAGACGCGCGACAGGGACCACAACCAGAACCGCCTGAATCTGCTCTGGCTGCTGGGCATCGTCTTCTTCATCTTGGTGGCCACGCCGGTCTTCTACGAGACCATCTCGTTCCTGCTCGGCGTGCGCTGCTTCCTGCCCAACAACTACCTCGTCTGGGAGGCCACGCGGCCCATCAGCGACTGTGAGTTTTGCAAGGGAGTTCGCGGTCCGCTTATCCTGGCCAATCTCACCATGGAGGAGTTCGCCCCGCACGCCTACTCCTCGCTGCCCATCATCGTGAAGCGGGCGGTGGCCCACTGGCCAGCCCAGAAGGAGCTCAGCTTCGCCTACATCAAGGAGCTGTACGAGAGTGTCCCGGGCGCCATGGACTCGGACTGCCAGTTCCTGCACTTTAACTCTGATCTCAAGACGCTCAAGGATGTGCTCGCCATGTCCACGGAGCGCTCGAATCTCAGCCAGGGAGTGCCCTGGTTCGTCGGCTGGAGTGTCTGTCAGCCGGCTGTCCTGGCGGAGCTGAGGAAGCTGTATCCCCGCCCGCATTTCCTGCCCGTCGATGCCGAAATGCCGCACACGGACTTTATTTTGATGGGCTACGAGCAGGGAGCCGTGATGCATGTGGGTCTCTAGCTAAGTAAGCACCTAAACCAAATGCTAATTTCTTTGTTTTCCTTTTCAGTTGGACTACATTCCCCGCCTGATGTGGCAGGCCCAGTTGAGGGGCAACAAGAGCTGGTTTTTGGCCCCCGCCCCCGAGTGCGACCACCAGTGCCAGCCCTTCTCCTTCTACGTGGAGCCCGGGGACGCCGTTCTGGTGGACACGCGCATCTGGTACCATGCCAACACCATTCCCAAGGGCCAGTTTTCGCTCACTGTCCAGTCGGAGTATGGATGACTGAGAATTGAATAAAGCCTGATCTATTAGTTAAGCTATGTAATATTAATTTAATTATTTGTCGGAATATTGAAAAAATAGTTCTTCTTCAGACCAGGTATCTCGACAATTTGTTAAATTTATAGTACCGCCAAGAACCTTGAATTTTTATCGGAAATTTCCGATAGCTTTTCGATTTTTATAAGCAGTTTTCCCACTTTTTCGATTTTTACAAGCAGTACATTCAAAACTAAGTTATCGAAAATAAGGAAATAAATAAGTAAAATGGAAAACAGCGTAGATTTCAGCAGGATTTCGTCCAAATTGTACCAGAAATATCCGCAGCATGTGCGGAACCTGAAGGACGTCTGCGTCTCCAAGACGGTGATGAAGCCGGGCGCCTTCTTCGACAGCCTGCAGCAGATGATGGAGGAGGAGGCGGCGGCCACGACGCCCGCCAAGGAAATGGGCTCAGTGGCGGAATATGCGGAGCTCTTCCGAACCCTCGAGGATTATCCGGCCAATCTGCAGCGGATGCCCAAGAAGCGGGAGCTGCAGCGCACCAACTCGACGATCCTGCGTGGAGGAGGAGGAGCGGAGGACTCCTCGGTGGCCATGGCCATGAACATCTCGAATGTCTCGCTCAGCCTGACGCGTCTAGAGGAGCAGCGCAGTGCCGTGGATGTGTACAACGACTTCAAGGCCTTCCAGCGCAAGCTGGCCAAGATCTACGACGAGGCCGCCGCCCTGGACACCACGGAATCCATATACAAACAGAAGCTATCGCAGCTGCACGGCTTTGCCCAGCAGCTGGAGAAGCTGATGCCCAGCGGCGCCGAGTCCCCGCCGGATGCTTTTACGCCGGAGGAGCAGGAGAAGCTAATGACCATTGCGGAGAACATGGAGCAGCTGAACTATCTGCGCTCCAACAGCCTCCAGCTGCCCAATCCCAGCGAGATTCTGGCCAACGGAAGTCTGGCCGCCCGCCTGGAGATGTTAGTCGAGGTGCTTACTTACACGCTCCTCCAGATTAGCAGCTATAACATGGCCTTAATCTGATTAAATTTAATTTATTAGAAAATGTAACAGCATGAATTATATATAAAGATTAAAAGATCCTATAGATTAGGGCGACTCATCGCTGACTTCCCGCTCCTCCTGGGAGCTCCTCATCTGGCCCACGGTGTCGTAGAGGGCCACCAGTTTCCTCACAGAGCTGCCCAGGTGCTCCACGCGATGCCGGTAGGCCAGACAGCCGTCCAAAGCGCTGAAGGCCTCCTCCCGCTGGTCGCTGCTCCGCATCAGCAGCTTAAAGTTCTCCAGGATCTTGGAAAGCGACATCTCCTCCTCCGGGCGAAGGTTGTAAACCTTTTGGGAGTCCGCGAGAGCCACATTCTGACTGAGTGCCTTGCTGTTGGACTCGATGTGGAGTAGAGTGTTGTTTGATCTCTCCATTATCTCGTCTATCTTGGTTAACTGCCGGTTCATCGTCTGCCGATTGATGGCTGCAAATCGGAGTCAACTTTTAGCCATCTTTCTCACTAGTTTTATTGGTTAATAAGTTAGTTTTTACCCATTCCCGCCAACATTTTGTCCACAGCGTCCGACATTTCGAATTTTTTTTTTTTTTTGTATAAAAACAGAGTGACCTTGGCTTGTAGGGTAAAGAAAATACTAAGCCTTCTTAAAATACCACAAATTTATCGAATTACTATCGAAATTTGAACTTGAAAAAATGGTGTTTTGAAATTGTGAGGTTCTATTAAAAAATTACTAGTTGATCTCTACTTGATTTCGGAGAGCAACGTCCTTGGCCCACTTTAATTCACAAATAAATACACTCCACTTTCAACACAAAGAGCTAATTTAACGTTTGGTTTTATTCAGTTGCTCAGATTGTATTTGACTTGTTTTCTATTTAAATTTAAGTGTAATCCGTTCAATGGCTAGCATTACAATTACAATTTACTCGTACACGTCCTCCTTGTCGGCGACGTACTTGATAATGTCGGCAGGTTTAAGCAGCTTCTCGGCATCGGAGTCGGGGATCTCGAAGCCGAACTCGTCCTCCATGGCCATGATGACCTCCACGTGGTCCAAGGAGTCCAGTCCCAAGTCGTTGATGAAGTGCGACTCGATGTTGAGCTGTAAATGGCATTGGCATTAGCATTTGTTGTTCAGCTTTGAGCTTTGTTCAGTTCTCGCTTCTGAGGCGACCACTGCACTGGCAAAGGCAATGTGTGGCGATTACCTTGCTGGGATCGATCTTGTCGTAGAGCTTGAGCACCAGCAAGACGCGCTCATTGATCAGCTTCAGCGAGAGCGGCGGTTTCGCCGAGTATCTGCGCACCGATTGCGTTTGCCAGCGACCACAGCACTCCTGGTTTTTTGGTTATTTGGCCAGCCCGAGAAGAAAGGAACGAAACACACAGAGAAACCGGGTTAGTGGCGCCACGAAGTGGTATAGTTTACCTTGTCGGCGGTGACTTTGTCGTAGGCGGAGACCACCTTCAGCACGCGGAACTTGATGTCCTCGATGGTGCTCTTGGCCGAGTAGCTGCGCACAGCGAACTTCTGTGAATTACAATGTTTAATAGACGGGAGGTGTGCTAGACAATGTGATTCCTGGCCTTTTAATGAGTAGTTTGATGGGGCTTTGGTCTTGTCTTGGCTTTAACAATAATCTTTTAACAAATATTTAATGGTATGTGGCCTGAAAAAAATTCTTTTTGATACTTGAAAGAAGCCTTATAAAAAATTCATCAAATTCTGTCTAAACCTACATACTTTTTTAAATGCAATGAGTGCATTTTAAGTTAATATTATTATCTACAAGTAATTAAAATTGAAAATAGCTTTAATAATAAATTTAAACTGATTTTGTTTTCTTATTTTGTTTTTTTAGATTTATGTTGTAAACTTGCTAAAGAATTATTGTTATAAAATTAAAATAGCTTTTAAATAATTAGAATTAAAATAATCGTAAATATTATTGTTTTTCTACCCTAAAAAAAACGTTTTCGTTCCTACAGTTTTCCATTTCCCTATTTCTATAAATCACATTTATATTTTGTAAGATTTTCCTAGTTTCTTCCTAGCCAATTTCCACTGTAGTACTATCAATCACACACACATGGACAGTCACCGGTGCTGTAGGTGTGTGAGTGACGATAGAAACAATCATGTTTTATGCAAAACAATGTGATGCAATCAATTCGATTGGTTCGATGGTCACATGGCGAGGTTCTACTGTCGCTTTGGAGTTACAAACCCCTGGATGGTTACGTTTTGGAACTCCCAAATCGCCGAACCAATGAGGTTAGGTATCGATTTGGGATATCATCATATCCTCCCGAAGGAAGTCAACCGACCGGACGACCGCTTACTTGGCTCAACTGGCTGGCCACCGAGGGCACGGCGATCCTGTGCATCATCCTGGAGGCCTGTGACTGGTCGAGGGCGCCGGAGGCGATCCTTCGCGGGGCCAAAGTGGCGGCCAGTCGACTGCAGCTGCGCGCGATCTGTGTGAACGACATCTCGGTTCTCCTGCAAGGCAAATGCACCGGAATTAATATCGCGTCCTTCCACACGCCGTTCGGAATGCGAAACACGGGTATTTGGTGATATTTACACTGAGTTTTCAGATTATGTAAAAGTTCTGGAGCAAGTGAAAGACAGCAGGGATGTGAAAAATATATCGAAATATCAATATATCGATATTTGTTTAATAAAAATAAATATTTATATCGTGATATTTTTCCCCCTGATATATCGAATATGTCAGCCAGTAAGTGTGACCAGAGCAGTCATACTTTTCTTGTATCGCCTAGTATTCTAAAAAATACTTAACATAACCAAGTTCCGCTATCGATTGCCTGTTTGCACCAATCGAATAGGCGGTTCGTTCAAAATAAGATATGATAAAAAATAGCCACGTTTTCACTTGGCAAAAAGGCACGTGAGTAATGGCAAGACTAACTAACAAAGATAAGAGCCCACTTCATATACAAACTGTCATATATTTATAGGTATCTTTTTTTATAAACAATATACATTTAGTTGGGAACATTATCCATATAAAATTCAAATTACACAACTCGCTGGGCGCTGCGGTAACAAAAATACACAGGTAGACTATATAAATTACACGAATATAACAAAACAAGAGTCGTTTTAAAGCCACTTTGCCGTTGAAAGTCCATGGTGCGCTCCTTATTGCGTTCCAATCTGCAAGGGGAATTGAGAAATGAGGTCACCAGTTTTCTCTCGGGGGAGGTGAAGCGTTACTTACGATAACCAGATGGCCCTTATCACGAACCACTCCCGGCTCGGCGCCCGTTTGGATGTCGATGACGCCGCCCTTGCCCTTGACCACATTGTGTTCCACCCTGGAAAGTAGAAAACGAGGTGATAAGAGGGGATCCTAAATAAAAACCCCTAAAGAACTCACGAATCTCTGTCCACAATGGAGACTATAGAGGCAGTTCCCACCGTATCAATGATGTACGTGCTGAATTCAATCAGGCGGGGGATAATCAGGATCAGGTCACCCTTGTCCTTCTTCAGCTCCAGCGGTATCCGGATGACCATCAGGTCGTCGTTGTGGTTGGTCAGCGTAAAGTCGATCTTCTCCAGCGGCAGGCGGTGCTTCTGCTTGTAGGTCTTCCCATCGAGCACATAGACCGCCTTGTTGCTCAGCAGGATAAAGCGATCGCGCGACTTGTAGCCATGCCGATCGAACTTGGTGCAGAAGGACTGGTACTTCAGCTGCTCGCTGCCAAAGGTGCTGGCCACAAAGTCGTTGACCCTCTGGATGTGCTCCTTGGGGATGCGATCCTCCTGGAACCAGGTGGCCACGCTGCTCGGATAGTTGTTCTTCTTGTCCTTGAAGACCTTCTCCGCTAGGACCTTCAGTTCGAACTGCCTCTTCTGCTGGGCAGTCAGCTTCAGGCGGTAGATCCTGGCCAGATGCAGGCGATGCAGGCGGTGCAGGATCCCGGAGGCCTCCTCACAGTGGCCGGGGGCATGGGGCCAGCTCTTGTCCAGCACCTTCTTGGGCAGCTCCTTGGCCAGTCGCAGTAGCCACATTCGCTTGGCATTGGCAATGAACTCCTCGTTGAATCCGTTCGGAGCATCGTTCCTCGTGATGAAGCCCTTGATGAAGGCCCTGATCTTGTCGGCCGCCTCCCTGCGCTTCTTGGCCGCCTCCTGGGCCAGTTTCCTGCGGCAGTAGCTCTGCAGGATGATCACCTGGGCGCGCAGCTTGAGGTACCTCCGCCGCTGCATTAAACCCTTCCAGTGGGCTTGAATAATAGCAGCTATCTGATGCTTCTTCTCCTGGTAGGCATCCTCCGTGTCGAAGAGGGTTCTGGGCCACCTAATAAACAACTTGGTCTCACCCACCCTGTACTTCTCCTCATCCCAGCCCAGATCCTTGACCAGCTGCTGCACTCCCGCCTTGGGACCCCCAGGACCCTTGTAGTTCGGCCACGTGGACTTGCTCAGCGACTTGTAGCGCTCCAGGAAGAGCTCGTAGGTGCGCCGGTAGGCGAAGCCAGCTCGCCTTACCCTCAAGTTCTCCATGAGTCCCAAGTACTTCACCTGATGGAGAACCAACTCATCATTAAAAGTGCTAGCCGTTTGCAGATCATTCGGCTTGATGCAGCGTATGTAACTGGGCTCCTTGCACATCAGAATCTCCATGAGGTTATTCAAAGAAGCTCGGAACTGGGTGATGGCCGTATCCGGGCGTTTCAGGCTACGCAGCTCCTGCTCCGGGAAGCAGCTCCTCACGATGCCATTGCCCGCCTTGCTCAGCGTCTCCTTGAGATCCCTGAACAGCAGATCGTTGTTCTTGTCCAGGAAACCATTGACACTGTAGGTCACCTCACCAGCATAGTGAACCAGGCGGAACTCATCCCTTAGCATGATTTTCTTGATGTGAGCCGGTGCCTTCTCGTGGCAAACGTAGTGGTGGTGCAGGGACAGCTTGTTCGTGAGCTTCTCCAGGAAGGTCTTATCGGTGGGTTCCCCTGGACGGAGGCACTCCTCATCCAGAATGGAGATGATGCCCTTGTGCTTCTCCTCTATAAGATTGCATATGACCTTGTTGTCAAAGTACTCCACGGGAATCCATTCGATGCCCTCCCTCCTGTACTCATCCTGCTCCGACTTCAAAGTGAGCTCAATGAACAACTGCTGCAGCTTCTCGTTGCAAAAGTTGATGCAGAACTGCTCGAAGCTGTTCTTCTGGAAGATCTCAAAGCCATAGATGTCCAGGATGCCCATCACATTGTTCCTGGCCCCGCGGGTTTCCTTCGCCTGCAGCGAGATGTTCAGACGCTGGACCAACCAGGAGAACAGCCGATCGTAGACAGCCTTGGCCAGCGCATCCCGGGCGTAGATGGCCAGCTCCTGGTTGAGCGGCGAGGTCACCACATCCCCGCGAGCATCGATGGTGCGGTGGGTGAGCGCCGCCTCCAGTTCGCTGGCATTCACGCCCAGCAGGCGGGCGGCGGTCACCACCAGATCCCTGCTGTTCACCTTGGCACTGCCCTCCACCTCGCTAAGAATCCGATGTTGCCCAGGTGCAGGATGCTCGCCACAATCCCGAAGATCTCGCGCTGCTCCTCCGCGCTAAAGTCGATCACACTGAGGGCCTGCTGCACCTGCTTGAAGCTGTCCGCGTCGTTGATGTTCGACACGTTGCCATTGAGCTGGGGATTACGAAATTAGGATAAGGGATAAGATAAATGGTTCTAACCATTTTGCTAAATACTACATTTTGAACAAATATCGAAATTATCGATATACAATATTATAAAACATTGAAAGATCGATTGTTTTATTCGAAAGTAAAGATATAAATATAAATATTCTTTCTTTCGTAAAGGAATTTTAAATGTTTTCAAATTTTTCTAATTGTTTTTCGATAGAAAATAATTATTACGATTTTTGGCAAAAAAAAAGATAATTTTACTTGTGGTTTTTTTTCCATAACTTGGCTAAAAAGAGGGCCTTACCCATAAGATTTACTGCTTTGTTCAGCTTACAATTTAAACTAACGATCCACATAACTTTTAAGTTGATTTAAATAACAAAATATTTTCTCAAATTTTTAGAATTTTGATAAGGTGTTACATTACAATTTTTTAAGAGATTTACTGTTTTGTTTAGCTAATAAGTTAAACTAACTATCCACATCACTTTTAAATTGATTTAAAAACAAAAATATTTTTTTCAAATTTTTAAAATTTTTATAAGGGGTACCATCATAATTTTTTGCAAAAAATGGTCAAAAATTAAAGTTGTCAGTTGAAATGTCCATCGATTGGGAATTAAATTACGAGCTTAAGAAGGTATGACATTCCAAATGTGGACCAAATACAGAGTTTTAATTGGTGAAAAATCCGCTCCCATCCCAACATTGTCAGATTTCGACCGCAAATTCTTCAGAATTTTAGAAACTTTTTAACTTACCCCGTCTGTCAGATAGCTATATTTGTCCAGAGCCCGCTCCAGACGCAGTTCTTGCAGAAGAGCCTCATCGGCGCCGGCCAGCAGTTGATAGAAGATGTGGAAGTTGCGCTCGCCGCCCATTTGGGCCACCACGCGGGATTTCTCCAGTAGGTAATTCAGGATATTGCCGCCGATCGGAGCTCCCTTGAAGTCGAACTGGATGTCCATGTACTTGCCAAAGCGGGAGGAGTTATCATTGCGGTTCGTCTTGGCATTGCCGAAGGCCTCCAGCACGGGATTGCTCTTCAGCAGACGATCCTTGACTCCCTCGACGGTCGTCTGGTTTCCCGAGCAGGCGGCAATGAACTGGAGCACCTTCTTGGAGGCCTCCGTCTTGCCGGAACCACTCTCGCCGGAGATCAGGACACACTGGCCACGGTTCTCCTCGATCAGCGAACGGAAGGCATTGTCGGTTACCGCGAAGCTGGAGGGGATTGGGGTTTATTTAAGGGCTCTTTGCCTTAGTTTTTACCATATAAAACTCACATGTGTGGGGGCATCTCGTAGAAATGCTTATTCCTGTACGCCTTGACATGATCATCCGTGTAAATGGGCAGCTGCTTGTAGGGATTCACAGAGACCAGCACCTGGCCAATGTAGGTCTGCTAAAACATTAGGTTTTAAAATATTATTTCAGAGGATTAAAAATAGGGTTTTTAATGAATTTTTTAACTTACATAAATCAGGTTCTCCTGGAATCGTTTCTTCAGGTTCCCAATAAAGGCTTCTTCGCTTTGGTAGTTCTCCAGCAGCACAAAGTCCTGGACTCCAGCACGATCTCGTTCGTGCAAACCCGTCTCCATTTTCAGTTGGGAAGTAAAACTAAAATAATAAAATAACCATAAATATAAGATTAGGAAAATTAAAAAGTGTTAAATTAAACACAAAATTAGATATTCGAAATATGGTTCTTACATTAGTAAACAGATAAACTAGATCTTTAAGTTTAATTTCAAGATTTTCTAGAAAAGAATTTAGATTTTCATGAAAAGATCTCTACATTTTCTTGAAAAGATTTTCAGATTTCCAAAAAAAACCTTGATATTGATTTTTCCTACCTTCTGAGAAAACCCTCTCCATAAAAATAAAACCTTATCTTTCACGTAACTAATCTTATAGTCCACCAGAAAGGGTTGCCATGTTTAACCACCTTGATTAGGACAAACCTCTTGAAAAAGCACCATAGAAAAGCCCATAGAAAGCCGAAAACCCATAGATAAGATTTACGTAAAGTTTATAGAGTACAAATGAGAACAATAATTTATAACAGCCCTGCGGAAATGAGGACTTGAGCAGAGGAATGAATGACAGTGACCCAGTGATACTTTTTGTTTTGACCGATTCTGATTCCGATTCCGAATGCCATGACTTCATCAGCAGACATATCCAATAATATTTTATCTGCCTTCCAATGCAATCAAATCTTTGGTATTTATAGAAGTATAGAAATAATGGTGGGCAGGTGCAATTCACCTTATCGATGCCATATTTCATTGGGGGAAGGAGGTAAGAGTTGGCTTTATTGGATGACTGCTCCGGTTTTCTACTGATACGCGACGGGTAAATCCATAAAAGAAACGATTATGCAATGGATTTGGCAGTCTAAAATAGCAGAAAACCCCGAAGAAGTGATGATTTAAAGGAGTTTTCAAAGTCTTATTTGACGGAGACCCGCATTTTATCACTACTCATGAGGTTTACCAAGATATTCATATATCTCTCCATAATTTCTTTATAGATCCATCACTACCTGGCCATGATTATTCGATTATCCTTATTCCGCTTCGTCTAAGATTATTCCACTACACTTTTGGGTTTACAGAACTGGAATCTCTGAAGGAAATGTCAGAAATCACGCATATTCCGCCCTTTGACGGCTCCGTTGGCAAACTAAACCGATCCGCTGGCAGTTGAGGCGTTTTAACCATCAATACTCCTCTGCTCTACATATCAATTGGCCTCGTCTGTATTTCTGTTGTTTCTGTTTTTTTTAGTCGGCACATTTATCAACGATAATATACACCTATGGGGAGGAGGCGGGGGAATAGGCCGCCAATCAGTCCCCGATTAGATAGTGCCTTTCGCGAATAAACTCGGGACCCGATTTAGGAAACCATGACAGAAACGCAGCAAAGCAAAGAATTCCGGAATTCAGGGGTTCCAAGTATCTGAGATCTCGATTAGTCTCGGTTCGTATGCGTCAATCCTGAAGTTCTACGCTCTCATCTCTTGAATGGCTCAAGATATTTGCCATGAATCACAGTCGTGATTCAAGTGTGTTTGTTATGAAGTTAAGATAAAAGTAATTGAGAAATATTCTGATTTATTTCTTCAACTGAAGGGTGCAAAATGTAATTTAGATAACCATTTTAATACTTTATAATGCATGCAATATTTATTTAATTACCCTACTTCCTATTACAAGCAGTTAATGCAACTGGGATTGTAAAATAGCCTAACAAAGGGTTTCGTTTAAGATTGGAATTTAAATATAACATCTTGTTTTAGAGAAAAACATAATATGAATAACTATATTTTATAAGTATATCATAATTTTTAGGAATTTGAATCATTCTAAGAAACTTATGGGGAACTAACATTTTATAACCCTTATTTAAAGGGTTATAATTTCACCCGAAGAGAACAAATTTAATATAAAATTTAATTTTTTGAGTAAGGTCATCTATGTGATATATCATATATTATTATACAAAACCATCTTCACTTTCACTTCTTTATAATTAACTATAGCTTACTCTATATACTCTTGTTCATCCATTAGACCACAGATTAAAGATTGAATTTCAATATACATTAAGGAATATTTATAACTAAATCAACACTTTCACTAGGTATTAAGAAAATATAACTACTAAAAATTCTCCGCTCAAAACCGAAATTAGAACTTAATTGTTCAAAGTTTTCTAGATGACTGGCGGGCGTTTTTTTCGGGACATTTCTGAGTCAGAATTGCGAACCCCGACTCAGAAAAGTGCTCCATTCCACATTAGCACTGTGTTATCAGCTATCAGTGCGCTAAATAATAAGTCATTGCCGAATGCAAACATTGTAAGTACACAAACACTCGTTTTCAATTGATGTCGCTATTGTTTATTTACTCTTACTATTGCTCTTGCTCTTGCTCAATTCAGAAAAAGGGGTTCGATTCCAAAAGGGGGGCTTGAAAATGGGAATGCCTGACTAATTACAAAATGTTTGCCGACATTTCAAGACTCGCAGACTTTCCAGGAATTCTCGAAGAGACCGACAGACACGTCCCACTTTTAAAGGCCGATGTTTGTCACATAATTGTTTAATTGCACGTAGTACATTGGATTGATGTGGATGGAGAAACTGGCTTGAGAACCATATATACACAAATGACATAATGGGCACTGCCTTTTGCAGTCATTCTGCAGTCATTTTAGCACCTTTAAATCAAATCAGCGGACGCCTAAGATTATGCTACGTCTATTTAAGGTGTTGATAAGGTTGAGGAACCCAGAGATAACCGTCATAGGGAATTTATTCAGACAGTTTGGATGGTGGGCCAATTTCGGCATGCATTTATGATAACACTGGGGGATTCTACACAAAAACATTTGATTATTTGTTGGAACAAACGGTCAGATATTATTATGATTAGATAAACTTATTAGGGGATATTGATAAAAATAAATACACAGCTATGAGTAATGGGTTGTATCAATATTAATTAATAAAAAGCTAAATAATATAGTAATAGTGTTGATACACTCAAAAAAAAATTTTAGAAAATCGCCTATGGATTTGCTTTACTGGCGATTTTTTTCTATATTTCTGGAATATTTCTTGAATTTAATGAATTTTGATTAATTGGAAGAAAATTTTCTTTACCAGTAGAAAATTTTTTTATTTTAAAGAAAAAAATCGCCAGTGAAGCAAATCCATAGGCGATTTTCTAAAATTCAGGGCGATTCATTTTCTGAGTGTAGGATTTTAAACTAGAGTAAATATGATTATCATACTTATTTTTAAAGGGTATCAAAAGTCACTGACTTTCGCCTGGTTTTTTATCTTTTTCCTAAGGGAGTCGTTTTTTTGTCGGCTTGTTCTACGCATTCTTTTATCCCCATTTAGCTCCGTAATTGAGTGGAGAACTGGTTTCGCCGTTCCAGAAAAAACTCCACCTTGTGATGTAACACAGAACTGCGGCTTTTAGTGGTATCAAACAACTCGTAAACATGTCTACGACACACGACCCATAACGGAACCCAATATCACAGGTCCCACCCAAACGACAAGGTTCTTTAAAACTTTTAATCGTACAGAGAAAAAAATAATGAAAAGAAAAAATATATACTTTAAGAAAGAAAGTTGTGAAGAAGAATGGAATTTAAAGATACCCAATTCTTCTCTACTCGTAAACTTCAGTGCATTAAGTTTTCTTCATATGCATACAAATGATGTCATATGTATAACTTAACTCTTCGAGTTTGGATGGGGAAAATGCAGGGCTGGCAGAACGATTAAAGAACTGAAGAATCGAGAAGAAAGAAGGGCAAGAAGTGGAAAGATTCCACCGAAAGAGCCCCCATGATCGTATGCAAATTAATGAGCGCAGTTATTAGAACGGTGCTCGATCGATTCGAGATTAAGTTCGAGATCGAGAAAAGAAAGGGAACCCAAATTTGGGCCAATGCACTAGGTTTATTCTAATGAGAAAACCGGGATCGAAAGATGCATTGGTTATTGGGTATAAAAGGGCAATGCAGCTGGAATAGTCAGGTTATTCGGAGAGAGATCATGGATCCAAGAGTAGCAGCTATTTTGTTGGGTAATTTGGACTTTAAATATATCCCAGAAAGAGATCTTAACAAAGGGTTATCCTTTTAGGTATCCTTTCGCTGCTGGGCAGCTCCTTCTGTTTCCAGGAGAAGGCTCCCGTGCAGACGAGCCTGATCACCGGGCAGGCCAGGAACGATAAACAGCAACAGATTCTGGACGATCCACTGGGCAGTGGTCGCGGTATCGATGAGCATCTGCTGAAGACCATTGGTAAGGGCGGCATCAAGCTGGTGATGAACTCGGGCGGCCAGACGACCACACCGAAACCGTCAGTACAACACCATTACTATTATCCACCAGAGGATCAGCAGCACCCAAGGCAGTACGGCTACGGTCCTCCGCCGCCCTGGTCGCCGGCACCGCCCCCGGTTTACCCACCTCCCCCTCCTCAGCGTCCCTGGGGGCCACCACCGCCACCGGGACCAGGACCTCCTCCGCCGCCAGGACCACCCTACTACAATCCCTACTACAACGGCTACAACTACTACGGCGGCTATGGCGGCTTTGGCTATGGCTCCTATGGCTATCCCGGCTACGGCGGCTATCCTGGCTATCCCTACTATCCCTTCTATCGCTCCTCGGCCGGCGGGGATAACCAGCTGGATGGCCAACTGCAAGGTGGTCCCGAGGGACTGACTCCCTCCGGCATTCCCGGCGTTTTCCAGGGCAGGGCCACCCTACTCTCGCAACCCAACTTTCTCGAGGGCCGGAACAGCGCCAACATTGTGCCATTATATCACCTGCTCCAAATGGCCAGGGCTTGAATTAAAGTGTGCGAATCCCTAAACTGAATAAATGATATAATACAAATGGGTTTTAAAGACTTGTTTTTATATTATGAGGGGGGAGCTAAAAGAAGCCACTTGTGATTAACTTCGTTGATTCATTATTTTGTATATTATAACTAAAGAATTTCATAATAGATTTTTTAACTAAGACCTTACTCAGTGGTTTTAAAATGTGTTCATATCAGCATAACGATTTTTTTTAAAACAAAAACACTGCCTGTTGCTAAGGTGACAAAACTTAATCTTAGGATCTGTGAGATAGTATTACAGTTAATTCGATAAGAAATGGCTTTAAATAAAATACAATATGAACTTTAGACCCTTGATAAAGAAATAAAACCATTTCGAAACAAAAACTAATAAAATATGATAAACTAATAAAATATGATAGCATTACAGGCTTATTTCAAACGATTTCTGAATAATGAAACGTGCTTAAACTGTGGAATATGAAAAGAAATCTTTCCACCAAAAACGTATTATAAAGAAAACCAATCTAAGATAAATTGAAAGGCAAAAGGGTGTTTCTTTTTAATCAACTTAAGATCAATCTAAGCCATGAGAATATCTTTTGGATACAGAACTTTGCAAGATCATCCAGATGAATGGATCATTAGATTTGTAAAGAGAACTCAACAAAGGCCGCTGACCGAAAAGAAGCGATGATCGAATTTGTGCAAACGATCGTCATCGCCATTTCTCGCACTCGCTAAGACTGGAAATTAAAATTCAAACGACCGTTTGGTTTATCGAGTCGTTGGTCGTACAACAAAATACAAAAATCTGGACCCGTGAGTCATCAGCTTTCGGGGACGAGGTTTCTGAGGCCCGGTTCGAGGAGATCTTGCCCCGGCATTTGTATTTGTGACGCATGCCAAGTGTCTGGGTCTCGGATAACCATATAACCACAGCACAACCATTAAGTATTAAACAATCACCGAGGCCCGCTGTTTTCTTTAGCTCCACAGCGGGCCCCATAAAAAGCGTCAACAGTTGAGGCTGATCTTGAACGCTATTTACTGCCAATTGCAAAAAATAAAAAGAAAAATCTGCTGAAAGTGCTGCCAAAAAAAAAGAGGTTTCGTTTTTTACCTTTTCAAAACAGACTTTTTGCTCCGAAACTCACGTTGAATAAGAGTTTTGCTGCTCTGGGGCTTCCACGAAAAGCCCTTACTCTGCACTTTACCGCAAACTCAACAAATCCGAGGTGCTATGTAATGTAATTGCGATACCAATTCCAACACGAGCTGACACTCACTCCTCCGTCGAATGAAAGAAATGAAATGGAACTGTTGGAACTCGGGGTTCTTGGGGATCGTCAATCGAAGTTTTTTATGACAAGTGGGGATTTTTAGCTACACTTGTTTTTTTATATATTTTTTGTGCTACATTCGTTGGTGTGGGGCATATGGGCCATATGGCGATTTATCGCTTTATGAGGGGGGATCAGCAGTAAATACAAAATTATAAAAGATTTGAAAAAGGGTTAGATTACTCATAAATAAATCTTTGCTTAGTTTTCAAGAGAGTAGAAGTACTCTTCTAAATTAAATTAAAAATATAGATTTATAGTGGATCAGTGGATAGAAATATAACAAGAATGGCAAAGGATTTAAAGATAGTATCAATATTATATTCTCTATATATTGAAGAACCTTAATAAATCAAAAAACAGCTAAATTCTTATATCTCCACTTCTCCCAAACCTTTTTTTATCCATAGTAAATCCCATTACCTGCCCATTCATAAAATAGGGCATACCTATTGTCAGCAAGACCTCATTGAAGTCTTTTGCCAATCTTTCGTAGAAAAACGATGTGCTTCGATGGCTATATGGACGTTTATGACAATCGCTTGTGGTCTTTTGTCGTTTCCCCTTAACTTTTGTATCTTATCAAATCAGCGCTTTAAAGGGAAATTAACCAGGGCCATAATGCAGCTGTCTAAAGGAGAACCGAGGAAAATGCACCCTGTATGTATGATATGTACAATGTATACGATCAATAGTCATATCAGTAGAATTGGTTGAACCCAGCGAAAAGATAACGCCGACTATTCCGATAAGAGAAAGTTCAAGTTTGTCATCGGGCAACGATTTTTAACATTTTTCGAGTGGGTGTGGAGTGTGGATAGTGGATCGTTATGTTCCCAAAGATTCGGTCATGTTATATGCCGTAAAGTCAAATCACCCACATGACACAAGGCTGGGCGATAATAAATATCGCAATTACCCGAACCAAAAGGCGTGCAATTTTATTTCCTTCCCCGGTTCTTCGTTTGTTCTTTTGGCTCTTTTGTGTTTGTTTGGCTTGTTAGTTGGCAAAAACTGGGCATTACATCATTACCAAAATAATCTGTCTTTTTTGGTTAAGCCGTTTTCGTTTTTTCTCCCTTGGATTTCCAACTCGTTTAATTTGGGTGCCAAGTGTGAGGCAATGACATTGAGGGCAATGCTTTATGCACTCGAAAAAAGGTGTTCTAAAAATGTGGAATTTAGAAGCGGATCAAAAAATATTAAAGGGTCTTTAAGAGGACTTTTTCTTTTACATATAATATCTTATAAAAAGATCATATACCATAGATCATTAAAAAATATTAAAGGGTGTTTAAGAGGACTTTTTCTTTTACATATAATATCTTATAAAAAGATCATATATCATAGTTCATTATCTTTGGAAATTTTGTTATGATAATATTTCGTACTATCTTTAAAAATGTTCCATTGTAAACAAGTATTATATCTTATGATTCGATAATAATAATACCTTTAAATATTATAGATAAGTTCCTAAATTGATTACAACTTGTAGACCAATTTTAGACCTATTTTTTCCGAGTGCGGAGTTTGGTTATTGTTATTTGTTTGTATTTAAACAGCTGCCAGATTTGGCGAATCATTCGGTTTCGTTTTCGAACCATTGCAGTTGTTTGGTTATTTTTAAGCCGCTTATTGCCCCTGTTTTGAAAACTGGGTCAAATTAATGGAGGGCCGCCCGAGTGTGGAAATGAAATTGAAATTTGATACAATTTCAATTGGTCAAACGAATGGCTGGGGGGAGGGAGGGATATATCCCCTATATTATATCCATTCCATCGACGGAGTACCGATTACTCATAGCTCGCTCACGCACACACTCATACGCCCTGTTGACCCGCTTTGTGTGTGTCTTGTCTGTTTGTTCCTGCTATAAAACCTGGGCAAACAAACTCATCCCCGGGGGAGTGAGGGAGACGGAGACAGACAGGTGGATCCCAACCACCGTACTATATATCTATATATCCTCATACTCATAGAGAATATGGTGTGGGGTCCCAGGAAGCGAACGAAGGAGGGAGAGAGACGACGGAATTGAGGTGCCTAAACGCCGCTTTATTAGAGGAGCATCACCATCACCATAAACCAGATCTCTTCGATTTGCGGTGGCTGGCACACTGAGAGAAACCAAGCTACTGTACCAGTTTCTTCTAGATAAATTTTTAAAATATTTTAAACTAAATCTTTAGTATAGGAAGTGGAGCTAAAAGTCATTAATTTGTGTAAGACAATTCTATAATTTAAATCAGAACATAAAATAATCGAAGAACAAAAAATCATATTTCGATTTTTATTATTTAATCGATTATTCAAATGTCATCCGAGAACAACATTTTATTAGGCTTAAAGAAGGTCCTTAAGACATTAAACCGTTTTTAAATTAATCAAAAGGTTCAGTTTTTTAACTTTTTAAAAGGTATATATCTACTGTTTAAGTAACCCATATATTTTTGTAACATTTCTCCCAGTGCACTCCTGCTTTTGTTGCTCTTTTTGTGCTTTTTGTAGCTTTTGTTGCGTTTGGTGTCCAAGTTCAAATCGTGCAAAGGAAAGAAAGCAGCGGAAGACGCTGCAGATCACGACCACGGGCAAACCGGCAGAACCGCTTTTTTCCTTAGTTTCTTGTGTTATTTTTTCATTTTTCGTTTTTTGAGTTTAAGTTATAAACTCATGTGCGCGGCATGGAATCACTGGTTTTTTCGGTGTCTTCTCCGGTGCTCCGGACATTTGTTAGCTGTCAGGATATGCAAAAATTGCAATCGTAATTGATATTATAGGCCATCACGCTTCGTTCACAGTGAATTAAGAAGTTTAAGCCGTCACACGATGGACAGACGACATACGACGGGCATATTTGTAATCAGGGGGCTAAGTACCCATAATTTCACAAACTGTCAACCGAGAAGTCGTTACTTTTTTCTGTTTCTGTTGTTTTTGCTTCTGCTGCTCTACCTGTTTGAATTTCTTTTTCGATGCGGGTACCGTTAGCTTGACCCGGTAAAGGTGACGTTTTAAATGTTGACAGCGAACTTGTAGTTGTGGATAATTTCGAAAATCGAGGCTATATATGTTATATATGCATATGTAGTATCCAAAATCGGCTGGTTAATGTCAAGCTCCGCACGCCCAACGCATGCAAATGAGCAACCGAAAAAGTTCTCGACGGCGAAATGAAGAAATTAACAACCGAACCGATTTCCGCACGCGAACGCGCACCTTGGCAAACTTGAACAGACTTCGATGGGGGGTTTCGTTTTGTATGGTTTTTGATTGCCGCCACATTTCAGCTGTGCCGCCGACAGTGCTGCCAAAGCAGCTCGTTTCCTGCCGAAAGCAGCTCGCCTTGATGTTATCGTTATCGATTTTGAATTTTAACCGGGGCTCTATAACTACAAATCTACGGAATATTAAAAAAATAATTTTCTATTGTTAAATAATAAAAGTATACATGCTGTAGTCATTGTCAACTTTATCTGTACCTTTTTATTGAAAGGATCTATAAAATTTTATAACTTTTAAAGCTGACTAGATAATATTTTAGAACCTTATTTTTGCGGATTTAGACATATATTTATACCAAACACAACAATCTCATTAGCCACCTATTTTATCGTCTTCTGACTGATTCACCAATTTTATTTCTCCTCCTTCACTTCCTTCCTTTCCATAACAAATGTGATACTGATAACTAGTCTAGGGTTTAAAGCCATAACACAACATTATACTTGTTGATTTGATCGTTGATAAATGTGTGTGTTCCAAGTGTGTGTTGTCTTTGAAAGCCAGTCATTCTTCGATCCAGAAATGCGGTTAACCAAAAGCTTCGAAAAATACCTGTAGTTGAAAGTCAATGTGGTTTTTGGGGCTGTGATAGCCCAAGATCAGACCAGGCTGAAGCCTTGAGTTTGCTGGATGGCCTGCAGTAGCTTGAACTTGAGGCGCTCCTTGGTCTGGTAACGCGGCAGATCCAGCATATTGAAGCAGGTGTGAGCCACAGGCAGGAATCTTTCGTCCGGGGTGGGTTGAATGGTGAGCTGTAAATAGCACCTTTAAGTAAGCAGTTCTTGATTTAAAGGCGATTTAGCCACTCACTTTAAGGGCCTTCATGCCCTGGATGGGTATGCGATCGCTGCCGGTCAAATAGAGCAGGAAGCTCTTCTTCTCCGCCTCCGAGAGATCGTGAATGACCTCCCAGAACCATTTGATCTGTATCGAAAACATAAGTCAATCCTTGCTAGCTAGGTTAGGAGAAATAACCAAAACTCACTGTATCATCGCCCGAAGTGTAGCCCTCGCGGTACTCGCAGTTGTCCTGCAGCGCCTGCCAGTCGTAGTCCTCGTTGCCCACCACGACGGCCATCAGCTCCTCCGGCTGGAATATCTGAATCACCCGACCCGAGCATACCTTCATGAAGCCCTTGTGAAAGGCGGTGTAATGCAGCTCGACGGACTTGTTGAACACAAAGTCCACATACAGATCTACGAACTCTTGCCTAAAATAATAGATATATGAATAAATAAGTTTGTAAGGATAGAATAGCTTATAAAAACCAACTTGTTCTCCAGCGTTACGGCTATTTCACTTCCCCCAGGCTTAAGGCACTTGGTCTCCGCCTCGCCAAACACGTCGCGCGTTATCTCAAAGGTCAGATCGAAGACTTCCTTGAAGTCCTCGCCCTGGTAGTCGAGCAGCGACTGCATGGAGTTGGCCTCCGGCGGCGAAAGCTGGCGGAGATCGCTGAGATCTACCGACTTGCCCAGTAGCTTCTTGTAAAGAGCCAATGGAAATGGCAAATTGATGATGGTAAAGTTGTAGATGGCCAGGCCACAGAGCACGCCAATGAGGAAGTACATGTTCTCCGTCTCAAAAGTGAGATCTGCAAACCACAGCAGACGCGACTCCTCGAACTCCTTGAACATGCCGTACTTGGGATCGAGCAGATCCTTCAGCAGCAGCATGAAGAACTCCTTGCGCACGCCGCCCGCATCCTCGGCCTCCTCGCCCTGGAACTTGATCTTCAGCGGCTTCTTGAGATCACTCTGCGAGTAGCGCTGCAACTCCCTGAGGGAATCCTGCACCAGATTCTCCCGCGTCACGTTTAGCACAATGAACTGTGAGATGGGCATGCCGTAGTTGAAGAAGTGGAAAGCTTGCTAAGGGAAAAGAGTAGCTATTAGCATGGAAATCTCTTTCCTAGGCAAGATCAACCCACATTGGTGGCCGCATTGGCCATGGCGGAGTGCATCTGCAGCGCCTGATCCGCCTGGAGCAGCGCCGTCTTGGCGGGCGGATCGAAGAGGAATGAAAAGTTGCAAATATTGAATTCGCTGGCAGTGTCGGCCATGATCCACTTGACGTACTCCTGCTGCACGTCCGCATAGTCGGCGAGATCGGGCCAGTAGAAGGTTTGGTAGCTGAGGCGCTCGTCGCGCAGGTTGTTAATCACGCAGAGCGTCTGCATCAGCTTCAGGATCACCTCCAGTTCCTTGTTGTATGGCAGTAGCTGTAGGATGAGCAGGATATTAGCTTATATTTCATATTGTATTGTAAACTATATACCCTATGACGCCTTTCGGCGCTGGGATTGACCGCCGCCAAGCCCATTTTGAAGCTGATAATGTGCACTACGACATGCAAGAAGTTCTGGACAAGATGCTCAAAGTATTCAGCCGGCGTTTGCGAGAGCCACTTCATCAGCACCTTGCGCGGATTCTCCGTCAGCTTGAATATGGCAATGGCGAACGGAACCTGCAGTGCCTTGTAGTGCTTGGAGTTGACAAACTCATGGTAGAGCGGCAACAGGAGGTACAAACGCATGCTTTCCACATCCGCTGGCGAGCTAACTAGCGAACCCACTAGCTCCTTGGTTATATTGTCCCAGATCTGGGGAAATAAATAGATTAGAGAGATTCTTAAGAGGCTTTTTGTAAAGATAACTTACCACCTGCTTAATGGACTCATTTTCCACAACGCGCAGATTGTCAAATGCCAATTGAGCCGCCTCGAGATCCAAACCATGATTACGAACAGAGCAGCCAAAGTGCCTCTCGTGATCCAAGAGGAAGGAACCATTCCAACAGGCCTGACTCTTGAAGATCAGCTCAATGGAGCTCAGCAGATCCATGTCGCTTTGATCACTCTGCTTGAAATGCGCACATTGCTTAGTGACGTCTGCTGTTAGGGCCAGAATCTGCGATTTGGGTCTGCAAAGTCAAGAAAATATTAATAGTATTTCCACATAAAGATTGCCATTTATAAATACCTGTAGTTCCTGAAATCCTCGGGCGGCAGCTTGTCCATAAACAGAGTGGTGGTCACTATGGACTGATCTCCGCCCGAGAAAATCTGATGGATGACCACCGAGACCTTCGCATCGTTCGACTGCAACAGCGCTGATCCACTGGGCGACACCCAGGGACCGATTACCACCTGTGGCAGCATCAAGCTCTTGGTGCTCCTTGTTCCCAGCTGCCCGGAGCTGCCCAAGCCAAAGGCATAGACCCTGCCACGCGATGGAACCAGCGCCATGGTGTGCCGATTGCCACAGGCCACCTGGGTGATGGTGCTGCCCATTAGCTCCATCACCATGCGCGGCAGCATCTCGTTGGAGCCGAAGCCATGGCCCAACTGGCCATAGGCGCCAGCTCCGCAGGTGAACACGCCTCCCTCGTTGGTCAGGAAGACGGAGAACTCATCGCCGCAGGCCACAAATCGAACGCCCAGGGTGCGCAGCGTCTTCAGCTGCGTGGGATAGTTGCGGTTCATCTCGTCATTGAGCCCCAGCTGGCCGCAGTTGTTCCTGCCCCAGCCAAACACCGCACTGGACTTGGAGATTAGGAACGAGTGATTGCCTCCGCAAGCGATGGCGGCCAGCGGAATTCCCAGCACAGTGGTCAGCTGCAAGGGATGGTTGCAGTGCGTCAGCTCCTTGGGCGATTTCACGCCCAGCTGGCCATAGATGTTGGAGCCCCACGAATAGAGTTCACCACCTGGAAGGTCAAGGAAATATATCAGTCATGGTTTAACATTAAATAGTAGCTTTATTTTATGAAACTATCTAATCAAGTTTCCTTTTTGATAGTAAGATAGGTTTTAAGTAACGTAAAACGAGATGACTCAGAAGTTTTGCGTTTCGAAGGGTAATGTTTACTCCTACGGTTATGTTTACACTAGATAACATTTTGTTTAATCATGTTGGCGTCTTTTAGGAAAGGTTTCCAGACATATTTTTAAGTAATCGAATAACCAAGGGCAAGTAAAAAACTTTTGAATTCGATCTGATATGATTAATGTCAAATTTATGATTTAAACATATCAAAATGATATTTTATCAAATCAGTTAGATCGTGAAAATTATAAAAACACTGTTTTAAACACCAAATGTATTACTTTTTGAATAAATATTGTAAAATAAGTTAGTAAGAATATTTATTTACAATGTGAAAAGTTAATAAATGTCAAATTTATGATTTAAACTTATCAAATTGATATTTTATCATTTCAGTCAATTTTTAAAAGTGATAAAATTAATATTTTAAATACATAATGTAGAACTTTTTGAATAAAAAGTTAATAAATCATTTCTAGTGATTTCTTAAGAACCCTTTACTGAATTCAAGGCTTTAAAAGCTTGCAAAACTGGAAGATCCTTGCTTAAAGGTTGCTTAAAGTACATTTATCCCCACTTACAACTGGTCAGCGCCAGGCTGTGATTGTTGCCGCAGGCGATCTGCACGACCGTCTTGGAGACCAGTTGGCGCACCACCTTGGGCAGCTGCACGATGTCCTGGTCGGTGGCGTGTCCCAGTTGGCCGCAGTCGTTGTCGCCCCAGCTCAAAACCTGACCCCAGTCGGAGAGGGCCAGCGAGTGGCGGCTGCCGCAGGCGATCTGGATGACCACATAGTCCTGCAGTTCGGGGATGAGCACTGCAAAGAGTCGGCGGAGAAGTGAGTGCGGTGCCTTAGGCGCTCCATGTGGACAGCAGTGCGTTGGTGGATGAGGTGTGGAGTGAGTGGTGGGTGGAGAGACAAGACGATAAATGAAGATTACATACGAAACGGCGACATACGTGGCCTTTTGGTGGGCAGTTCGTGACCCAGCTGGGAGTGGTCGTTGCTGCCGCAGGCGTAGACCTTTCCGCTGGCGGTCAGGAAGAGGGTGTGCCGGTGTCCGCAGGCCACCTGCAGCACGGCGGAGTCCGGTGACCAGGGGATCTGGCTGGGCGTGAGGATCTGTGGGGGGAGAAAGGGTAAATTACGATTCCGGTTTCATCGCATCATCTCATCCCATCCCACCTGCTCATCCTCAATGCCGCCAAGTCCCAATTGGCCGTGGGATGTGCTCCCCCAGCAGTAGAGCTCCCTGCCGGCTGCCATTCCTCCGGATCCTGTCTCCAGCTCCTCGGTTTTATCGGTGGCAATCTGGATTTTCGTTGTCGGTGCTACGAGAATTTTCGAGAAAGTCCCCGAACTTTTGGCTGCATTCTTTTTTGTCCACTTGCTGCTCCGTTTCTGTGTTCTCTGCTCATGCCTCGCCGGACTTTCGGTGTGTGCGAGCTTCCTGGTTCAATGGCTGGTTCCTCTTGCTGTTTGGATTCCACACAAAAACGCCTCTTAACTGGAATTTACGCTTGCATTATTGTTCTAGAAAAATAAAATATAAAAACTCAAAAGCCAGCAACAACAAAAAACCAACAAATAATGGCGGCGCTGCCAACTTGTTGGCCAGCAGGCACTTTTGCGAAGTGGGCAGCCCTGTGGGCGGCTATTAACCAGGGCTGCATGCGGATTTAAATTACGTACCTTTGTACATATGTAAAACAACATTTACTTTAATATTTTAGGTATATTTATTACATTCTAATTATACCTATTAATTACATATGTAGGTCATGGTCTCTTCTCATAATTTTCTACGAATGGCTATTAGGGACTTCGTACTAGAGACTCATTATAGACAAATGAGTAATGAATGAGTAATAATGAGTAATGAATTAAAATGCCTTTCTTCATTCTTTTTGTCAAAAGGAAATCATAAAAAGAAACAAAAACAACAACCGCTATCTTTCACGTTTGTCAAAAGGAAATCATAAAAAGATACAAAAACAACAACCGCTATCTTTCACGTTTGCACTCCATGGGCGTAGTAAAGAACTTTAATAGGAATCTTTTAAGTATATTAAAATCATAGTAACCAAAGTATTTTAAAAGTTAGGCTCAATTTAAAGTGAAATTTTAACTAATTGATAAAGATAAATAAATTGATAGATGTAGTGAAACCCCTTTGGCGACACCCATGAATACAAAAGTTATTTGCGCACTGCGCAATATTTCTCGGAATAAAGGGGAATACCAAGAAAACGCATCATTCGCACTCGGCAAAGCTGACTTCGTTTCAAATCGAATGTTTGATCACTTTCGGATCACTTTGAAATTGGCGATGGAGTTGAAAAGAACAATGTCGGACGATACCTGCAAATCATTTTCTGCGGCTTTAAATGAAATCTTTGGGGATTTACTGGAAAGAAGTAATAATGAAAATATAATTCCAGATGAAGTTATAGCCTTAAAAAAAGAGTTAGTTTTACTTGTGGAATAATGGGTAAGCAGATAACAGTTAAAAAACAATGTTATATTAACTTCTACATTTCAGGAAGTACTTCCGAGTATTTAAGGAAGATCGGCAATAATGAATACGAGTTGCACCTAAACATTAAATTTCCGTTTAAATTAACACCGATCCGCGATGATGAACGCAAGGGATTTGTTATGCTTAAAGCTGAAGAAAATGAAGAACATCCTGCTATTAGGGATGGATTCCTAAACCGGGCAGCTCTTAAAGGTTGGATACGTAATATGTTGAAGCCTAAATACGTTCTCCATAACAGTCTCAATTCATATGATGACTTGAACATCAAATTCCATCGAGTTTCCAACGCAAACGCCAGTATTTGCTTACATATTTGGCCCATGGTGGAGTTTGACTACAGCAAATGGCCTTTGCCGGTTCCGGAGTTGCCCGAATCCACTCTTAAAGCTTTACCCTGGTACGCAGTTCCCCAAATGACAACACCAATAGACCGACGAAGTTTTATGGCCTGGTCTCCGGACTGGGAGCGCTGCATTTTGGAAATGAATCCTCAGTCCCAAAAGGTGCGGATATTAATGATGGATGTAATGTCTTGTATGGATATTCCTTATCCGGAAGACGTGATCCAAACCTTATTGGTACAAGCTATGCTAGAGGAAAAGATGCCCACTGACTTAGATCTTTTTTTTATCAGGGTTTTGCAGAGATTTAAAAGTCACCTAAAGGAAGGAAAACTGTTTCAACTTTTTACAGATAATGTCAATTTGTTTCGCTCTGTAAGTGAAATGAAAATCGACTTGTATTATGATGAACTTGTAAATCTCAAGAGATTTCTACATAAGAAAAAGGAAATGGGGAAAAAAATTTAAAGGTTTTGAACGATAATGTCAAAATATACTTTCTTTGAATGAAAAACAAATAAACATATAGCCTATTATTTTTTATAAGATTAGTATTTTAAAAAGATATACTACATATGTTACCACCAAACAAACAATTGAATTTTCTGTTACATTTTATAGAAATTTAAAATAAAGTATTTGAGAAAATGTATTGTACTAATCAGGGCACTAAATGGCATTCAAAGCTTATTTAACTTATTCAAATCATATCAAAATCATACTTGAATTATCACTTTAGGAGTAAAATGTTTTATTTTCTTAATTAATTTAGCATTTGTCAATGCCCAGAATACCAAATAAAAATGTATGCGTTTTTTGTTGTAAATGTCCTTTCTGTAAATGTCTTTCTTCCCAAAGAGCCCCCCCCTTTGAAAGGGGTGGGATTTTTGAAAAAAAAAAAACCCCTTCCCCCAAAAAACCCCCCCCCCCCCCCCCCCCCCAAAAAAAAAAAAAAAAAAAAAAAATTAAAAAAAAAAAAAAAAAAAAAGAGAAAAAAAAAAAAAAAAAAAAAAAAAATTCTTTTTAGATAAAGCTAATAGTAAATATATTGTATTGTGTAACATATCCTATGTATGCATACATATTGTGCGCCTAACCTCCCATACCCCATACATATAGCCAATATTAATATGACAAATTTGTAAACAAAACCAAATTTGTGCTGTTTTGGTAATTTACAGCCACTTTTGAACTTTATAGGAGTACATAGTACACTTTTATTTAATATTAGGGTTGGGGGTTTTTTTTTTTTTAATTTTAGTTATTATTTACGATGTGCAGACCACATTCTGAGAATTCGCTACAAACATTGATGTTTTCGTTCGCAGAACAGCTTAAATGTTTGGCCCACACATAGCAACCTGTTTGCGAATGCTTTTCCGGTCAAAACTAACTACAAATAATTCAACGATTGCCAAAGAACAATGAACTTAGGCATTATTTAATTTTTTCCCGCCATTGATTTGATTTGTTCTCGCAGTCATCGTTCCAATTTTCACAGTCAAGAGGAAGAATTCAGAGTTGCACCGAGAAAACATCGCCTAACTATCGCATAAAAGAGCCCGTCAAAGTCTGTCAAAATTGGATGGCGGACTAACTGGGAAATTTTCGGAACGGCAAAACCTTACGGACCATCCGTTCAACGGATGGTGGATGGAGCTCTGTGGGAAGACCTAATTACATAGATAGGTTTAAAAAACCCCCTTAGCAACACCCATGATAATTGAAGTTTGAAGTTTCCGTACTGCGCAACATTTTTCGGAATAAGGGGAATACCAAGAAAACGCTTCGTTCTCATTGTGCAGAGCTGACTTCGTTCCGAAACGAAAGGAACGGATCATTTTGAATTTAGCAATCGAGTTGAAAAGAACGATGTCGGACGTGCCTTACTACACATTTTCTGCGGCTTTAAATGCAGTCGCGAAGGATCTTCTGTATGATGAAAAAGTAAATTCAGTTCCAAGTGAAGTAGAGTTTCTCAAAAGACAAATAGGAAAGGCACTTCAAGTGGTTTCGTCGCGCCAAAAAATAATGGGTAAGCAGGTAGCCATTCAGATGAAACATTTTTGCATAGCTTTTTGTTCTAGGAAGTACTTCCGAGTTCGTAAGAAAGATCGGCAATGTAACCTACGAGATGCATATACACGTGGACTTCCCGTTCGAGCTAACACCGATCCGGGATAATGATCGCCCGGGATTTGTTATGCTTAAAGCTGACGAACAGATAGAACATTCTGCTATTGTTAATGGGTTCCTTGACCGAACAGCCCTCGACAAATGGATTATTACGATCCTAAAAGAAAATGTATTACGAGATAATATTTTAATACAATTAGGAATTAGGAATCCCGAAGTTCGTTGTAGTTACCAAGAATATACATTAGTTGTGTTGCCCGTGCTGGAATATGACTACATCAAATGGCCCTTGCCGGTTCCGCCGGCATTGCCTGAATCGGTTTTAAAGGCTTTTCCCTGGTATGCAGTACCCAAAGTGACATCACCTGGCGAAGTACGAAGTTTCCTGGCGTGGACGCCTGATTGGAATCGCTGCACCATGGAGTTTAGCCCGCATTATCAGAAGGTTGAGATCTTTATAATGAAATACTTCTCTGCTAGAAATGTAACGTGGATGTGGCCCAACATAAAAGACATGATCCAAGCTGCCACATTAAAGGCCATTCCCAAACAAAAAGTTCAATGTGACTTTGCCGATTTTTTATTCACAGTATTGGAGAGTTTGTTTCTTCTCTTAAAAGAGAAAAAACGTAATCGTGATTTCTCAAGTAACAGTAATTTCATTCGTGATTTAAACGTCCTCGAACTCACGCGTTGTTATAATTCCGCTAGAGATCTCCTTGCCAAGTTTTACCATTATAAATCTGAGGTCCTAGCTGAGGAAGTTAATAAATCTCAGCTCGAAGCTGAGGATGATACAGATGTTGAGTGGCCTATAAATTGGAAGTCGGAAATACAAAGTTTATTAAGTCAACAAAAATAACAAATATGTATGATGTAATAACGCAACTTAAAAATATATATTCCTTCTTCGTTCCGACACTATCAGCTAAATGAAAAATCTTATAACAGCCGATATAAGTTCAAGATGAAAAGAATAAAAATGATCTATTATTTGTTAAACGAAAAACATTATATTTTAAATTGAACTGTATTATTTGATATTTAACATTATTACAACTACATAAGTATGAGATGAAAATGAATATTATCTTAATTGTTACTGAATATGATCCTTTTTGTTTACGAGAATATAATATTATTTTAAACATTATTTAATAAGTTAACAATTTATCATCTAAATTGCTTGTAATATCCACATAAATTACCCAATTCAATCTTTGCACTAAGCTGAAATTCTGAAAATGTAATATTGCTTTTTCTTAAAATGAAATAAACCTATTATAATTCTTAAAGAAAAAACTTGTAAATTTCCGACTGAATAGAGGGAAATACCCGCCAATCCAGAACATCTGATTCCGTGAGAGTCTGCATCCCTGGTTTTTTCCATATCAGCCGTTTTTCACTCGACCGCCTCCGCTGAACTGCTGACCTTTGGTCATTATTTTGGCTCAAAAGATTAGGCCGTGTCATAGTAGTGATTATCTGTTTATCCGAGCTATCAGCCCTGGATATACCGCGCCAATCCCAGAGATTCGAAAGTCGGGAAAGGCGGCACCTGCGGCGATTGAACAAAGGAAAAACCGGTTGCCACGGGGATTGGACAATCAGCACAGGTGCCGATTGATTTTCACTTTGCCACGCCAACAGCAGCAGCAGCGGCGGAAAATATGCAGGAGGCCTACGTCAACATCAACTCCATACCCACCCACATCTTCACGTGGGGCAGGTGGATCGAGGAGACCATCAGCGAGAAGGAGATAGTCATCTGCATAACCGGCAATCCCGGTTTGCCGGGTTTCTACACAGAGTTTGCGGGCACTTTGCAGCGGGAGCTGGGCGATCTTCCAGTTTGGGTGATAGGTGAGTAAGCTGGGATCCCCTGGTATAGTAAACACTAATGGTAATCCCCCCTTCAGGACACGCGGGGCACGATGATCCGCCAGAGGCCAGCATCCGGGAGGTTCCCCAGCTGAGCGGCAACGAGGAGCTCTTCAATCTGGACGGTCAAATCCGGCACAAGATCGCCTTCATCGAGAAGTACGTGCCGAGTGATGTGAAAATCCATTTGATTGGCCACTCAATCGGCGCCTGGATGATCCTGCAGCTGCTGGAGAACGAGCGGATACGGGATCGCATCCAAAAGTGCTACCTGCTCTTCCCCACCGTGGAGCGCATGATGGAATCGCCGAATGGCTGGATCTTCACCAAGGTGGCCATGCCCCTGTACTCGGTGTTTGGCTACATCTTCTTCAGCTTCTTCAACTTTCTGCCCGTTTGGCTGCGCCTGATGCTCATACAGATCTACTTCCTGATCTTCTCCATTCCACGGCAGTTCCTGGGCACCGCCCTGAAGTACTCCAAGCCCTCGGTGGCCGAGAAGGTGGTGTTCCTGGCCGACGACGAGATGGCCCGGGTGCGCGGCATCCAAAGGGAGATTGTGGAGCAGAATCTGGACCTTTTGAAGTTTTATTATGGGAGCACTGATGGCTGGGTGCCCGTCTCCTACTACGAGCAGCTGAAGAGGGACTACCCCAAGGTGGACGCCCAGCTGGACACGAAGAAGATCGACCACGCCTTCGTCCTGCGGCACTCGCAGCAGACAGCGGGCATTGTGAGGGACATGATCCAGCAGCATCGATCGATCGGCTAGCCAACAGACTATCAGATACCCCCTAGCAATTCCTCCACTGCCTTTGTGTGTGGCAATTAGTTCGTTTTTATTAGTATCTTTTTGCATCTCTCGAAGGAAACTCTAAATATAGTCAAAAGTGATTTAAATTGTGGATTATTTGTCTGGAGATCCCGACCTGCTGCGGGAACCCGACTTGGAGCGGCTCCCGGAGGGAGATCTCGACCTCGAACCCGACTTGGAGCGCGATCTCGAGCGGGAAGCCGACTTGGAGCGCGATCTTGAGCGAGAGCCCGACTTGGAGCGCGATCTTGAGCGCGAACGGGAGCCAGACCTGTCCGATTCTCCGCCAGATTCGATGCGGTTCTTGGCCCGCTTGCGCTTGGTGGCCCCATCACTGTCGCTGCCCGATCCCGAGCCACTTCTGCTCCTGCTGCGCTTGCGACTGGCATCACGATCACTGCCGCTGCCGGAGGCACTGCCACTCCTGCTCCTGCTCCTGCTGCGGCTTCTGCTCCTGCTCTTGCTGCGCTTGCCGTCCGATTCGGATTCACTCGTGGAGATCGTCTCCTTGGACAGCACCTTGAGGCGCTGCTTCGCGGAGAGCTTCTCCTTGGTCTCCTTAACCGGCTTGGGCTTCTTGCCCTTCTTCTTGCCGCCCGATTTTCCACCACTGCCCCTTGGCTCTTCCTCGCTGTCGCTCTCGTACTTCTCCGTCTTGCGCTTTCTTCCGCCGCTGCCCTTCTTGCGCTCCCCCTTGCTCTTCTTCTTGGTGGGACGCTCGCCTTCGCGTCGCGGTCCTTCGTTGTCGCTGTCGCTGCCGGAGATGTAGTCATCCTTGCGCGGTCGCCCGCCTCCCTTTTTGCTCCCCTTTTCCGGCGCCGAATCGGCTATGATGAGCATGTTCTTGGTCTTCTCCACGTACTCCTGTCGCTTGGCCAGCAACTGGTCCCTGGAGGTCTTGGCCTCCTCCTCGCGTCGCTTGCGCTGCTCGGCCACCTTGACCTTGAAGGCCTCGCGCTCCTCCTCCTGCTTGCGGCGCAGCGAGCGATCCTCCTCGTCGATGCGCCGGGCACGGCCCACATGGTACTGCGCCTGGGAGAGCAGATCCTGGCAGGTGTTGGCCTCGATGCCGGCCACCTCGATGTTGAAGCGGTTCTTGTCGCCGTGCACGGACAGGTATTGGAAGTATCTGCGGGAGATTAGGATATTAGAATATATACCAAACAGCAAATGTATTTATGACTATTATATCATTTGGCAATCTAATCCTATCTGAAATTTCCTCAAATTTATGCTGATTACTTTGCATTAATCTAAGCCAGTAATCTAAGAAATCTGATAAGGTTTAGTACATCATTGTTAACCCACTGTTAACCGACTTAACTTTATCTTCAAGTACTTATTTACAGGTCTAACCTAATTACTTACTTCTGAGCCAGCTCTAGTTCGTGGACCGCCTGCAGCACAACTTCCAGCGTGGACTTCTCGTCCTTGAGTATGGCCATGGCCAGACGCGAGAGCACCACGGCAATGTTGAACAGCAGCACGGTGTCCTGGGGCGCAACTCTTCGCGCTTTGAGTAGCACGGCCTTGGCCTCGACCAGCTTGTTGGCCCGCAGATAGGCCCTGGCCAGATATTGCATCACCTCGACGTTGTTGTGCTTGTAGAACTTCTTCATGCAGTTCTCGTACATCTGGATGGCGCTGATGTACTGCTTCTGCTCCACATAGACGTGCGCAATGTTCAGCCAGACGTCGCAAAAGTCGGCGGTGGCCTCGCGCACCTGGGCGAAGATGTCGCGCGCCTCGATCACGCAGCCCTTGTGGGCCAGCACGGCGCCAATGCCGTTGGTGGCCCAAATGTTGCGGGGATCGTTGCGGAGGACCTGGAAAAGAATACATTTCAGTAAAAAAGAATACTATATTATATATATCATAGTCACACCTGCTTGAATATAGCCAAAGCCTTCTCCTGGTGCTTCCGCTCCTTCTCCTTGTCCCTGCTCGGCTGATGGAGCGTTTGCAGGGAAAAGTTACCCAGGGCAATCAATGAGTAGGCATCCGTGGATGTAGCCGGATTCTTGAGAATCGTTTCAAAGTTCTTCTGGCCCAAGGCGAACTGCATCTTGGCCAAATGCAGGTTGCCCAGCAGGGATCTCGCATCCGGATTGTCGTTGTTGATGTTCAGCGCGTCCTTGAAGAAATCCGAGGCCACGAAAATCAGACCCTTGTCCCTGGCCATGCAGCCCAGCCGCAGGTAGCAGTCAATGTAGTTGGGATGCTCCTTCAAGATCTCCTTGTACAGCTTGTCGGCCACATCGTAGCTGCTCATGGCCTCGTTCAGCCGGGCCAGATTGTACTTCATGGTGACCTGAATGGACTCGTAGTACTTGACGTCCTTGTCCATCTCCGAGGTGGCGTGCTTGAGGGCCGACTCCAGGGTGTCCTTGGCCATGCGCAGGTTGCCCAGGCGGTAGTGCAGCGAGGCCACGTTGTTCTGGATCTCGGCGGGAATCTCGTACTTGGCCTTGTCCCGCAAAATACTGGAGGCAGTGCCGTAGGCATTCAGCGAGGCCTGCAGGTCGTTCTGCTCCAGGATCTGGGCCAACTCAATCCAGGCCTCGATGTCCTCGGGAAACTGTTCGGTGACCTTCTTCAGGTGCGTCTTGGCCATGTCACGCTTGGTCTGCGAGTTGGAGTGCGCATACAGCGAGCCGAGGATCTTCATGGTCTCGTAGTTGCCCGGCTGGATTTTCAGCACCTTCTCGAAGCACTGAGCAGCCTGGAAAAAGTGGTAGGGTTTGTTTAAAAGTTATCTAATGGGTTTTTCCTTGCAACTCACATTCTCAGTGTCCCCGCGATAGATGTACATCTGGCCCAGGCCGTAATGAGGCAGCACAAAGTTGGCCGGCGCAATTTGAGTGGACTGATAGTAGTACTGGAAGGCCTGATCGTAGTCGCTCTGCGCGTGGAAGCTCCTGGCCAGCTGGTAGCAGCTCTCGGCGCGCATCGCCTCGTTCTCGGTGTTGTGGAAGGCGTGCAGCGCCAGGTGGTGGACCTTCTGGTAGTCCTTCTTGAAGAAAAAGTGATTGGCCAGGTGATTGAGCACCATGGGATTGGCATTGTCGATGGTGTAGGCCTTCGACAGCATCTGGACACCCAGCTTGTTGGACTCGGGCTCCAGTTGATTGAGCTTAAGCACCGCCAGGCCAATCAAGGCGCCCACACACTGCTGATCCAGCTGCAGGGCTCGCTCAAAGGCCAGCTTGGCCTTCTCGGGATTGCCCATCTTGAGGAAACAGTGGGCCATGCCAATCCTCACGTTCGCCGGGCAATTCGGATTGGTGCGCAGCGCCTTCTTGTAGAAGGCCATCGCTCCGCGGTAGTCCTTGCGATTGAAGGCAATGCACGCCTTGCCCAGCAGCGAGGGAATATTCGAGGGCGACTGGTTGAGCACAAAGTTGAACTGGGCATCGGCCTGGTCCATCTTGTCGCCCTCCAGCAGGCAGAAGTAGGCCCTGCCCAGCAGATGGCTCTGGTCGTACATGATGATCTTGTCGGCGCTCGTGTACAGATTGGTGGCCTTCATGAAGAGCTCGCGCTTCTTGTCCTTGGACTTCTCGCGGTAGGCCTCCTGGACGTAGTGGGCCGCCAGCATATCCAGGGCGCGCATGAGGTCCTTGTCGGAGTCGCGGTAATCCTTGGTGGCGTCATCGCTGCGCGACTCCTCCAGCAGCGTGACAAAGTCCTCCGTCTTCTTTTGCTTGTAGTAGGCCAGCTGGAAGGGAATGTGGGGAATATACCTACATGGCCATGTGGAGAACCCTTTTTACCAACTTACCGCCACATTCACCCACACATGCAGGGGCGCCCGCTCCTGCTTGAGAATGCTCAGCACCTCCGGACAGTCGGGCAGTTGATCCGGGTCCACCTCGATCACCTAAAATGGGGGAGAAACCCGGGGGATAAGTAACCTTTCACTGGGATCCCATTTAGATGCCTGCCATCGTAACTCACCTCATCGGTGTCCTGCAGGGGAATCTCTATGCAGTTGGACATGGTTGCGCTTGCGGTGGCCTAGAGCCAACAAACTGAGCGGCGAATAAGGGTTCTCTGGCCCCCAAAACTCGTGAAAATGTGCAAAAATCAGCTCAATTAAAATCTTTTTTCCATTCCGGTACGCTTGCTAGAGATGGCCGAAGAGTCGATTGCTAACATGCTACCGATTTCCGATAATGATGCTGGGCCTGAGGCAGAGATGTCAACTCATCTCGTTTTAAGAGTTACTTGATGTTTTTTTTTTATTTATTCCTTCATCTAATATTTAAATTAATTGTTCAAACATGAGAATTTTATTATAGGTAATTTCATAAGTTTATTTTAAGAATTATGTCTTTGATTTATATAATGTCAAACAATTTTGTAATACAGTAATATTCCACTTAAAATTAAGAGATAATTCATATAGTTTCTGATAAAGTAATATTTTTCTTTGCCACTAAACTTAAGTTAAAAATTTTATCAATTTTAAATAACTTTTGTAGATTTAGGTAGAAAATTGCGTTCGCTTTGGGAGTTGGTTTATCCTTAGCATCCCAGCATAAGGCCTCAGATTTATACTCCCTAACATTCACAATGAAATCCGTAGCGACATTATAAAAATAATCAATTTCACCAGCTGGTACACTTTGGATACAAATTAATATGGCTAGCCAAAATAGGATTTAATTTGCCTTTATTTAAGTGACCGGTCAAATTTTCAAGTATTGTGATTAAAAAGTCGCCCAAGTCAAAGAGACTCGATTTCTTTATCGTAGAATGCGCAATGGTAGTTTGGATTACGTATTTAAGGTTGGACCATGTAATATCATGAGCACGGAGATATGTTTTTACTAGGAGCCGGAAAAGCTTCCTTCTACCTGTTACATACTTTATCACGAATTCTACGAGTAACGGGTATAAAAATAAAATACGCTTAGATTTTATTTGATAATATGGCCATTGAAGAAAACAGTATTTATTAGGAAACTGAAACTCTTTTACTTTTAAGAGAATAGTTCAAGTACAATGTCTTATGCGTAATTAGGTAGATTTCATTATCGTTCTGTTTAATAAACTTTGAATGCCTTCTAGTGGCTTGTTTAATATAACATTATCTCTTAAATACTTCATAGAAAATAATATATTGTGACATAGTTAACATAACATTGTTCAATGGTTTTCTTTTGTCGATATTGAACAGAAAATATACTTTTCGAATTACACTGTGCTACACAGTATTCCTCCATGAATCTTTAAATTTAGTTACAATGTGTTTTCTGTAATCGAAATAAATTTCAATTCAATATTAAAAGTGTATTTTTCTAAAGCATTTCTTTTATGAATCTAATTTTTAAGTAATTGGTGAAGTTTTATATTCGCAGCACATTGAAAATATGTTTAACTGATTAATATTTTTAAATTTTATATAATTTTTTGAGATTGATGAATAAATTTTGTTTTGCGGTTGAATTACCTTTAACTTCCTCCGACAAGGCCTTAGATTTATACTGCTTTAGCTCGACAATAAAATTCGAAATTAAATTATTCAAAAAACTTATTTCATATTCGGAAACATTTCGAAATAAATTAATATTGCTCGCCAAAATAGGATTTAATTTGCCTTCTTTTAGGTGACAAACCAAACTTTCGAGTATTATAATTAGTGAGTCGCCCAAGTCAAGAGAAATCGTTTTCTTCAACGTAGCATGAGCTATAGTAGTTTGGATCACGTATTTTATGTTGAACCATGTGATATCATGTGCAGAGAGATATTTACTTATCAAGAGTTCAAGCTTATGGCAGTTGGGATCCTTTTCCATCATGTAGCGCTCCCACTCCGGCGACCGGGCCAGGAAGCTTCGTTGGTCGAAAGGAGAAGTCGGATGAGAAACGGCGTACCAAGAAAGAGCTTCAAACCCGGATCCAGGCAATGGCAAAGGCCATTTGCTGTAGTCAAACTCCACCACGGGCAAACAAGTTAGTTTAAGAATTTGATTTTGAAAAGAACAAACTTTGTAAAATTTTTTAAATTCCGAAGCGATGAGCGGATTTCCTAAAATTCTATTACAATCAAGAGCACGATAACTGTCTAGATTCGAAAAAATCCAATTTTTAAGGGCTTCTTGGTCTAGGAATCCATTTTTAATAGCAGGATGTTGTACCTTTTCGTTAGCCTTGAGCATTACAAATCCAGGGCATTCATCATCCCGAATCGGAGTTAATTCAAACGGGAATTTCAAGATTATATGCATCTCGTATTCATTTTGACTGATCTTCCTTACAGACTCGGAAGTACTTCCTAAAATTAAAGAGCCACATATGTACGTATGTATGTAAGTCATAAATGGTTTACACCCAAATGTTTAAAATATTACCCATTATTCCGTAGCTAAAAGACAAATCTTTAAGTGCACTCTTTACATGTCCAGCAACGGGCGGTATATGGATTGAATTTCCATTTGTATCTTTATCCAACAGACTCCGAACGACTGCATTCAAAGCCGCAGAGAATGATTTGCAAGGAACATCCGACATTGTTCTTTCCAACTTGATCGCCAATTTCACAGTGATCCGTTCCCTTCGTTTCGGAACGAAGCCAGCTCTGCCGAATGCTACCGAAGCGTTTTCTTGGTATTCCCCTTATTCTGAAAAATATTGCGCAGTGCGCAGCAAACTTTAACCGTCATGGGTGCCGCAAAAGGGGTTGGTTACCTTACCCTAACGATCTAAGATTTTAGACCATTAAGAAGTGTGCCTAGAATTAGTACCAACATTTACGATAATTACGATATTAATTTTATTATTTCTCCGTCGAAAAACTTGTGGCTACGCCCATGCAAGAGGGAACTAGGCACATTTTTGTTATTATTCACATATTTTATGCAGACGTTAGCATTAAAACATGGGAACAGTACACAGACATTTAAACCAGGGACCGTAAATAATCATTATTTGAGATTTTTATTTTAAAAGGCCTACTGAGGTTTTTACAAGTTTTAATCAACAATTTAACTGGTTCTTATGCACTTTATAGACATGAACAAATAACAGTTAATTTGCTTTCCAGATTTGTTGAAATGCATATACTTTGTGGACAAAGAGTAAAAAGAACGTATATTTTTGACGTTTAAAACAAAATTATCGAAGGAACAGTGAGTCTGGGTTTTAAAATTTAAAAATTCTCAAATAATGATTATTTAAACGGTCCCTGATCCTTAAACAGCTCGTGAGGTACAGCTTATCCATACATTTGTATATATGTACATACATATGCACATAAGCATTTGTATGCATTTTCCTATATTATTTATGAATTAGTTATAATCAAATTAATAAAAATAAAATTAATTAATCAGAAACTCTTGACGATCGCAGCTTCTACCTAATATATTTCTGATGTCCAATCTTGTGACGTGCACTTATTCATTTTCCTTACAACTAAAATAGTGATTTAAAATATCTATTTGTAAAATATATGTATTTTATTTTTTTTAAGTCTAGCTATTTCTAGCTACAACCCCTGGCTCATCACTGTTCCGCCTGCGAAAGGCTGGCAACTCTGGCCAGTTGTAGGCAAGGCAATAAAAATTGATAGATAGAAAATGATGTTGTCAAAACCACCTGAAAGATAGTGAAATTCGGCTTAATTTTAAATTTAGATCACGCAGCGGACAAGTGAGATGTGCTAGCGGATAAGATAAGATGCTGGCCCTGGGCAGAACGGCCTCGATGGGCGCCCTTGCCGCCCGTCCACTCCCTTTCCCCCTCCTTCTCCCCCTTCCCCTCGCCAGTCACCTGGCCACGCGAACGAAAACAAAAACAAACGTACACAAACAACAGGGGCAGCAAACAGATGTTTGTCGCCTGTTACGTAATCTCGCCAATTTGGCGCAAAATTCAATGACGCCGCCGGCGGGCAGAGGAGCAGCAACTCATTCACACCAGACTCGCAGGCGCCTCCACATTTCATCGGCGGACAAGTCAAGGTATTCGGCCAGCACCATCATGACCTCGTATCACAAGGAGCTGCTCCTGCAGGACTACGACATAGTGGGCTTCGATCTGGACGGCACTTTGCTGCGCTACAATCTCCGCGAGATGTCTGCCTTGATTTACGGAGTGCTCAAGCAGTTCCTCGTGGAGCAGCGGGGCTACGACAAGGAGCTACTGGCTCAGCCTCTCCAACTGGACTTTCTGCAGAAAGGCCTCTTCCTCGATGGACCACGTGGCAATGTCCTGAAGCTGAGCAACGAGGCGCAGATCCTAAGAGCCACCCATGGCACGCGTCACCTAAGCGACTCGGAAATCCTAGGAATATATGGGAAAGATAGAAAGTGGGACATCACCACCGCCTTCCGCAAGGATCCCCTGTCCACCTGGAACGGCGAGGCGTCCACGCAAATGCGCTCGCTGCTGGACTACTTTGATATGCCCAGTGCCTTGGTCTTTGCCCAGGCGGTGGATCAGGTGGATAGGACTACAAAGAAGCCATCTCCTGGCGAGGATTACCAGGTCTGGCAGGATGTGCAGGCGGGCCTGATGAACATCTACAGTCGGGAGCACTTCTCGAACGACAAGAGTCTGTATTTCAAGAGCATGCGAGCGGAACCCGCCAGGTTTGTCCTTAAAACCGACGACAGCGTGATGAAATGGCTGCAGGAGCTGCGAAATTCAGGCAAGAAGCTCTTCCTGCTCACTGGATCCAATGTAGACTTTGCCAACTTGACGGCCACGCAGGCGCTGGGCAAGAATTGGCGAGAGTACTTTGATTTTGTGGTTACGTACGCCAAGAAACCGGGTTTCTTCACCCTGCAGCGGCCTTTCATGCGCGTGGATGTGCAGCAATTGGCGGAACTGCCGCAGGAGGCGGCGGAAATAAGGGCGGGCGAGGTCTACTCCCAGGGCAACTGGCACCAGCTGCACGCGGAGCTGGCCAAGCTGCTGCAGAAGGAGCCTTCCCAGGCGAAGGCTCTGTATTTCGGTGACAACATTGTGCAGGATGTCTATACGCCGGTGAAACATCGCGATTTCGATGCGGTGGCCATTGCCGAGGAGCTGCTGCTGGAGGATGGTAAGTATCCCTATTCCGCCGAGTTGGATTCCCAGCTGTGGGGCTCCTACTTCGCCCTGGACTGCACACCCACGCTGTGGGCCAGCTTCATCAGCAGCTACGCCCAGTTGTGCGTCCCATCGGTGGAGCAAGTGGCGCAGACCTCGCCGCATCAGCGCATCATCTGCTCCAATCCGTATGGCTTCAGTCCGCGGCTGCCCAAGGAGCTGGAGACAGTGCAGCTGAAGAGCTGCTGGCGGGGTTAAGAGCCCTTGTTATCATCTTCCTGGAGACAATAAACGACCTGCGATCCCGGAACCTCTTCAAAATTCTTACGTACAAACAACAAATTGTATTTGATGATAGCAATAAACAGCGCCAACTTCTGGAATATTCAATTAGCATATACAGTGCATGCCATAGCTATAAGGTTTTTCGAAATTCTCCTCAGTAAATTGTAAAAAATGATTCTATTTTACCCAAAGCCTTATCTTATTTCGGTCTATGACTTTCGAGGTCTTATTCCAAAGTCCAAAAAAAGAGTATCCGATAAAAGTATTTGCACAATTATTGGATTTGCAAGCCAATATACCAATGCAATTGTTAAGAAACTAAATAGTTTTTACAAGTAACTAAACATTTTACCATACTTTAGCCCAATTTATTGTATAAGTTACTAACTTTCCAGAACTACGTATTTTACAATGATGCCATGCCTTTATTTAAATGCCTTATTTGAGTAATTAGTTAAGGACACGTTGTGAACGCTAATTTAATTCACAGTGTACAGAAATATTGCATGTGTGTACGAAGAGAAAGCAAATAAAATGGGTTGTGCATCATCAATAAGAAAAATTCTTTTTATAAACAATTGAATTTTCCAGGAAATTCAATTACAAAATCAACTAAAAATTGGTTTTAATTGAGTAGACCTTTTGTGACTGAGTGACTTGTGACATGGGTTGTGCCTATAAGTACGTGGGAATACTACGAATTGTAGAAATAAGAAAACTTTACACTTAAGTGGGACAATAAATAGTGACAATGAGTGTGATTAAATGACGCGCTCCACGGCCAAAGCGATTCCCATGCCGCCGCCGATGCAGAGGGAGGCGATTCCTCTTCTGCCTCCAGTGCGTTCCAGTGCATAGAGCAAAGTAACGAGGACACGGGCTCCCGAAGCGCTCCAATGGGATGACCCAGGGCAATGGCACCGCCATTCACATTCACCTTGCTAACATCCAACTTGCAGTTCCTGCAGAACAGCCAGGGATTGGGCGGCAAAGGCTTCGTTGAGCTCATACAGATCCACTTCCTCGCGCTTCCAGTTGATTTTTGTGAGCTAAGAGATTAGAGATCTTAGTAAAATACTTTTATAAAAGGTTTATCCGCATAGTTACTAGAGCCTCCACTGCAGTGACTGGTCCCAAACCCATCACCTTTGGCTCAATGCCGCTCTGCGTCCAGCCCACAATTCTGGCCAGCGGTTTGAGGCCCTTCTTGGCCACCTCCTCGCCAGACATGAGCAGCACTGCGGCTGCGGAATCGTTGACACCAGAGGCATTTCCCGCGGTTATAGAGCCGCCCTAAATAAACAAGAGAAAGTGGGTTAACCTTTGGGTTTCTCCATCTATCTTTTAGTAAACCCACCTCTTTAAAAGCTGCCCTCAGCTTTTGTATGCCCTCCACCGTGCTGCCCGCCTTGATGTACTCATCCTGGCTGAACAGCTGAGTGCCCTTGCGATCCTTAATCTCCACGGCCACAATCTCCTGGTCGAAATGCCCCTTTTTCTGGGCCTCCTCCGCCCGATTCTGCGACTGCACGGCATAGGCATCCTGGGCCTCGCGACTGATTTGATATTTCTCTGCCAGATTCTCGGCGGTGATGCCCATGTGTATGTTCTCCATGGCGTCGGTGAGGCCGTCGTGGATCATCGAATCCACCAGGGTTCCTGGACCCATCTTAACGCCCTGTCGCAGTTGAATGACGTGCGGGGCGAGGGACATGCTCTCCTGGCCGCCGGCCACCACAATCTGGGCATCGCCCGAGCGGATGGCCTGGTAGCCCAGGGCCACAGTTCTAGAGGGGATTAGGAATAGGTTTTAAAGGTAAATATCTCTACGAATCTCTGGCAAAACCCACTTCAAACCGGAGCCGCAGAGCATGTTGATCCCATACGCGGGCACCTGGATGGGCAGACCCGCCTTCAGCGCCGCCTGTCGAGCGGGATTCTGACCCTGGCCGGCGGTTAAGGCCTGACAAAAGAAATTTACATAACAAAAAGAGTGGTAAGATGGGGCAAAGCAAAGTATGGAAATGCAAATGGTAAGCCTACCTGGCCCAAGATCACCTCGCTGACCTGCTGGCCCTCCACATTGGCCCGCCGGAGCACCTCCTGGATGACCACGCTGCCCAGATCGGAGGCCTTTAGTTTAGAAAGCGTTCCATTGAAGCTACCTGTTGATTATTTGTTTGTCGTTCGGTAAACAGAAAGAGAAAGTTACCGATGGAAACTTGGATATCAGATCATCTGGTTTATCTTGGACTCACCTATGGGCGTGCGGGCGGCGGACACGATGAACACGTCAGACATTCTGGAGGGACGATATACAGGTGTTTACGACTTGGCTAATGGGCTGCAAATAAAATTCTAATTTTCGAAAAATCGCAGGGCGGGAGTGTGACCAGGTGGCTGCAGAACCGCACTCGTGGTCTATTCCCACTGAAAATGCGACGTTCTCACTGGTTATTTTTAGTATTTAGTACTTTCCCCCACGCCGGACGGCATTTTTGAGCAGTCCAGCCGCGGTCACACTGCAGTACACAGAAAATTTACATTTTTGTTAAGAAAATTAGGGAATTAAACGCACAAAAGCCGAGTAAAAGCGGCTTAAAACGCGCCACCGCGATTACCAATCACCCCGAGGACCAAGAGGCAGTGCAGCAGAAGACCGGGGAGCAGTGATAGCCAGGATAAGAAGCAACAGCCCTCCGCCGCCGCCGCCCAAAAAAGAGAAGAGAAGAGAAAAGCAGCCACGAGAAGAAGAAGAAGCAGCGGAGCAGCCCCAAATCTTGAAGCTCCAAACTCGGGAAACCAAGGAATCCTAATCCTCCCTCGCCATGCAGGCCATCAAGTGCGTCGTCGTGGGCGACGGAGCCGTGGGAAAGACCTGCCTGCTGATCAGCTACACGACCAATGCCTTTCCCGGCGAGTACATACCCACCGTCTTCGACAATTACTCGGCCAACGTGATGGTCGATGCGAAGCCCATCAATCTGGGCCTCTGGGATACGGCTGGGCAGGAGGATTACGACCGGCTGAGGCCCCTGTCGTATCCCCAAACCGATGTCTTCCTCATCTGCTTCTCGCTGGTCAATCCAGCCTCGTTTGAGAACGTGCGGGCCAAATGGTATCCGGAGGTGCGCCACCACTGCCCCAGCACACCGATCATCCTGGTGGGCACCAAGCTGGATTTGCGCGACGACAAGAACACAATCGAGAAGCTGCGGGACAAGAAGCTGGCGCCCATCACCTATCCGCAGGGCCTGGCCATGGCCAAGGAGATCGGGGCGGTGAAGTATCTGGAGTGCTCTGCCCTCACGCAGAAGGGTCTGAAGACGGTCTTCGACGAGGCCATCCGCTCCGTGCTGTGCCCCGTGCTGCAGCCCAAGTCCAAGCGCAAGTGCGCCCTGCTCTAAAAGAGTTAGAGAGCCGGGAGTTGCCCGTTTAAACGTAATATTATTAACTATAAAAGAAAAGAAGGGAAAACATTATGTAACCTAAGCGTTGGCTAAATGGCTGATCCGTAGTTTCTTTGTTACCACTAATTTCCGCTGCTAATGTCCTTTGCTTTCGTTTCCACAACGTTCGTTTCGTGTGTTCTCTGTTCTCCGTTCTGTTCTGTAATTCATAATCCAATTAATTTCCAACTAAAAGTTTAAAGCGAGCTGTTTCTAGGTAAAAAGCGAAGAGAACTGTAAACTCTAACTGTATTTTGTATTATTTAATAACTTTTGTAATTAAAATTAATGTTGTAAAACTCTGAGGTAAAACCAAAAACAAAAAACCTAAAAAAACATACAAAAAAGATAAGAGAGGATGACGCGAATAGCCGCATAAAGAGCATAAAAAGCATGGATCGAAGGATCTGGATATTGAGAGTCAGTAAAGTAAACGTTCCATTGCAATTACACCTACATTATTACACATACTTGTATTTAGATGTTGTTGGATATCGAGGCGACTGCGCGGATGGGTAACAACTTTTAAACTTTTGCTAGATCCAGGAACTATCACTATATATATACCATACTATATATATGTATACATGTATGTATAAGATGAAAAGTCCTTCGTATACTATGTACTGAAATTAAAGGCATCCAACTGAGCAACTTTTGAATACTTTGTATTTTAAAACGACAGATATTCAAGAGAACCAACCGCAAGAAAAACAAAAACAAGAACGAAACCAAGATAATTATATAAATGTGTCTATTTCAATGGAAATTAATAAAGCATAAATAAAAGGAACATTTTTTTATTTATTAGAGATATTTTTCAAGCATAGGTCAGTGGACTTTAAACGATTTCTCGAGGAACTAAAGGCTAAAATTTGATTTATGATCTATTACCATCGTAGAAATTATGCAAAAGTAGGTATACTAGGGAATTATGAATGGAAAAGAGCGTAAAACTAGTTTCAGCTGAGTTATCTCGACTTACTCTCCGTTCTACTCTTTTCTTCTCCAAGATCTTAACACCATATGAACAATCTTACTCACACTTATCCCACCCACAGAAGCATTCAAGAGTTCATAGAGGCTGGAAATCGTTTATCAAAGTCCATTTGTCAATGGTCGACATCACCATCGCGAGTGCTCACTGTACTCAAAAAACGGAGACGGACTTATCAGCGCCCGAAAAAGAATTATTTGCTTATCTCGGCGAAAGTCGAGAACCGAAAATAATCTAAATCAGCTTGAAACAAAGTAACCGATTCTCGGAGCCCCTCTATTCATGTCTTGTTTTACAGAGGAAACAATTTGGGGGAAATCTACAAAGTGTGTTAGAAAAAAGTTAATGATATTTAAAAATATTTTTTATTGTATACATTTTTATAGTATATTTATAATTACATTTTAGATATATTTTATTAAATCTGATATTTTTTAGGTAACAACATTTAGGTCTTCTTCATAAATTGCGGTGTAATGTATCCGAATAATTGAAAATGTTTGGAAAGGTCAGTACATATAACATATATTTTTATTATTTTCTGTATTATTAAAAACATTTTAAAGAACACATTTAAAATAAAATTTAATGATAAAGTAATAGCTTTAGAATTTCTAACTTGCTAAAGTCCAAAAGTTTTTTAAGAACTTTGTAAATATTTTTTAAAAATATTTCATATCAAGCAAAGCAAATAATTTGTATAATTGTTACAAAAACGATTTAGATTATGATCCCAAACTATCAAGACCCCTTATTTTTCCCCAGTGTATTCCCTCTCTTTCAGCTCCTCCGCTTGCGAGTGTTATTTGGAATGTTCTCGCAGCTGGAAATAAATCGGGCTACAGCGAAAATCATTTATGTTTATATGTTACACAGGCAAATGCGGCGTATCTGAGATTCGGGGGCAAAGAGGAGGGTTCAAGTGGCCGCCATGTGTGTGTGTGCGGATGGGAAATGGGGCGTTCGTGTTCCGGTGACGTGGCCATTGATGCTCCAGAAGCTGACGTGGACGCCTTTCAATTAAACAAATCACCAATCACCTCAAATCAATTAGTTGTGGTGGTGCCGCATATTCATTCGAGTCGGTTTATAATGCACTTTCAATGGTCTTAGGAGCTAGACAAGTTTTACAAGTTATTTGGCATGCGAAATGGGAGATTCATAGGATCAATCTTAATCTCAGGGATGCTGGGTATTTGGTTAGTTCTAAAACTCATCGTGACGGGCCAAAGCCTCGCCAAAGTCGGTGGCCTGGGAGCCCACGAAAACGTCGTATTTGTCTAGAATTTCCTCCTTGGTCAGCTTATCATCGTGATCCGCATCCGCCTCGAACAACAGATGCTTGGCCTCCGCCTCCGAGTGATCAAAATCGTGGGGGGCAATCCACTGCTTCACCTCCTCGTCGTTCAAGTAGCCATCTTTGTCCAGGTCGCGATGCTCCGAGAAGGATTCCCTCTCGTTGGCCACCCACTCGGGCTCCTCATCCTCCTCGCCGCCCGCCGCTCGGTACATGTCGCCAATGTACTCGTCCACCGAGATCTTGCCATCGTGGTCCTTGTCCAAATCGGAGAAGGTCTCGCGCAGCACCACCTCCTTCATCCGGGGATGCTCTTCGGGATGCAGGAAGGCGGTGAACTCCTCCCGCGTGAGATTGTCATCCAAATCCTCGTCGGCCGACGCCCAGCGGTTGCGATCGCGCTTCAGCAGGCTCTTGTAGCTGATTCCTGGTCAAGATATTATAATAGGTATTAGGTTTCTAGGTTTCTTTTTAAGATTTAATGAAATATTTTCAATTAAATATGTTAATATCATAATGATATACCTAGTTCTGATAGATTATGCTATTATAATAGGTATTCATCAATTTACAATGATATCTTAAGGATACATATGCCTATTTCTAATAGATTACACTAATCCCCAGATTTATGTCAAATTATTATAATAGGTAACAAGAATTGGAGAATCTAAAATGATACAATGATATCTTAATGACAAATATACCCAGTTCTAATAGATTACTCTAATCCCTTGATGGAATCCCCAGTTACTCACCGTTTTCCTCCTGCTCCCTCTCGTCGCTACTCAGATCGTTCATGAAACCGTAGACCGTCTCCCTGTAGGAATCCCAGCTGATGGTGGTGTTGTTCTCCGGATTGTGCTGCTTCCACAGGCGGCCCACGTCCTCCTCGATGTAGCGCCTCTGGGTGTAGGCAATCCAGTTCTTCAGCTCCGCCAGCGTGACGAATCCGTCCTTGTCCTCGTCGATGCGATCCACAATCAGGCCCAATCTCCGCCTGCTCTCCTCGGGCGTCAGGCCGTCGAACTTCTTGGACTCGTCGGGACCCAGGAAGGCCTCGTGGTCGAACTGGGCGTTGTGCTCGCCCCCGTCGAAGTGCTTGGCGTGCAGGGAGTCGTACTCGAGGGGAACGGGCACCTCTTCCGGAATGCTGGAGGCACTTGCTCCACTTATCGCCGCCGTCAGCGCAACAACAAGTAGCAGCCGATGAATTCCGGTTGCAGCCATTTTCCGATGTGGCTTTCGCGTCCGTTCGTTTCGAGAGGCAAGTTGAGAATAATTCAAAAGCATTCGAGATTTGGGATGTGAGGCGTATGCGCAATACGTATACGTAACGTAAGTATCAGCAAACGTAACGCGACTCTCACACAGGCAGTGTTCCCAGATCAGGGGAAAAGTTATAGGGGTTTTTTTCCCGAAATTTTAATACCCAAATGTTTGCAAAAAACACTAAATATTGTAACTTCGTAAAACATTTCAAAACTATAGAAAAAATACTACACACGACTTTCCTTTCGAGTACACAGATTTTTCCAATCTTAACATTTCTACAACGTCAGAAGAAGAAATGTCATGTCTTTCAAAAGCTGAGTGGTACGAGTCTTCAGTTCTGGCGGGACTTTTAAAAAATTATCATTTAAATATTAAATTATAAATAATAATAATTAAAACAAAGCACATCATAAATGTTGGATGGACCAATATACCTACATATGTACATAAAGACTTCCAAGTTAAGAGTTTTTTTGGAGCAATTTGTTATTTTCATAATAAGATTAAAGTAGAGACAAACTTTATTAATGAAATATTGTACGCAATTTAAAGGTATTAGCGTGCTAACACTAGTTACATATGTACATTGTACATACTGTATGTACATATATTTCTTATGAATTGGAATCTGCAAACGTCTGCTTAAAATAGTAAGGAGTACCAAAAACCACACTGTAAACCGATCGATCTGCGCAGTTTCTTCTTGCATCCCATAGTCGTAGCCAAAAACTTTTTGTGGGGGATAAGGAAAATTTAAATTTGAATTCGTTTGTAATGGCTGGAACATAAAATTTAAAATTACCAATAAAAACAAAATTAACAGGTTGAGATCAATTTAAGGGACACTTCCAATCATAGATACATACATAGGTGTAAAAAAACCCCCTTAGCAACACCCATGACAATTCAAGTTTGTTGCGAACTGCGCAATATTTTTGGGAATAAGGGGAATACCAAGAAAACGCTTCGTTCGCATTCGGCAAAGCTGACTTCGTTCCGAAACGAAAGGAACGGCTCACTTTGAATTTGGCGATCGAGTTGAAAAGTTGAAAAGAACGATGTCGGACGTTTCCTGCAAATCATTTTCTGCGGCTTTAAATGAAATGATTGGTAATTTTATAGAAAGAAGTGTTAAAGAAAATGTGATTCCAGATGAAGTTGTAGCGTTCAAAAATCAAGTAGTGGGCATACTTAAGGATAAGCATGAGAATTTTACTTATGGAATAATGGGTAAGCAGATAAGCATACAGGTAAAACATTTCTTACACAACTTTTAAATTTTAGGAAGTACGTCCGAGTTTTTAAGGAAGATCGACAAAAATGAATACGAGTTGCATATAAACTTTAAATTCCCGTTTAAATTAACACCGATCCGCGATGATGAACGCAAGGGATTTGTTATGCTTAAAGCTGAAGAAAATGTAAAACATCCTGCTATTAGGAATGGATTCCTAAATCGGGCCGCTCTTCGTGGTTGGATACGTAATATGTTAGAGACTAGAAACGTTCTCCATAACAGTCTCAATTCATATGATGACTTGAACATCAAATTCTATCGAGTTTTCAACGCAAACGACAATATTTGCTTACATATTTGGCCCATGGTGGAGTTTGACTACAGCAATTGGCCTTTGCCGGTTCCGGAACTGCCCGAATCCACTCTTCAAGCTTTACCCTGGTACGCAGTTCCCCAAATGACAACACCAATAGACCAACGAAGTTTCATGGCCTGGTCGCCGGAATGGGAGCGCTGTATTATGGAAATGAATCCTCAATCTCAAAAAGTGCGGATATTGATGATGTATGTAATATCTTCTATTGATATTCCTTATCCGAAAGACGTGATCCAAACTTTATTGGTACAAGCTATGCTAAAGGAAAAGATGCCTTCTGACTTGGGTGTTTTTTTTATCGCGGTGCTGCAGAGATTTGTCAATCACCTAAAGGAAGGAAAACTATGTCAATTGTTTACAGATAATGTCAATTTGTTTCGCTCTGTAAGTGAATTTAATAACGAATGTCATTATTCAGTTATTTTTAAACTGCTGAGCAAACTGAATGATTGTAAGTCACAAGCTTTGACTGAAGAAAAAAAGGAAAATGGAGAACAAAATGCTCAGGCAATTTGCATTTCTAATTTAAAAAGTTTATTTTCTGTTAAGTAACGTCAAAAATTTTATATAAGATTCATTAGTATTTTAAGAAGAAACTTTGTGAAATTTTGTGTTACATTTTTTATAAATTTACTTTGAAGTATTTGAAAAAATATGTTGTATTAAGCAGGCCTCTAAATAGCATTGAAAGCATATTAAACTGAAAGATAATGAAATCGATATACTTAAACTAAAGACGTGATGCTTGAATTATCCCTTTATAAGTTTAAAATTATGTAATTTCTTAATAAATTTTGTTTTTGCCAGTGCCCAGAATATCAAATAAAAATGTATGCCTACTTCATTGGTTTTTGATTGCATTTATTAAACGTCCTTTCTGTAAAGCTATTTAAATATTGTACAAATAAATATGTGCAAACTGTTGAATTGAAGCGATGGGCTAGCTACAATATATATCACTTATCTCTATTTACATTCGTGTAGGTGCTGCCGTTAGGGATCGGAATTAACCAATTATAAGGCTATTATTTGGGTGGCTCGGCGCCGTCCTGTCCCAGCGAACTAAAATCCCCCGTATTGCAGGAGATGCTGGGTATGTCGAAATTCGAAAAGCCCCGATAGTTGGCCACCTCGGGCTTCAGAGGCGATGGAAGTAGCACAGCTGTCCCGGGCACTTCGCTGTCAATCAGACTATCCGCAGTGCTGTCCAGCAGACTGGTCTCCGCCGTAGGCACCTGGTTAACTGCTCCTCTCTGCGCCAAAGGATCGAATTCGTCGAGATTCAGCTTGGGCTCATCCGTCGCCGTGCTGTTTTCGCCACTCTGATCGGACAAATCGAAATCGTAGTTGATGTTGGTCAGGCCTCCTTGAAATTCAGAGCCCAGCATGAGCACATCCGAGGTGGAGGGCTCCTCCAAAAGGGAAACGGCATCAAATGCCGCGTAATTGAAAATGGGAGAGGCGAACAGATGGTCGGCTGGCTGAATATTCTGCTGCAGCGGCGATAGACGACCCATGGAAACCATACTGGTGTCTTTCAGGGATAACCCAGATTCTTCGGGCTTTGCGGTCAGCGATTGGGAGGTCAATCCGCCACTCAGCACATTCGCCTGATAATGCCCCGCTTCGCTTTCGTTGCTCAGGAGGTGAGCCCGTGCCTGGCCGATCAGAAAAGCGGGTGTTTTGATGGGCAGCAGGTTGAGTGGCGCCTTGGCTATCACCGTGTCCACGCGTTCGGTCACCTCTCTTTGGAAATCAATTAGCTCCTTTTCGAATGTATCAATGCCAGAGCTAATCAGTGCATTTCTCTTCTGCAGCACCTCCATTCGCTTCATATTCTCCGATATCAGGTGCAGACTCTCGCAGGCCAACAGGGCGCTTTCCCAGGGCGAACTGAAGGCCTGTTGGCCGGACATTAGAGCCTCGAACTCCTCGCCACTGATGCCCAGACTCTCGCCATTGAGGTTCTCGATAAAGGCAATGGCCGAGCAGAGATTGGTGAAGTAGTAGCCACTCTCGCCGCTCATCACACGCGAGGCATTCGTGAAGCGCGTCACGAAATTGATGTTGCTGTGCAGGCGCACGGGATTCGCCTTGAGCACCACGAAGATCAGAGCGGGCAGGAAGTCATCGGCCGCTCGCTGGTCCACCCGTGGCCCTTTTTAACAGCTCGAAGATGTGCCTGCAGCAGCGCCAGGTGCACTGCAACTTCTCCTGCGGCGAGTAGTACGAATCGATGCCCACCAGCTCGGAGATGGCGTTGTAGACCAGGTCCCTGGCCTCCGAGTTCACCTCGTCGATGCTGCAGTCCAGATGCTTCGCCGTAATCCAGCTCAGCTGGCGTATGCGCTTTTGGACCTTCACATCGCTGTCCTCGTCGGTTGTGAAGTACGGACTGAAGAGGAATCTGAAGGAAGGGAGAACTTAGGGATAAGTATTTCATATGATATTTGAGTTAGAGCCCTGCGGGAATCATTCAATTTTGGTTTCATTATTCATCTATGTGAAATAAATTTAATGTTTTTCTAATTCATTTCGAACTGAATGAATGAATTAATAATTTTTATGATTTTTTTAAATTGGCCAGATTTTTTTGAGCCTGTTTTCAAGAACAAAAAGTGAAAAATTTGTAAAAAATCTATTAAACTCAAAATTCTAATTAATTCATTCATTATAAAACAAAAAATTCAAAATAATTGGATATAATTGAATCCTTTCATGCAGGGCTCTAATCTGAATTCCAAATTCAGCTCTATTAAACTCAAAATTCTAATTAATTCATGTAAAGCAAAAAATTCAAAATAATTCATTTCATCCATTCATGCAGGGCTCTAATCTGAGTTCCAAATTCATTCAATTCTATTAAACTCTAAATTCTAATTAATTCATTCATATAAAACAAAAAATTCAAAATAATTGGATATAATTGAATCCATTCATGCAGGGCTCTAATCTGAATTCCAAATTCAACTCTATTAAACTCAAAATTCGAATTAATTCATGTAAAATAAGAAATTCAAAATAATTCATTGCATCCATTCATGCAGGGCTCTAATCTGAGTTCTAGATGACTCACTTGTGGTTCTGCGTCATCACCACTTTCTCAAAGAAGTCGATGGCACTGTCGCGATCCTCGTTGGTGGCTATCTCGAAGCTGGGATCATTGTGCACGATATCGGAGACCTTGGTGTAGGCATTTTGCACCAAATCCGAGAGTTCGTTGATGTTCTTGCCGCCATTTCCGTTCATGTACTTGCGTATTTCGCTGTCCAAACGCTGGATCTCCAGCTTGAGTTTGCGCTTGCCGTCGTCGGGAATGCGTAGCTGGCGCAATTGGAGGAGGAACTGACCCTCTGTGGGATCGGGGACATGACCACGCTGTTGGGTGACTAAGAAATACAGGATTATAATCTCTAGAGGTGGTTTATCTCTAGGGAATACTACTTTTCTGGGCTCCCGCTTGAAGGGTCTTCTGCAGCACAGCGGTGAACTTCTTCTTTTGCAGCGTTCCCGAGGGATCCTCCTTTTTCTGCTCCGTTTTCCCCTGATTGTGACCATGTTGCGGGGATCTTCGATCCAGGGAGGCACTGGAGGAACCCGCCACCGCTTCGCCTGCCTTCTCTGTAAGAAACCACTTCATTACTAAAAGCTCCAAGGGGTTTTATGAACCTACGCTTCAATTTCCGCTGCTTATCGTGGAACTTTTCGCGGTAGCACTTGGAGCACAGTCCATCGTTCTGGGGAGTCCCATAGAAACCGCAGCCCGTGCGGCACTTCAAATCCTGCTGTCCCAGTCGCAGGGAAGGAGGTCTTGCCGCCGTCGACATCTTGGTTAGTTACTTATGGCTTTGTGACCTCTTATCTCCGGGAATCCCTTTGTTTCCTCTTGTTTTCGTGGGTGAATTCTAAAGATAAATAATTCGCCTGCTGACGGCGTTGCCAGATAGTCAGCTAGTGGTGGCACATCGTGTGGCAGTTAGAGATGAGCTGGTTCGCCGGCTTTCAGTAACCGCCCATTGAATGGAACCAGTTCGGTTCATTTCGAGGGGATTCCCATTTAAGTCAAAGGGGGATAATAAATTACCCCATAAAATCAAAACACAAACGCCTTATGTTCCACTAAAATTGAATTTTAGCATATTTTATTCGAAAAGAAAACATTTAAACTGCAACTGAGGGGAACTTGCACAATTTTGGTTCGAATACAATTAGTAAAATCTCGTAGTGCCCTAGGAAACATTTCAACACACATTCAGTTTTTTGTTTTCGGCTGCACACAAACACTTTTAAAAACCAGTTACACATGTTCTGTTTTTTTCGCATTAGCAAGTTGATAAAGTAGTTACATTTAGGACGGTTATACAAGTAAGAAGAATGCAATTTCTGGTAGGGTCACAAATAGTAAGTAGTTCACAACAGCGATTGGAAAAAGCTCAGAAAACACAGAGTTATATGGCTAAGACTAGGCTATGAATTTGCAAAGTTTCGCCCTAACTGCTCTACCGATCTTGTTCCCAATGAAAAATCTAAATCTGCAACTAAACCCTTCTCTCAACCTAATTGACGATCCAATAATGCACTCAGCTACCAACAACTCGACTAGTTCAACACTACCTCTACTCTATCTCTAAATCTTCTAAATTTGTTCTCTTGTCTAGCAGTAAAAAGATTTGGAAAAAACCATTTTGTCTCTGTTTGTGTTTTCGATTAGTCTTAAAAATTGCTAATACTATTTCGCTACTTTCATCAAAATGCAACCTTGCCTTGCCAGTGCTCAATTCCCATCGATAACTGATAGTTTACGTATACTTAACATGATCGTTCTTGTTTTTCTCTTCGTTCACTTTCCATTTGCAATTCAACCGTTTCGAAAAAGTCTCGTTTATAGTTTTGAACTGGAATTTAACACTACTTATGATGTCTTTGGCTTCTGTTTTTGCTTTGTATGCGTTCAACTCTTATAGCTAAAAATGTAATTATCGTTAACACGTGTGTTTTCAACAGTTATGCTGCCATTTTGGTTTTGGTTATAGGTTTTTGATTAAACATTCTTTGGTTTTTGATTTTTTCGTATGTGAATGTGAGTGTGAATATCAATTCGCTACAAAAGAGTTGCATTTGTAAAAAATTCAAGTCTAACGATTTGCTTTAATAAATTCCTTGTTCCAATCGCAGATCAATTGGAATCAGTTGGCTGATCTGATGACTCTGGTTCTTGTTTTGTCTTCGATTCATGTATGAGTACCCTGTGTATCTAAAAAGTTTTTTTTGTTTTTAAAAAAAAGTACAGTTGAAGAAGTTAAAGTAAATAGAAATGTACAGAATAATTTGTAATATATACAATTGAGGGTGAAAATAGCTATGTTTTTCTTTCCTGATGAAACAAAAATTAATATCAATTGAAACTAAAAAATTAAAATTTGTTAAACTATAGAAACTAGTATCTATAAACCCTTGCGATTCTGTACTAGAACTCTCCTAAAGACAGTTTAAAAGTCAGCAGTATTTTTGGTTCCTTAGTGACCTGGTTAACTGAAGTACTTCAGTCCTGCGATCAGCATAAATTTCTCAATAAATAACTCCGAATCCAGAACAGCAATATGAGCCGCTCGACCAATTAAAGTATTGGCCGTGTGAGGCAGAGCATGATGGACATCGAAACGGGCCAAAGTCAGTTCAGGCCTGGCCAAAATCGGAGCGATTATATTATGCACCATTTCCCTGGAAAATGCAATCTCTGTATAGTACACTTTGGAATGGAACAATTCAATAATCACCTGTAAATGGTGCCCAGCGATGAGCTGTCCCTCATGGCCGCCTTGCAAAGTTCCAATCGAGCTGAATGCGCCGGAACATAGCGATCCTGGCTGGAACCGCAGAGCAGGATGTTCTTGAAATGATGCAGGGTGCTTCTTTGGCTCAGCCTGTACAGGAAACTATTCCTCATATCGGTGGTATCGCGCATGCACAGCTGCAGCAGGGATCCCGATTTTTTCCACTTCTGCATGAACCACATTCCTACGAGAAAAGTAATTAGTTAGAAATATTTTGTTATAAGATATTCCTAAACTTTTTAAATCAATTGTAAAGGTGTCGAAAAGTATGCAACACTATATTTTCAATCCATTCCGAAAGGCAACCTTCTTTGTGCATACTTTTGGAATCCTTATAAATGATTTAAGAACCTTAGTAGTAAGAGCTCACCCATATTAACCAATCCACTCGTATTGTAGAGTGTTCCCAGATGAGGTCCCGATAGCGAGAGAAAGGTATGCAGACGTGGTAGCAGGGGTCTCATTTGTGGCCTGGCCAAAGCACTCCTCACAATGATTGTTCCCAGGGAATGGGCCACAAATGAGATTCGTGCGGGATTCAAGGCGCAGCTATCGATATGGTAGAGTATCTCGGTTACCAGCCTAAAGGGATAATACAAATTAAAGAGAAAGTAATAAATATATAGTATTTATTATATTTACAAAATATTTGGATTTGAAAGATTTTTAAAAGGTGTCTAAAAGTATGCAACAATATATTTTTAGTCCGAAAGTGGTACCGATTTATTCCGAAAAAGGAAATATCTTTTTAATTGCTTACTTTTATGCACTTTTGATAAGTGATTTCCGAATAATGCTCACCGATCAGTCATGGTGTCAAAGTCCGAGAAGGTGTCTCCCTGATTCCGCTCCGACATCAGGAACTCCAGGTTAACACCTGGTAATCCCAGTTCCAAATAAGTACGCACCAGCCTCAAATCCGCCGAGTTGCCATCCAAACCATGGACACAGATGACCAGGTGCATTCCATTGGGCGAAAAAGCGCGGTACTCATCACTTATATAGAAGTAGGGCAGTTCCGAGGCCAACTGAACGTAGTCGGAGTAGATGCTACCCTGGTATTTGATCTGTTTTCGGAACTCCTCTCGATACTTTTCGAATTCCAGCAGGGAGATGCTGGGAGGAGCCTCCTGAACTACGGTGGTGTGTCCTCCTCCCTTCCGTTTGTGTTTCGAACTGGGATTCGGATTGGAACTGTGTCCCTGTTTCGAAGTCCTAGTCACCTGACCATTGGAGTTCTCCTTGTTTTCATCCTGTTCGTGGTCTAAGCCATTCTCCAAACCATTGCCATTGGTGGTGTGGGATTTGCATTGGTGGTTAAGTGAGGGATTAGTTTGATTCAAAGGTCTCTTCAACTCGGCGAGGCTATGGGATTTGAGCACAGGTTTGTTACTAAAGATCGCTGGCGTGGAGATGGGACGCAGTGACTCGTAGATGTGGTAAACTGGATTATCTATAGCACCTATGGGTTGTCGTTCCTTCAGAGGAGGTGGTGTTATATGACAGGGTATGATAGCCTTGGTCTTTCCCGTCTGCTGAGGAGGAAGTGCAGCAGGAGCTGGTTCGGGTGGCGGATCTCGGAACTCATCGGGTGGCGGTGGAGCCAGGACCAAACCCATTTCCTGCTGCTCCTGATCCTGAAACTGCTGGGGAGGCGGCAGACACACTGCATCCAGGGGTTGAATGTCCTTCAGACTTGTGATATCGAAGTCGGATTTGGATTTCTCGCAGGTGGAGGTTGTCGTCGCCTTATGACGATTCCTCCTGGGCGGTGGCTCCATCTCCTCCACCTCCGTGGACTCACCATTGGGCAGTTGACGCAGTCGATCCAACTGGTAACGAGATCGCTCCCTCTTGATATTCACCGTCACCGAGGAGATCTTCTTGTGCATTTCGCTCTGCTGGCGGGCAGGTGTTCTACTTTGACTGGAGGAACCCACAGCTTGCCTTTTTCTGGTCTTGTGAGGATGTTGCTGCTGGAGTTGCTGTTGCTCCAGGACCTTCTGGAGTCTCAATCTCAATTGCTCGCCATTTAATCTAGTTTCTATGGCCATACCCATGCCTAAATTCAGTTGGGTATGCCTCTGTCTATTGGTTAAACCCGTACTGGTGATGGTATCTGGACTGGAGATGGCCAACGAGCTCCTCCGACTGCTCACCCAGCCACTCTCCTCGCTCAGCGACGAAGTGGAGTTGCTCCTCTGCCTCCTCAACTGCGAATCCGAATCGAATTCCGGAGGGGGAGCCAGATTAGGCAGGGATTCGCTGAAACCACTGGTATTCGGATCACTACTGGTGGTGGTATTGTTATTACTGTTTGCTCCCTCCAAACGAAAGGGCACACTGTTCGAACTCAGCATCTGGAGCTTCTGCATCATGTCGCTCTCGGAACTGCTCGACTCCTTCCTCAACTGACCCTGGCGCAGCATCTCCTTGATGTCGGACACCCGCACCCTGGCAATCTCCACAGCTCGAGGGATCTGGGAGGAACTGCTCCGGGGCATGGTGGTGTGTTGGGTGGGAGGAACTCCTCCTCCTGGATAGGAGTTCCTCGGAGGAACCATAGACTTCGGTAAAGAGTTATAGCCATTAGTACAGTGGTTCTGTGGTTGACTAACCACCACCTGTTGCTTGGGAGGATTGAGCAGCTTGATCTCATGGAGATAGTCGAACTTTCCGTACCTCTGACGAAACTCACAGATGTTCCTCATCAGATCATCCGCCTGGAGACGCGGTAGCGTATGATTATTGGTCAGGGTAACCGGGTTGGTTATTAACCCATCACACCCGTCCAGTTGATCCAGGGATTTACTGTGTCTCGCTGGTAGATTGGAATCTAGGTCCAGATCCTCTAGCAACCCGGTGACCGAATGCCTGGACAGATTGTGACGCAGTGTGGATGGGGGAGCCACTTCCAGAGGTGCCTCCTTACTGGGAGCAATGGTTAGACTGGCCTGGAGCACCTCACCACCCAAGGCGAATCTAGGGGTAATCACACACTTGGCATGCGGATGAGCTGGTCCTCCCGAGCCATTCGTTTGCGGATAATCGTAGTCGAAATGGCAGGCCAGACAGTCCTTAATCCCATTCAAACTGCTGCTCGAGTGGGTTTTGTCCACCTTTTTCTTTGGATTTGAGTTACCACCTCCTGCAGGTTGATGGCCCTCCTCCAGCTGGGGATCACTGCCCGATCTTCGCCTGCTATAGTTGCTATTGGGCGCCACATAGCGATCCTCAAAGATCAAAGGTAACGAGGAGGCATCTCCATCGATGGGCGTACAATGAACGGGCAAGGGAGGCAGGGATTGCAGGTAGCGACTCCTCCTGGCCAACTCTGCAATGGCCACGTAACCCTGGCAGTGACCAGGTGAGGGGGAGCCATTCGCCTGATCCTGGCAACCAGCTGCCGCCGCATGACGCGGTTGCTCCAGCACAAAGAAACCTTCGGCAAATCTTCGCACTCTTAATATATGATGCTTTCTGGCCAAGAGTGTGTGAACCGCTGTGGAGGATCTGGAGGCCAGGAGTACTCGACGCCACCAGAAAATACTTTCCGCACATAGTTGGGCTATATCCGAATTGGCCCTGATGGCGAAATCCTCCTCCGCCTCTAGTTGCTTCGCCTGTTCCAGCAAAAGCTGCAGTCTTTCTCCCGTGTCATTTTCTCGTAAAGGTGGAGATCCTATCTGCGAGTTTATACTCGGAGGTAACACTGTACTGAACTCGTTCAGAGTGGCCTTCAGTTGTTCAACGGCACCTGGAAGCGGGGATATTAATTAGGATAAAATGTTTTGTATAATATATCATTATTTCGATTAAATGGTATCGATCCAATTATCGGAATTTAAAAAATTAAATGAATTTTAACTATTTCTTGGTTTTCAACACAGAACTCAATATATTTTAAATTATATCGGAAATATCTTATCCGAAAAATATCGAAATTCTGGGAAAATTGATATATATGTACTATGGTAACCCTTTCTTGGGATCAATAGATAAACCGAACCATAAAATATTATACTATGTAATATCATACAACTCAAGTACATTCAACATTCACATTTCTCATTAAGAGATACTCTTGATAAGCATTATATCGAAAATATCATATCGATTGAAATATCGAAAATACACTAAAAATATGATTTCGTATCAAAAAATATATCTTTTAATTTAAATAATGTATTTTCTTTAATATTTATCTTTAATATTAATAAATTTAAAACTTCAAATACAGATCGATAAATATCGATAAATTCCAGAATGCATACCTAGCAGCAAACAGCAAATCTCCCGGTGAATGGCTCTGGATTGGAGCAGCCTGCCCGCCGGACCGCCGCTGCACTTGGTGGTGCCACCGATCTGGGGTCCAAAGAACACCGCCTCCAAGGGTCCCGGCGAAGTGTTTCCCCTGCAGCTCAGCTTGCCCGCACTCCACGGCTTCGAACTGCGAGGGGCACTAAAATATATATAGAGCAAGCCATAAAAGACCACAATTAAAGTTTAATGCTTGCGGAACATCCAGTTCATATCTACCATATAAAGTTACACATAAAAAGAGAGACAGAGGCGGACGGACGGGTACGGATACGAATACGAATACGGATACATAAAGCAAGCCCTCCTGGCCACAGAGAAAATATTACTACAGAAACCAACTACGTGAACCGAGCGAGAGTACGGAATTTACACAGTTACGGAGATTTAGTTACGATGGAGTTATGATGGGCTCTTACCAGAATTTCATATACGAGAACATGCTTTTCCTGCAACCGCAACCAGTTTTCAGTTGTTCAGTGTTGAATTGTTCAAGTTAGATCCGTTATAATGTGATATTGGTATGGTTTATACATATATTTGGGGTTATTTCAATATCGTTGGCGCGCAAAAAATGAGATAAATGTATCGGAGGTTATAGAAAATGAAAAATGGTTGACAAAAAACTTGAACTAACTAACAAGAAACATTTAATTATATTGCAGACTATAAAATCCTGAAACCAGTATCTAATAAAAAAGGATTTAACCAACAAAATATAATCGTATTGTTTGTAAAGACTTAATCCAAGATTTACGTAATACAATTATTTGTACAATGAAATAATACAGCACATAAAAGCTGGTTGACCTTAAAAAAATTACTCAGATGGTATCGAAGATATATGCATCTTATATACAAAATATTACAAACGAACTAAATTAAATAAATTCATTCAAAGCCCATGACAGACAAATTAACCCTACATAAAATCCAAAATAAATCTACTAAGATAAATGGTCGAATAAGGATTACACAGTACTCTTTAACATATCAACTATTTAATTTTATGAGCTCCCGCATGAAAAGTAACTAAAACATAATTATTTGCTTAGTTTTTATTGCAAGACAGTAAACCCCTTTTAAATAAGGATTACCAAGGCTAAGCCAACGGCCAAAGTTTAAAAAGGACCTTTTGTAAAAAAATAACTAAAAGAAAAAGGGATGTTTTACTATGCCTAGCCCGTTAACCTGAAAAGTTTTCATTGGAAAAGCGCAAGAGAATCGTCTTGCAAAGATTTAATCCCAAAGTTTTAAATATTTAAGTTTTGCCCCCGAAAATCCGCTGGTGGACTGGTAAATCTGTTGAATTCTGGGCATGATTGGACCTCAGCCTGCCGAGATAATCAGGCAATTTACGGCTTCGCTCACGAGGACGAGGAAACTGCGGGGATTTCGAGGGGATTTGGTAATCAGGATGAGTATTCCGCATCGGGGCGAAGGAAAGGCCAAGGTCAACAAGGAATTCCAGAGGCAGAGATGATATTTTATTCATACGAAAGAGATAGACTCAGTCAATTTCAAATTCCGTTTCATATTTTCCGTTTGCCAAAGGACTTGCCATATGAGGACCTCCTCATTCTGGGTTTGAGTTTAAAAAGTAGCAGAGGATTTGTTCAACGAAAAATTGCCGACAACTTTTAGCAATACAAAACAGATTAAAGAAAATTACTCACAGAAAAAGCGGGGTGAACTTTTTGTCAAGGATAATAAGAGGAAAATGCAGAAGGCGCAGAAGGATGGAAAACTTTTGCCGAATCAAACGGCGGAAAAAATTGACTCAACTCGGGAAAGGATACAGCCACGCCCCCTTTTTTTTGGGGAACCTGCAACGCCTTTGCATCTTGTTAGACGTGCAAGTTTTGTGTGTTGTATATATCGCGACTTCTTTTTTCCCTCGACTTTTTAATCCTGCAGCAGCCAAAGGACAATTGCATTGCGAGAGTCATTAAAATTTATGCCTCGACATATTTTTTTTTCTTTTTTGTATGAACAGTGGACAGAAAATGGAGGGGAGGAGAAAATCCTGGGGAGCCTGTGTGCAATTTTAATGAGTTGGAAATGATTTGTGCGGGTAACTGGCCTACGGAATTCCCCCAGCTTCTCTGCCTCCTTGCTGATGCTGCAATCTGCAATCCCCACGCAACAGGACACGATAAAAAAAGAAAAGAGGTGGGAATGACACGCCCACTTTCCCATCCCCCTCCCGAAACCAACCCACGCAGCAGGTTCAATTTACTGTGAAAAATATGACTATATCAACGTTGACATTAGAGATCATGTTGTCATCTCCACTTTGCATCTCCTGCAACGAACGACTTTTAAACCCATAATTACACTGGGGAAAATATTTATTTTTCTTTTTAGAAAATTTAATATGATTTATAAACTACTTTCTAAAAAAACCAAAAATATATTTGAGCATCTACACAATATTTTCAATTTTATAAAAATTAAAGCTTTCTAAAAACAATTATTTCACCAGCTGTACAATATTTGACATTTTATAAAAATAAAATCCCATGCTAAACTAAGAGTACCTTTTACACCTAGAATTTACTGTTTTCCAACCAACTTTTAATTAAAGATGATGTCGAGAAAATTATGATAAACTTGTATAACTTGTAGGCTTTAGTTATATATGCTAATTTCTCTTCTTTTAACGATAAAAATAATGAGTTTTTAAAATGTAATTAGTAGACATCGGATTTTAGGTGAAATCGTTTTTTGTAAATACGATTTAAAGCCACATTTGATTAGTTACAAATTTTATTTATTAAGTTATAATTAGATTTAGGTCAAACTTAATTGAGGTTTTTGTAAAAAAATTTTAACCAATCAAATGTGGCTTTAAATCATGTTTAAAAAAAACGATTTCACCTAAAATCCGATGTCTAGTAATTAGAATGGGTCGTTATCTACGATTTAATATAAAACTCTATTATGGCCTCTATTTATTTTTAGGCTAATCCATATAAACCTCTTTTTATTACCATTATTTCAAAACATATCTTCTTTAAATTATTAAAAAAAAGTATCCTAAAAATGATTTATTTCTAAAAATATTTCAGATATTTCTTTGTCTTTGATTGGGTACCTACATTTTCTAAAAAGAAGTTGCTATTTTCTACCATTCCGACTATTTGTGCATTTCTTATATTCAAATTTCTTTTTTTTTTACATTTTCTTTTTCAATTATTTCTTCCAGTGCACCTCTCGGGCACACACCTCCACTACTCACTTGATATACGGCTGATGGAGGGCCACAAGGCTGGCATGGATACCCACACTGATGGCCGCCAGATGGAAGTAGTCGAAGAGCACGGGCAGATGGTAGTGAAGGCCACGTCCCGGATGGAAGTTCAGCTGCAGGTTCCTCGAGGAGGCCAGTGTCAGGCTGGAACTACTCGGTCCCGAGAAGCTGCCCATTCCCATTCCACTGCCATTGCCGTTCAGGCTGCTCGTGCCGTTCTGCTCGCCAAACCAGAGCTCCAACTGCAGCGAGAACTCGGCCCGTTCAATGGACTCCTTTGAGGTGACGACTGTCGACTGCAAAAAATAGAAGGGAAAAAATCAGAAAAAAAGTGTAGTGAATATCCGTCTTGAGGTTGAGTGAACTGCAAATCCCCGGGATAAATGCGGCAGAAAATCCTGCATGCAAACATCCTGCTTAAACCAAACCCAAACCCCTCCCTTCCAGAATTCCCATTTCAATTCCGTCTTTGGCTTATTTGTTTTTCTATTGATTTTCGTTTAGTTCGGCTCGGAATAGTGGGGTAAGTGGTGAGTGGGTGGGTAGGTCGGAATCACCCCCCAAAACAAAATGGGTTAATGTCCATGTAGTTGTGCATGCGACAAAGACAAATCAAAATTCTGCGAAGACCGCAAATCGTTGGCCGGAAACCCAAGTGAATCGATGAGTCAGGAAAATGTTGTCCTAGTTCGGTTTGGCAACTCAATCAATTAGGTTTCATTGTCGATTCAGGCCAAATGCTCCAGTATTAAATAATAATGATTTACATGTAGGCTTGCAAGAAATTCAGGGGTAATTAGCTTAAGGCTTTATAAATAGAGTATGTAGGTTAAGACTATTTAATCTGTGGCGGATTCATTAATAAAAGTGTCTAAAAATATGCTACAATATATTTTTAGTGCAAAAGATCTTGGGATTCCTTGGGAAATAAGATTTACTGCATACTTTTAGACACCTCTTGGTAAATGTTTTCCTTATAAATCCAATCTATTTTGTTTATTAAAGAAGTAAAATCTCTAAAAGACCATTTTGCACAGGTATCATTTTGGTATGTCATAACATTTATTTTTAAGGCCTCATAAATTAGACTCTGCATTTGATATTTTTAAGAGACTCTTAAAAAATCTAGAGCCATTAAAGCTGCCCAGATTTTATGCCTCTGAAGCAGATTTCCTCAACAAGTGGGCCAAACTTAATCGCTGCCTCCCACTTCTCCAGGTATATTCATCAATACCAGCGATTATTCCACCTGCCACTCCATAATAATAACCATTAGAGTTTACCAATGTTTTCCCAATCCCCCTTATATTGCTACCTCTTCAGCTCCATAATCCCCACATTCCCCCTTATCACTTTCCTAAGCTGAAAATGTTAATCAAATTCAATTTGCTCCACATGTCGATGGAGGAGGTTTATGGGGCTTTATTGGGATTCCTTTTCCTCTCTCTTGTGGGGCCATAAAATTCATTTGTTTTCATAAAATAGGGATTTACTTATGGCAGAGGGCAATAAAAAGGAGAGATCTCTTAGCTTGTTGAGATTTTTGCTGGGATCTTTCGCCTGCCTGCGCATCACTCATCCGCCATGTGGTCCGTGGTGACAATTGCTTTTGGCCGGAATAATTTAAATGCCGAGGATTTGCACAAGGGTCTCCTCCGTCTCCTCTCGACACAGTTTATTTTATTGTCTGCGGTGCAGTAACCCAGTATGCGAACTATACGAAAGATAAATGGTTAGGAGGCGTCGGAAAAGCGGGAAAGCCCGAGGAAAACCCAACAACACACATGCGAGGCATCAACAACAGACTGAGAGCTGTCAACTGAAAAGTTACTTTTGTTTGTGCGGCTTTTTCTAGATTTCCCCTTCGCCACTTTTGCTGGGGAAACTTGTCCAAATGAATTAATCACTTTACTCGGCAGCCAAGTGGATGATGTTTCCATTGTTGTTGAAGGATGTGGAAAAGGCGAGAAAAAATAAAGGAAAGAAAACTGTGCGAAAAACAATAAGGATAAGGGATAGGCATCCATCAACTGCTCATCATCGTTCTCGCACTTTTTCAAGAGCGAGTTTTCGCCTTCAAACACCTCGAAATACAAAAAGAAAGAAAATCTCTTTGCGCTCTTTTATTTCTTTACACAATACCCATAAATATGCGAATAAAATATCTATATTATATTTTTATCCAACATTTCCATTTGCCTTGCCGCCCTCGGCAAGCGTGTGTACATATTTTCATGGGCTTTTCCGCATTTTCCGCCAGCATCACATCATCATCATCATCATCATCATCATCAGCTCACTCTCCTCCACACCTCTTGTTATTGTTGAAATTTACTTTCAATTTGCCTTTTTCCACACAGCCTTTGTTTTTTGCCCCGTTAAGTTTTTATGAGGTTTTTATGGTGTTTTATGGTGTATGGGCTACCCTGTATGCAAAATCTTTCCAAATGTGATTGTTTTATAAACGGGGATTAAAGATTACACGATGCACACTATATAAACATGAATTTAAATGGATATGTTTATATGGGATTTTTATATAGATTTTATGGCATGCCTTATGGAAGTATTATTTTTGATCTACTAATTCTTTAAAATAATTCCACTTTATTCCACTTCCAAGTTAAAGGTTTAGAAACGTTTTTCTATATTGGTATAACATTTACAAAAATCTTAAAAAGTATTAAAAGTTAAAAAAAAAATTGTTTATATCAATTCAAGAATATTTTTTCCCTAAGAATGTGTAGAATGTGGAATTTTTATAAAAACTGTATGGGAACCACATAGAAATTTTCTTGTAGTTGTATAATATTTTCCAATAGCATAAAAGTGTTGTACAAAATTTCCCAATTTTATAAGTAACTTTTGAGTCGATCAACTACCAAAATCTATAACCAAATTGTTTACTTTAGATTTCACCTTATACTTGGCCTTCTGCCTTTCGTCCAGCGTCTTCTCTTTTTGTTATTAATAAAAACTGGGTCAGTGTGTGGGCCAAGTTTTTCCTTTAGCTTGGAAAGAGCCTCTGCTAAAAAGGAGTTTGAGAACTTTTCGTAATTGCTTTGCAGCCAGGGCAGCAAAAATCCTTTTAGCTGCAGTCAGCGATAAATGCAATTAGGTGGAAGGGAAATTTCCAAGCTCAAGTTTGTGTCCTGTGTCCTGGGCCATACGTCTTCGGCATCTGTCCCGTGTGGTCATCAACTCCACTCCCATTCCCCCAGGAGCTCAAAAGTTTTAGTTTTTTCCCTGTTTTTTTCTCTGGCCAGCAGCAGAACTTTGCCCTGACAATTTGATTTATACTTCCAATCGAACAATAAACTCATTTCGGCACTGAAAGTTTCGCTGTCCGCTGACTGGGCGAGTGATTTGGTGTCTGGTTACCCGCTTTGGGGTTCCGTTTTCCCCGGTTCGCCATCAAAATGCCACCAATGCGGCAACGGGGAATTCCCTGGCATTCTTGGTACTAGCCAAAGTGCACATTTCTAGCCCAGCCTACTTGGCAATTCTGCTGACATTGCTATAATTTAATTTGGGATTTAAAAAAAGGTTTATTTAATTTTAGTAGGTAGTTGAAAAAAATGATTTTTAATTTTTAAAACATAAGAATTTTTTTTTTATATTCTTTAACTGTATTTCAAATTATTAAATTTTTAAATAGTTGAACTTTAGTTACACACTATTTTTGATGTTCTACATTTTAACAAGCCATTTTAATGGATATTATAATTTAAATAAATTTAGTTAGGCATAAAATATATTTCTTTAAATTCCAATTACCCAAAATAAGAATAAATGAAACTAGAACTAAGCAGTTCCAGCTTGAAATTGTGCAAAATGTTTGTCGACAAGCTTTTTCTCGAAAATAAAACAAACACTGCAATGTCAACAATGCGGAAGAACGCAATGCCTTTTCGCATTCTTGGCAAGAGGCACTCGAAAGTGCAATTTATGCGCTAGCCTACTTGGCCAATGGCCACACTCTTAAAAAACATCACTTTTCGCCTTTGATTTTCCTTTAAAGGTTAGTCACCTTTCTCAAAAATCAACTTCTCTTTTATAAGTTTAATTTAATATTTGGTAAAATGACGAAAACCTAAAAACATTTTGAAATTTTTTAAGTGGAAGTGTATTCATGAAGTAGAATAGGGTATTTAAAAGAACCTTTATATCTTTCTAAACTTAGTAAATATATATTTTCAAAATTATTTAAAATATCTTTCATTCTGAGATCTAAATTTACGATTTCATATTAAATTTATAATCTATTAGAGAAGTATAAATATTTTTCCCAGTGCACTCACCTAGTAAATGGCACCTGAAGTGGATGATGTCGCGCAGTGGAACCTCCTCGTTGCGATAGAGTATTTGGAAGATGCGGGAGGCGCCGCTGCCGTTGATAACGGAGGCGGATGTGCAGCTGCCCCCCGGTGGCGCCTCGTGGAGGCGTGGCACTTCCCCCGGCGACAGTTGTTCCCCCCTCTCGCTGTCGCTGCTTCCATGGTCGGTGGAGCCCCCGTTCGCGTGTCCGTTCTGTTTTCCGGGGCCATTGGCTTCCGGAATGCTCGTCTCCACCTGCACAGGTAAACGGGGCGAAACACGCAGGCCACAGCGCACCTGGTAGAGCCTGGAAAAGCAGAAGGGGGGGGGGGAAATCCATTTAATTAAATATGTTTTATCAATTAGGGGACAGGTGTGAGGGATGGCAAGTGTCGTTCTAAAAGGGTCTCAGAGTTTTTAAGCTGATATTTTTATAATATTCACCTTTACTTTGTAGAAGTGTTATTTTTTTCTTTAAAAATCTTTAAATGTATCTAAAATTGTATATTCAATTTTTTTTTATTATTGAAGAAAAGGATTTTTAATTACAAATAGTAACAAAAATTGTTCTAATAAGTTTTTAATTTTTCTAAATTATTTTCCTCGCAAAAAATCGTAATAAAATTCCCACCCAAAAAATTCGGGAAAAATTGTTATTTTGAGCTAAAGTATTTAATGCTTTATACATTAAACATCTTTCAATTTTGACTACTTGGTAAAACTTGTAGTTCTTTTAGCATTAACTATATGTATAAATATCCATAAATCTCTCTGATTAATAGTATATTTCCTCTTCTTCGTATCGAATTTCCCTCGTCATTCACTGGCTGTCAAAACATTTAAAGATCAGAAATCCTCAATTCCCAGCAGTTTCGTCGGCCACTGACACTTTCGGTCGTCAGCAGCTTCATTTACAGTGACAGGCAAACAAAGGGAAATCAAAGGAAAACACATAAAAATCAGCCCAAACAATTGGTTTATTTTTCTTTTTTTCCTTTTCATTTTCACTGGCACACGCAGACGATTCGTGTATTTGCGAACATTTTGTGCTTTGCTTTTTTCACCTTTTTTTTATGTATTTTTAAAACACGAGCAGCGTTTTCTTCAAGAGCAGCAGCGGCGACAAATTGAAATCCCATAAACACTTGGCTGACAATTAGTGAGTGCTACGGTCACTATATACTATGCATATATGCATATAAATCCTACTGGCACCCCCGATATTTCCCCCTTTTTGCCTTTTCTGCACTTGATTGGTGGTGCACTCTTTATTTGCTTATTGCACTGCACTTCTGTTTGCCCAACACTTCAAAGGTCTCCGTGTGTGTCGACCAGTATGATCAACAAATTGGAGAAAAATTAACAATTTTATTTGAAATATTTTGTACCAATAGCCATTGGTTTTTGTGTGTGTGTAATGTATGTGCTATGTCGCAATTGACCCGAATTTCTTCAATGTTTGCACATAATTACGAAGTGCAAATCATCATCGTTGGCTGCCTGCACACACAGAGTTGCTAATTGCAGGAACTAAAATTTAAAGACCTTAATTAACTTAAAGTCGAAAATATAGAAAACGGAAAAACAAAGAGTACATTTTAGTAGACAGCTTTTATGAGCCACTTACATTTTTAATACGAAAATAAAAAATGCAAGAACTTAAGGTTTTATTGCCCACTAAAAACTGAACACGAACTGATTTAGAAAATCATTGCAAGCATTTAAAATTTGCTCAAGAATTTCTAGTTAAATTTTTATATTATAAAATAAACAAATTTCATTGGAGGTGTTAAAACAAATTATAGGAGTTTTAAACTTTAAAAATATGCCTAAAAGTATGGAATAAAATAAAATGACTTTATTTTTTGGAATAAAACCTAAGTTAGCTAATTTTGTTGCATACTTTTAGACACTTTTATAAGAAACTTTCAAATTCCTTTTCATTTCCTTTAAAGTACTTCTTTAAAAGACTCTTTCTGTTTATTTTGTGACTTGACTTTTTTAGAGATATTACTTTGACTAACGCATTTGCCAGCTAATCCATCAATTTCCACGACGTTCAAATAAAAGTTTCTCGGGATTTACTTTTTTACTTAACTTTTCTTTCATTGAATGAATTCACGACTGGGTTTGAGTGCTCTTAAAACACAAACGACAGACTCACCCGCGCTGAAACAAATCCACATTGAAGAACTTGTGCAGCTCGACGACGAATTCGATGGTGGCCTGTAGGTCGCCCATGACTCCTGACTCCTTGATGTTCCTTGACCTCCCAAAACAGGGGATTCCCCTCCTTGTGGTCGTCTCAAGTTGTCCACAAGTTCATTGGCTCCTCTCTGTTGAGAAAAATCAAAGAAAAGAAGCACACAAAAATTGGCTATAAGTTTTTACTTTTATTTATGGTATTTGATTTATTTTTGATTTTTTTTTGACTCCCTACTGCAGCGCCCACAGAAAACGCGGCGTTGCAAGTCTTTGCAACCAAGTTGCCAAGTTCGATTGCCGTGCTCTCAATAAATTTATTGGCAACTATTGACAGCTTGGCCAATTGATTGCCCCGTAATTGTGCGAGGAAACTGTGCCAAGTGGGCGATTTTCGCCGAGCGCGCGCTTTATTTCTTTATATTCGCTGGAGTGGGTGGATGGCCTTCTGTGTGCAGAGAAAAAATTATAACTAAATTGGTCGCGAAAAAGGATGTTTTTTCTTTGGAAATAGGTCGCACTTTGTAGAATAGCTGAGTGATATTTTCATGTTTTACCCATTTGTATTTTTATTTTGCGTGACAAATGCTTTTATCCAATTTATAAATCAATTTATGTTGCCTGCTAATAAATCATTCAAAATAATATTTATATTGCTTGGAGAATTGCAGTTAAAATATAAATTAAATTAATGTTAAAATATTTGTTTATTATGAATTTAAAAGAAATATTATTTTTTTGTGAAACAATTAAAATAATGCACAGTAATAAGGATCAGGGATCGATAATAAATTGTTCACAATTTTCCAAATAATATTTGTTTATTACAATATTATATCTATAAATTGTTTATTTATGTAGTGTGCGGACTCAAAAGAGTAGGTTGTAAAAATGGATAAAAGCCTTTTATTAAGTATTAATTTAAAATTAGATCCAGGATTAAGTAGCCTAATTGGTATAGTACAAAGGGCTTGAACAAATGAAGAGTTGAAACTGCATGAATGACTGCCATTCTCATGTTTTTCCCATTGTGTAGCTGGGTTTCCTATGTGTGTTTGTGTGCTCTGGGGTTAGCGGGTCAGCCACAACAACAATAAGAACAAGAACAACAACGAAGTGGGGGAAGCCCCGCCACGATGTCAGTCGAATGGGGCCAAAAGCGAAAGGAAGACAACAACAACGACGACGACAACTTTTAATCGCCCAAACAACAAAAGCTCCTTTCCTTTCACGGCGAAAAAAAACGGAGAGAGAGGGGGGAGAGAGCGAGAGGGAAAGTGGGAAAAGTCGGGAAAGTCAGTCAGTCAGTCGCCTGCGAAAACCACGCCTACAATAACATTAATGTGCTGCAGTTAATGCCACCCCCCCTTGGATTTTCCACCCACTTTTGGGTGACCTCGCTTGTTGACACAATGGAGGCAAAGCAAGAAAAGTGCTGCTTCTGCTTTTGCTTTTGCTCTGCTTCTGCTTTTCCTTCTACTTCTGCTGATGAAAGAGTTCTCTGTTCGCTGTGTGGATTTTTAAGGATGCCGCGTGGCAAAAGGGAACATGTCTGTTTTCCCCCCAGAAACATCTTCTCTTTTTCCTCGCCGACTGTCTGTTGTTTGCCTCATTGTCAATGTGGGTTAACCTAAGTGAGCCAAGAGGTGGGTGGTGTGGGCGAGAAAAGTTACGCTACTAACCAAAACATTATGGGTAAATTTCCTCACATTATTTACTAAATAGCTTGCATTAAGTTGGTCTATAAAAATATAAATTATTTTCAAACTAATAATTTTAAGGTGTCTAAAAGTAGGCAACAAAAAAGAATGTCACCTTTTGTAATAATCCGATGAAGTTTCGGAATTGTAAAATCTTATTGCATACTTTTAGACACCTTTGTATGCGGTTTCAAAACCTTTATTCGAAAATGTAAGTATTTTTTATATGTTTTAAATATTTACATAAGTAATATTGATTTTATTTTAAATTTTTTTTCATCATATATTTTCTTTTTTTCCCTTTTCCACATTTTAAAGTCAATAAAAAGATTGGAAAACAGCTGGATAAATATTCCCTTGCAGCACTTCTCCATTGTTCCCGAATTACGAGCTTAGCCAAGTTGATATCTTGATTTAAGCGACGCAGACTTATAGTTGCCAACCGCACTGTTCGTCTAGTGCAACTTGGTGAGTGAAAGTGATGATGCCATTTGTTAGCAAAGTCCTTAAACCATCCTTGGTCCCCCAGTCCCCAGTCCAGTCATCCCCAATCCCCAATCTGCAGCCACATCCCCGTTTTATCCCATGATGTATGGGCAAATGTTGTCGCTACATTTTGACTTACTTTGTCATTAAGTGTGCGCCCCGCCCAATTCTCTCTTTTAGCTCGACAAATATTTGTGTTCATGAATTTGGAATGTTCTATGAGGCTTTGGCTTTGGCTTTTGGAAATTAAAAGCAAATTTGCCTGTTAGTTTTTGCCCACGCAAACAGCGAGTGTTCCAAATGGTGCCTTAACTTTTCAACATTACGCATACGCCACGTTGTCTGAGTGAATTTTTACCAAAAAAATGATAAAGGAAACTAGGTCAGCGCTAAAGTTCACGCAAAAAAAGAATTGTGAATAAAGTGCCAAACAATGAGTGAGAAATTTATATAAATACATATATAGGAAAGTATAATATAAAACGGGAAGCGGAAACTTTCAAAAAGCTCAACGAAAACACATTTGTGCAATGGTTGAAGTGAAAAGGCGGAAAGTAGAATTTTTGGTGGATTAACAATGGCAGAGCCAAACCATAATGGCGATTTTTTTTGGCAACTTAGGCGACCACAAAGACGAAATGCATTTATCAAGTTTCTAATTGAAAACTGAAAACTGCCATAAAATTGCATTAAGACCTCAAAGGATAAAGTTTGTGAAAGGAAAGGCTGTTTTCCGAAATTCACCTAACTAAAATAATAGTAAACGAAATGAGCTGTGAACTATTCAATATCGGGAAGAGCGACCACCAAGAGTGCGCCATAAAAATAAAGCTACAAAAGCCACTTGAGTCAAACAAAGGCACAAAGACCCAAAACATAAGCCCGGCATTTCCGATCGACGGAACTGGAGTTTCCTACACAGAAAAAAAACATATAAATCCTTACAGAAATAATGATAATAGGAATATTGAATACATGTTAATTCCATATTAACAAATGATTTAAAATCAAAAAAGATTTAAAAAAATATTGGATTTTTATGATTTCAATAATACGTTGAAATCGAAATGAAAAAAAAGCAAGGTTCAGACTTAAGTCTGAATTTTGAACTTATACTCTTGATTTCTTTTGATATTTGAAAAATTAAATTAAACATGTAGAAATTCTGAAGAAATCATTTAGAACGAATACTTTAGAAATCATGAAAAAGTGTGTAGAAAACAAAATGAGTGAAAACTAATGCTACGGGAGAAAGAAACATATTGAAATTTAAATTACCTAATTTTGAATATGGTACTCTAAAATCATGTTTCTTTTTTTTTTAATTTTTTTAAATATTTTTTCCCTGTGTAGCCCCAGCAAAACTGTCGATGACAACGGCCTCATAAACGGGAGAAATCAAATCGTTCGTGCTTATCATCGTAATGATTATCCCTAATGTCCCGGCGAGAGGACGCGGAGAAGGGACTTCCGCGCGCAGGAAATGAGGAAGGAGATGGCCTAGCATATCTCCCTAAAGCCCAAACCCTAAACGAAAGACCCACTTCTTGGCCAACTTCGCTCTTCGTTACGTGGTGCCCTAAATTATCGCCGTCTGGCCAAAGTACAAATGGCAGGAAAAATAGGGAGAAAAGAGGACTAAGGACCGTCAATGGCAGACAAACGAGGGTTGGTTCTCCTTCCTCCTCCCCTCCCTCAGATGAAGATAAGTTGGTGACCCCGACACGTTCTGCTTTTTTTACGTCTTCCCCACTTGTTTTGTTAAATATATCTATAGACTATAGTATAGCATACCTACTATATTGGGGGCGTACATACATAAAACATGGCGTGCGAATGTGTTAATGTCTAAAGGTCGTCGTGGCCTGTTGATGAATGGGAAAATGGAAAGGAAAAGGAAAAGCTTTCATGTTCATATTTCAATTTAATACCACAGGCCGCCGGCCGGTCACATTTCCTTTCGCATTTCGGGGCCCCAGTTTTCAAGGCCATAAATTCAATTAATTTCCTCTTCAAGTCTGTGACTTTATGATTGTGAAAAATTAATTAAAATATTTTGTATAGCTTCCAGCTTTGAGTCGGATCAAAAAGATGTTGTTGCCCGTTGCGACCGAAAAGGTCCTTGAAAAATTAATAGGTTCCTCTTTGCAGGAGCTCAATTTCATTCATTAACGATTTATATTGCCTACTTGTAGGCGCGCTAACCTTTAAAAACATGTAAACTTCGATACTAAGCAAATTTATCCAATTTGGAAGAGGAGCATGATGTTTATCTCATGTAATTTGAAACTCAGAAAGAGGAAACTTTTTGTTGATTGTTATCTTTCGGTTGCCTCGAAACCCACAGGAGAAAAAGCTCTTTCAATTTGGTTGTCCAGCAACTTTGTTCCGCCTTCATCTCACTTCCATGACAACTTCTTTTGCAGCCAGACTGAGCCGGAAATAGGCAATTTCATATCAGACAATTTCAACGACCGATTTGTTTTTGTTTTTTCCTGGGCGTCGAGCTCCGAGTTCCACATGCCTGCGAAACATGTGTTTTCCCATTAAATTATTCATCAACTGGGAAAGTTAACCAGCCGGGGCTCTAACTTGGCCCACCACTTCCACATCTGCCCAGGAATCTCATAAAAAATGCCCTCGAGTGCCGACTTCGTCGCCGTCCATGAGCATGAAAATTATTTTCCCTGGCCTCCAAAACTCTTTTCCCCAGCTATTGTGCACAATAAAGCAGGGGAAAATAGTCAAGTGCTGTGGAAAGACTATTTGTTACCTAATTGGGCCAAAATCATAAAAAATTCTGGCAAATCCTATGAAAACTTTAGTTTATTAAAGATCGTTTAAGTAATGAAAAAATTACTCGTCCTTAAAATATTTAAATAATTATATATTTTCTTCACAAATAATATAAAAAGTTATAAATTTTTATATTTTCAACGCTTTTTATTTTCTAAATCGATTTTATATGATAGATTGGTAGAATTTATCTATATTATTTTCTTTGCAATAATTGGTAAGTCAATTAAAAATAGCTTATATTTGAAAAGTAAAGAGATAGTGAAGAATTCGGGTTTGTATTAAAGTATGGAGCTATAAAATTAAAAAATACGTTATCCCGTTAAATTATTTAATGTAGGCTTCTAAGGACATGCTACATTTTGAAAATAAAATATGCCTACTTAATATAAAATAAAATGTAATAAATAAAATATACAAATATATACGGTACATTCACTTCCAAAAAACAATATACCCCTCCTATTAACAGAAAAGGCATAAAAAAATTGCCAACAGTTGCAGCTGACGGCAGAAACAAAAAGGCGAAGGGGTTGAAGGGGCAAAAAGCTGAGGAGGCAAAGAGGTGCTGAGGTATCTTGGCCAAGTGCATCGCGTGCCGGGGGAAAAAGCCAGGGGCGCTCGGGCGGGCCACTTGCTCACGTTCACGTGTCGAGGCCCAAATGGGTTTGGGCCAAGTTAAGGGGTGGAATGAGTTTAGGGCTTAGGGAGGCACCATAAAGGGCGAGCCGAACAACTCAAGTGCGCAGCCAACAATAACAAAAGAACAAGACCCCGAAACCGAGGAAAGTTAGGAAAAAACCCGGTAAACAGGGCTTGTGGTGAGTGGTGAGTGTGTGTGCAGGCAAGTGCAAGGAATTGGTCAACATTTATACGGGCCTCTCACAGCTTACAATCTCACGTTGCAGCGGAAAAGCGGAAAATGGAAAAAAGAAAATAAAAATGGGTGGAAAGCGATTGAAACGTCTGGACGACGGGGGACAAAATCGGGTTGGGAAATCTTGTGGCGCATCAAATGGAATTGAAGTGAAAGAAGCACGAACCAATGAAAGATTGCGCAGAGGCTCAAAAGAGCTTTGCGAAATGAAATGGAAATGAAATGGAAATGAAAATGGAAAAAGGCAAAAGAAAATGAAAAAGATCAAGCAAATTAAGAAGATCTAAGGAAGATGACTAACTTTAAGAGGTTCTAGGGAAACTTAAGTTCAAGGATTTTACCTAATGAAGACAAGCAAAAGCTGAAAGATATAAATACTACAAAAATACATAGATTCTTTATTTAATTCATAAATAAAATAGAAATTAAGGAAATATTGGATGAGTTATGAGATAAAGAGGTAAATTTTTAAAATTCTTTTAAAAGATGCCTAAAAGTATGCAATAAATAAAGGAAGTCGTCTTCCTGTATGAATTTATATTACTATTGCGTTAAAAATATATTTTGTTGCATACTTTTAGACACCTATTTTGAAATTTAAAAGTGATTTATAAAACCCAGCTATTTTTGTTATAAAAATACATAAAATCAATAAAAAAAATTTGATAGTTAGAAAAACTAATATTTATCAAATATTCTTCTTTACTAAAAGCAGAAGCTTCTAATTGGAATATTCGAATAAAGGAAAAATGAAGCTAAGTTTCATTAAAATTCCAGGACAACAAAGCGAAATGGAGAACGTTGCGCAGGATTAGAGCCCAGGGAAATGTATAAAATATAAAAGTCAGAAATTCGAGAGCCTAGCGCCGAGTTGTTAGAGGCACTGAGCATAGAAATACTCCTGCAGCAACGGCTGGGATAATTAAATCAAATAAATTATTTATCAAACCATGAAGGCTGCACTGCTGCACTGCAACTACCAGTTGGCTACAACATAATTTGCTCAACTTTCTGCAGCATTTCCGAGCATTTCCATACATGATGCATGGCATCTGGGCCCGCCGCCCTCCGCCCACCGGATGACTTAATTATATGCACCAAGCAGCCACATCCACATCCACATCCTCGTACTCTCTTGACTCCCCTCTTTATGAAGGACCCTTCCCACTTGGTTAACTCCAACAAAGCTCAACGAGTTGAGCATTGTGTAGAGCGGGCATGTAAGCACCACCTGAAGGACCTCCGGGGTCTGGACTCCCTAATGAAAATGGAAACTTGAATTGGCAGCAGACCGAAGCGGAGGAGGAGTTTAAATGGGAGATGGGGTATACCCTCTACAGAGGGCGCTGGAAAAATTGAATTGAGCCTTTTTATGCGACCAGACTGACGATGGATGGGGATCGGGAACACTGGAGACGGAACAGGATATTTCATTACATTTAAGCATGCATGGCTGAATGGGAGGATTCGTTTCGCTCGGGTTTGGTTTGCTTTTGGGGTGGCTCAGCTTAGATAGGGTAACGCCCACGTGGAAAAAATGGCAACATTGTTGAAATGTGCAAATATTGGCTCAAGTGACGGCAATAAAAGAGTCAGACCCGGCAAAAGTCCCTTTTGCCCTTCCTGAAAGGCCCTCGAGCACCTGAGGGTTATCCTTTTTATATGGCTACCTGGTATTCGTAGGATATATTGGGTACATTTAATTATGTGGGTGGTGACACAGAAATCTCGGAAGTTATGAAAGTAAATTAAATTAAATTTTAAATCACCTAAAAGTATGCAACAATGTATTTTGAATAGTATATTTTTAATAGCATACTTTTCAACACTTTCAAAAATTAGTGATTACTAATACTTAAGATTTACAAATTGACTTTATAGAATCTATGGCTCAAATGCTTTAACATTTATTTGGTATTTATTTAAGACCCTCATATATCTCTAAAAAATAGGGTGTCCCCTAGTCCCTTTGAAATTTTCCTTCAAATCCCCAACCATTACCATCACTTCACCTGGCATTTCATCAATTGATGTCCCTTTAGTGTTATCCCAACTTTAACCCTAAAAGCTCACGATTGTCGACAGCAATTTCAATTTCCCCATGATTGACAGCCCGAAAGGTCCGCCCCCTTTTTGCATAATTGCATACCTGGTTGGGCCCCTCTATTCGAATATTCCATATATTGCATATAAATATATGAGGGTTTATATATGTGGTTTGCTGTTTTTTTTTACCAGAGCGGTCATGTCATAGATCTCTCGACAGGAAGAGGTCCTCAACCCAAAGTGCCTCCTGTCACACAGCCTCATATGTCTACTGCGGTTTTGCCTCGGTTCGTTTCAGTTCGGCTGAGTTCAGTTCAGTTCAGTTGGGTTGAGTTGCGTTATGTTGTGCGGGGTGTTTTTGCGTTATGCGGCAGTTAACTGTGTCGTGACATGTGGCAAGCATAAAAGAACCGTAAAATGTAATGTTTGTTGCGGGCTCCCCCGAAAAACATGACGTGAAGTGGTCGAGATGGAGCGGAATACGAGGAATACGGAAATACTGGATGGAACTGGCAGTACGCTGACTTGTGACTCACGCATTTGCCAAAAGGCCGGAAAACTGGGTGGGTTCTACGAAGTGGGTGGTGGTCTAATAGGTGGCCGTGTCAACACATGCCCAAATTACACTAGGCACGCAGGAAGGAAACCGGAGAACCACAAGAAATTTCGGCGGCGGTAAGGATTTTTTAATAAAGTCGCAACGCGAGTCGAGTTGAGTTAGTCATGCGAAGGCAGGTGGGGTTTCACAAAGGACTTGTGCTTCCTAATAAATCGATTTTTCATTTGGTTTCGGAGTTTATATATCTTTATTTATCAATAGGCACTATAAATACCTATTTTTGGAATTTTATAAAATTTGTTTAATGATTTTTACTTTAATTTACTTAAGGTGTCTAAAGGTATGCAATTAAAAATAACTATCCTGTTCAAACTATTTTGTTGCGTACTTTAAGACATCCTAATAAGGGATTTAAAACTCCTGGTGATTGCTAAATTAAATTATTAAATACATTATTCTTCTTAAAATTTCTGAATTTGTTTTAATCAATATTTACGAATAACCATCACATTTTGTAGCACAGTGTAGGAGCGCAGTTATCACCCGCATTTGCGAGTCCCTATTTAGTCCCTTTTTTGTTGACCATCAAATTTGCGAGCAAATGTCCCGTCCTGAACCGAACCGAACCATCCGAAATTCGTTTTAATTAAATGCATCATAAATTCTCGCACATTTCAGGCTGTCACAGGAAAAACGAGATTCCCTCGGAATCGCACTTGTCACTCAGTTTTGAACACTTTTCCATTCCATTCTTGATTCACTTTGCTCTCTGGGTTTATTTTTATTTTTTTTGTTTGCGGAGGTTTTTGCCCTACAAAACGGCGATGCCGATTTTTTGTCGCTCATTTTTGTGTGTGGCCATGAAAAACGGCAAATTTATTTATACATTTTTGCGTTTGCTCTGCGGGACTTTGCGTATGAAATGTTTTTGCAATTTAAAAATAATTAACCCAGCGAGAATGTTGTTTGCTCTAGGAATAAACTGTAAATGTCTAATGGGTTGGGATAAAAATATCAAGTAATTGTAGGGGTAATTTTTAAATGATTAATTAAATATTAGGCAAAAATATATTTTTTATTTCATGAACTGTAACTATAAACTGTATTATGACTAGCCTTGAAGGTCTTTAAAATTCTATTAAAAATTGAAGAAACTTTATTAGGAATTTAACATATTTTTGTCCTTATTTCAGAACCCTTGTTTAACGTTTTCTGGGTTAAAAATATCCCCCCTAAACTCGATGGGAATTTAAAAACGTGGCTTCCCTTCTGTGGGCCCTAAATTTAGGTGCCGTGGAGTTTGGGCCATTGAATTAATTAGGCTGCGACAACGAGGAGCACTTTAAGCGAAAAGGGCGGTCAAGTGGTGGGAGTGGCACACTCGCTCACACTCAACACACACTCACACACACACACAGACTCTTCTGCCAAGCACATTTTGCCCTAATTTTACTTTCTGCGAGATGGCGAAGCGATGTTATCAGGACACACACTTTTGGGCTTTTGGGTTTGCAGGACGACCAGCCATCCCGAAGAGACAAACGCTCTCTCTTTTATTTTCCTTTTATTTTTTTTAAACCATCCCGATGTCATAATTTACGCACTTCTTCATCTGCCTCCGGATTATTTGCACTGCCCGGTGGACATTTTCCCTTCCGGCTAATGAAATTAGAGTGCAGCCAGCGAAAAAACCAAAAAAACCGAAAAACCGCAAATAACCGAGTGTTACAACGAGCGGTAGTATTGTGTTATTTTTTTCCGATTTTTGTTTTCCGAATTTCCCGAATGCTAAAGAATTTCCACCGCCAAACGCACGTCCGCACCGGGAAAATGTCTACAGCCGACTGAGACGGAGAAAACTGCGCCGGAAAATGAGAGACCCGAGTAACGAGGGGAATCGAGTACGAGTACGAAAGCATCGACTACTGAGAACGCACCACACAGAATGCGTCGTCGGATAAATTGTTCTTTGTGCTCTTGGCCGTATTTTTACCATTCAGCCAAATTCAATTTCCTTTTTTATCTCTGAAGAGTAGAAGGTAAAGAGAAGTACAATTTTTTAAGGCACCTTTCGCTCTTTGGAAAGATTGAACGTCGACTGATTGATGGGAATTTAAATGTTCTGGCCATGACGGGTGATAAGTGATTGATTAATTGGCCATAATGCTGCGGTATAAAATTTTCGAGCGAAATTTAAAGTGTTAATTCTAAGAAAACGGAGCTACTTAAGGTTGGACACAAAGGGATTTAGTATAAAAATGTGAGTAAGCGTAATATTTGCTCATATTAAATTCATTACTTGTGAAAATGTTCATTATAATGGGAAAATTTGGGAAAATAAAGATAGAATTTATTTATTCAATTCTCTCTATTATGTCAACGATACTTCATGTATTTTATAGTAATATAAAATAACTGATTAAAATTGTAATTAATATAAAATAATAGCTCAGCACATAGGCACATGGGTCACATTTGTTTTTGTGAAGTCACAAAGTAATTTAGCATGGGCACATGTCGATTCTTTAAAGTCTTTGAAAAATTAAATAAGGAACTATATGATTTTAGTAGAGATAAATGAATATAAAAAGTTTGAGTATATTTATTTTATTTATATACCTTTTTTTTAATGAAAATAATATTTAAAAAAATCTTCTATAAATAAATGTTTAAAATATTTTATTTTTTTTTTTTTTTAAATCACCCTTAAAGGGCATTGCATGAATGCTTTTAAATTAAGGCACGACCCATAGTTTATTGTCCTGGCAGCACCAGCTGATTTCTCTTTCGCTCACCTCTCTTGCCAAAGCTTCTGCGCATGTCCTCCCTTGATCCTGGCTCTTTCCGAAACGAAGTCCTGCTGTCTGTTCCCCCGGGTCCTGTTTTTGTGACTAGCCCTTGCCGGCGGCGACAATTCCGCGGGATCCGAGCGGGGAAAACCTGGCGAACAGCTGGACTCGAGGACAGCAGGGAGGACCATCCACACAGCCCACTGGGATAAGGATAAAGATGAGGACAAACGGGACAGACGCCTAAGTCGCGAACCGCTGGCAACAATGTTCGCCAAAAGCTCTTCTCTCATCGCTGGAGCAGAACAAAGTAAATCAAGGATGGAAATCTCGAAGCGGAGGAGTCCTTTCCTATCCTTTCCTTTTCTCCTTTTTCTTTTATTTTCCTTTCCTCTCCAGCTGATTATTTTATCGGCATTAGTTTTGTTTAGGTGCCACACAGACAGGTGGCTGCATTCCGTTTTTCCCCAGGTGAAAATGTCAGGCGAAAAGAGAGTGAAGGATTTTCCGCGGGGGAGGGGGTTAGCTGCTGACAGGCACTTTCCACTTTCAATTTTATTTGCGCGCATTATGGCAAAACATGATTATTGAGGGCGGGAAATAAAGGGAAGTGGGCGTGCTGTTCAAAATGGATTGCTCATACGCACCGTTGCACCCCATGGGAATGAGCTTATTTTCCGCAAAACGATGAAGCTCTGATGGATATTATTTTTGCCGTTCAAATTTATACAGATTGTCCATCGATTTGGCTAATTAAAAAATATGGGAATATTATTTTCGTGATAATAATTTTCCCTGAAAATGCAAGGCTCATTAAAATGTGAGGAAATAATCCTTAATAGCCTTTACAAGTTACAAGTTAAATGGCTATTAATTTCATGATTGCTTGCGCTTGCTGGCTTAAAATTATATAGATAAATCCAATTAAAAAGGTGGGGAAATAAGCCAAAATATTATTATTTTGTGGTTTTCAATTAACAATTGCTAATTAAAATGATGTCCTTGACACCCAAATGGTTAATCAGATTTTAATTAATATTAAATGGATTTCAAATAAATTCTTCTTTTGTATGATACATTTTATTTATATTTTACATGAGAAAATACAGGCAATCCTAGGCATAATTTAATTAGGTTTACTAGCTAATTATCAACAAGAATTTTTTTACACTTACGCAACTAAGCTAAGAATACGCGAATTTAGATCGTTTCAGCTGTGAGTGTTCGACATTCACATTCACCTTCACTTAACCGCCAGTTAACGCCAATTTAAGCCCAACTAGTTAATCACTTGATCGCATATGGATTAGGGTTATGAATCCTTGGATCCATGGATAAATAGATATCCCTTCCCCCTTTAATTGGGCTGCACTTCGCAGACAAAGTAGGTCTCGAAGCTGCAGGGCGAGTCGTTCCACTTGAGGCCCTTGCCATCGCGGTTCCACAGCTCCAAACAGTTCTCCTCCTCGCCGTTCTCGTACCGGAAATTGTTGGGCTCCCCGGCGTTCCAGTTGGTGAATGTGATGGGTCGACCGGTGGCCATCCAGAAGAAGTTGCCCTCGTCGGCCAGGTCCGTGCCGGAAATCCAGAAATGTTCGTGGCCCAGGCCTGGAAATTAAATGAGAAGCCATGGGATTATGCTTGAGTAACATATGTATGCAAATTGTTTTTTTTTTCTGGATATTACTATCAAGAAGGTATATGGGTTTTGAGGATATATTTAACTTTTTGGTAACTTATACTTTTTGTCCTTTGTCGTTATAAATATTTTTAATTTAATAATTATTTTTTTTTTGCCTAAACATTTATAAAACAATTGGTAATGGTTTGAAAACGTTTATAAATAATTCTAAAAGTATGCTACAAAATAATATTTCTAAAAAAACATGTATACCATTTTTAAAGGTACGTAAAAATATTCAACTAAATCTTTTAAATTCAGAATTTCAATGTACAAGAGCTGAAAAGTGACTCTTACTTTAAATGCGTTTTCTAGTTTCAAGCTAAATCACATAAATAAATTAAAAACTAAAATCTGATAGACATAATCTGATTTATAGACCACAAAAACTGCACATAAATTGATTAAGTTACTGCATGTTGGAAAGTATTAAATTAAATCTTTCAACTGTCCGACGGAGCCAATCAAAACATCTTTGCCCTGACAAAACACAGCTCTTGTGACAGCTGGACAGCTGCATTCATATTGGCCCACAGACTGAAAAACTGAAATCGGTTGAAAAGCCGATCAATATGACAATAGAGACCCCCGGCCAGCAAACAAAGGCATTTGCAAATGCCGCAGGAATGGAACCGGGGGGAATGGAATTGTGAACTGGGGACTGGACTTTGCAGTGGACTTTCTAGTGCCATAATACACGGAAGTTGGTAACCGAAAACCCATAGAAAAATGGGGGTCGGAGCATCGGAGATTGGGCGCTGGAGTAACGAACTCCAGTGCACTTTCCATTGCATAAATCTCCATAAAAACACACACATGGCAATAGACCAGAGCAGACAAACGGAAAAAGTGAATGTTGCACATTTTTGTTGAAAGCTGACCGCCGCAGGGCCATGGGCAAAAGCCACGCCCACTCATGAACGGGTGGAGAAAATAACAATAAGCTGCGAAGGGTTTTAAACTGACTTTCTAGTTCAGTAAATACATCCAGAGCTATAGTTACTAGGTGCTTAAATTGCAAAGGAAGGTGCCGATGGATTTAGAAATTGAATACTTGTTTATAAAGATTTGAATACACATTTATATATATTTTAATTTAGAAAGTACTAAAGAAAAATACTTTTTGCTATAATTCTAAGTGCTATGAAAATTCACATATTTTTGTCACTTTAGAATAAATTTAAAATGCAAAATTATTTTAAATATTAACAAATCTAGTTGCTATTTAATCTAGAGATTTGAATTCTAATTTTTAAGGTGTCTAAAAGCATGCAACAATATATTTTTGAGAGCAGTTAGCAGGAATTATACTTACATTTAGTCTTAGTTTTTTATTTATTAAAACATTTATAAAGAATAATATTTCCTCTAAGTACAATAGGGCTAAAACTAAATTAAATATTCTAAAGCATACTTTTAGACGCCTTTCCCAGAGATTTTATTTCTCTAGAGATATTAATGTCAATCCTTAAAGTTTGGCTTCCTAGAAAGCATATTTCAAATAAATACTCTTGATTGCCCCCGACATGAAATGCCATCCTAGGCACGCTTCTCACTTTAATCAATTTAGCCCGGCGAAATCGTTTTTTTCCCCGACTCCTTTCGCCAACTTACCAAAGTCACGTATGTGCTTCTCCAGTCTATCGTTCTCTTCCTGTGATGAAATGCTGGCCAGATGCATGCCATGGTACCGGCAATATTGTGTGGCTTTGAACCAGTTTGCCTGTAATGGAAAAAAGCAAAGAAAAAATATACGAAAAAACACACATGAAATTGAATTGAATTGAATTTAAGATGCATGCCAAGTTAAAGATTATATAATTGTGTTTGCGCAATCGGTTGACCCAGTTTCCGAGAGTCGAGAGATCTCAATCCTCCGGCAGCCACTGGAAAGGTGCCATTCAATCTCGAATCTCGGCACTTGTCAATAAAAACCAGCAAAAAAAAGGAACCCAGAGATTTGTTTTCTCCTGGTTTTTCATACCCCAGAATGTGTGAAAGGGGGCGGCATTGGTCACGCATTCGCATGGAAATCGAGTTTATCTTTTGGATCTCTGCGTGGGTTTTGTAGCCAATTAGTGTTGGTTTCTCTGTATCTGATGCGGTTGGCCTATCTAAATGTTATCAGAATCGAAATTGGCATCTGAATTGGTTTCAGGGGCTATATCCTGTCGAAAACCTCGCAAAACAACATATTCAATTAACTCTAATGGACTTTGGCCATTGGGTCATTAGCAGGATTGGTTGGTTAGAGCACAGCAAAAAAATCGGATGGCCATATATCTCCTGCTGTGAGCTGATGTGCACATAAATCGATTACGCAACTATCGCAGGATGCCTGCTGCTTTCTCCCTTCCCCACTAACTTGGCTTTAATTGTATTAGCCGTAATTGTGCGCGAATAAACGCGGGAGATGCGGCACAACCTGCCACACTGACATGCCACATGTGGCAAAAACACCCAGGAAAGGAGGAAGATGGAAGGTGTTTAATGCCTTCACTTCCCCCTGAAAGTGTTTATTGGCCTGTAAAAGGTTCATCTCGCCCCGCTGAGAAGTCAATTAGTTTGGTGAGGTGCCGAGGTGAAATGGGTATTCTTCTTTGGTTCATAACAAAGCCCCTTGTTCCTTTGGCTCCCTTTAATGGGCCCAGAATTTCTGCTGTCAGGGAAACTGCAGAAGGTTAATGCCTTGTCTGACTCGCATTTTGATTTTGGTCGAGGCGAATAAAGAAAATAAAGAAAATTTCTGAGGTTGTCAAGGTTTTGACAAGGTTAACTTATAAAGAAAGTCTTTGTTTGGCTTAGAAATATTATTATTACGATGAGGTCAAAGAATTTTAGCTTCTCATGAGACTTTGAGAGGTTAAAGAGAAATTAATACAGAAATTAATTATTTAGGTATCTAAAAGTATGCAGTAGAAAAATGAAACAAAGGAATTTTTATTTTGTTGTATTCTTTTATACAGCTTTAAAAAGGATTAAAAAAATCTTGTCATATCCTAAGCATTTTCCTATTTTTTTCTTGGAAAAAATGTTATTAAAGTGTACGCATATCTTTTTTGATTTCTCCATCATATTCTAGTCTCAAACATTTGCCAACATTTTTTGCCTTAATCAAATTGCGACCCACAAAATTCTGTTAAATCATTTGCAATAGGCAATGGCTACCAATTAGGCGACTGAAGTTTACACAAAACTCAATTGAGTGGCAACAAAATATTGGCCGTGTTGTTAATGTCATTAGCAGCAGCAGCTACCTTAACACACAGCCCACCTCTCAATTAGCTTTGATTTGATTTGCGCCTGCGTGAAGCCCAAAATGACATTATGCCTCCAACTGTGCCGACTGTGCGGTTGTCAAGTCTTATTTTCCCCAAAAAAAATTTAATTGCTTCATTTGCATATTTACACGCGAAATGAATTTGCATTAAATTGCTCATATGTATTGCATAACATTGTGCCACTGCTGAAAAGAGAGTGAAAAAAACCCAAAAACTGAATGACTTTTGAGATATTCATAAAAGGCAGCGGTAGAATTCTTAATTAGATATTCCCATAAATAATCGGAAAACACTTTGGAACTGATATGCGTGTTTAATTAACTGGTCAAAAAGAAAGAAAACCAAAAGCAAACGAGAGGGAAAAAAATATAGAAATTGAATATTTAAACTTTCTGAACTTGGGAATGCTCTAAAAAAATTTATTATTAGCTAAGGGAAACCGTTATGTTATAAATTGTCAAATCACATTAATTATGATAATTTTTTAGAGTCGTAAAGTTAATCACAATAACAATGAATATTCAAATTTCTTTTTATTGATATATAAGAACTTTGAACTAAAATTAAAATTCTTACACACAAAAAAATTTGCTTGGTAAAATTGACCAACAAAGATAGTTACGTAACTATTAAAATAGTTACGTGTATTTTGTTTTTGCTTTGGGTTTGTGTCTTTGCTAATGGTGTGTATTTTGTTGTTGTGAAATGACAATTTACTTAGTAGAATTGACAAATTTGCTGGTTGGGGCCTGTTTGACAATTATTACAGTTGATTTTACCAAGTTTTTTTTTGTGTGTAGAATTAATATTGATCCAATTTATTACTTTAATATTATGTTTACTATATTTTGAATAAAAGCCAGAGTAAAATCAAAATTAAGCGATTCAATAATTAAATTCCAATTAATTAAAAGCCGGGTCGTAAAGATAAGCACAATCATAATAAATATTCAAATTTTAATGGAATGCATAAATACGATTTTTAAAGTGAACATCCGAATTTTGAATCCCTATAACAGTTAGGGTAACAACAAATAAAACGAATTAAAAATTAAATTCAAATTAAAATGCCAACCTTCTGAGCTTTTGAGATGCTTAAAATTTTAATCGCTTTGACAATTGGCTAAGCAATTGTGGGTGTTGGAAAGAGGGAGATGGCAGGAGGTATAGCTATAGAGCGAGTTACCGTTAGAGAAAACAAATTTGGGAATATTTATGGTTTTTCGGTCTCGGTTTTCTGGGTGGCTTTCGGTATCTAACGCCTAATCAGCCGACTGGTTAGAGGGAGATGGATTTTTTAAGTTAATTAACGAGCTAATAATTAATTCATTCCTTTGTTTATCCCGGCGGCAAACAGCAAATAGAATTGCTTTATTTACACGCTCAATCAGAAACGTTCATAAACAAAAAAATATGCAACGAAAGTTGATTAAATATTTATTTATTTGTGCTTTTGTGCTATTTTGTGCTCTGCAATTAAAGCGTTCAAATGTCGAATTAAAATCGTGGAGATTTATTTGTCATCGCTTTCGAATAAAAAATGAACGAAAACATTTTTATTATTCCAAGCAATTGAGAGATTGTGTTTGGGATTAAACGGTATTTGTTTGGGAAGATTCCATTCTGGTTTTTAAGTGAGATATTTATTGCAGGTTTGGTTTATATGGAATTTACATGCGTGAATATTTTTATATTTTTTATTTCTAGCTAATGAACCAAAGAAACAAAACCTTCCCACCCAAAATGTATAGTTTTGCATTTTAAGAAGACTAGGTTTCAGTTTGCAAATCTATTAGTCCGCCAAACCAACCTCTATAAATTCACCATCTAACCTCTTCCTGAAAGACTTTGCCCCATTGATTAATACCAACGATACGCATTTAATTATTTTTACAATGGTGAAGCAGTTTTAATTTTATGGCCCTATCTTTAAAGTTCAAGGAGACTCTACCGTGCATTTTATGAATATGAAAATATAATTCAGTTTTAACTTGGAAGCAGTAAAATATCTCTTTCCATCTCTATCTATTACTCATACGACCCATGGTCACACCAAAATCGATAGCGGTTTTGTGAACGCCTTTTTGATGCTTTGACTAATTCGTTTTTAATATGAATAGCCGCTTTGTTATCGATTTTTGCTATATTCACTGATCAGTGGCCAAACACGCGCCTCTTTTTGATACCCTAGATAAATTAATTCAGGGTCGAATTGGTGCGATCTTGCTTGGTTTTATGTTTCTGTCAACAGCTTTTATTTAAGAGATGACTTTGGGGCGTAATTCTAAAGCGGTTTATTATTATATCAATTTTATGTTGAATTGAACATTGAATTTCCACTGTTGAATGATTTTTTGTAATTGAAGAGTATTTTATCTCTCAATAAAAAATTAATGTTAGTAAGACATTTGATTGTTTATACATAATTTTAAATTTGCATTGACGTCAGACCTCACTAATAGTATTATAATAATTCAGTTTACTGATTAAAAAACATTTTTGCATAATTTTTAAATTCATAATTGGTTTGACTAATTTTATTTAACAAAGAAATGATGGGCAAATTAGTCAAGATTATTTTAAAAACAGAGCATGATTTTGCGATAAAGATATAAATAACCACACTTTATAATGAGATGTAAAAACCCTTCAATCATGCGTGGCTAATTTTTAAGACTCTCGATTGCTTAATAATGCAAATAACACTAACAAAATTTAAGAAAATAAATATTTTATATTATGTAGCCCCATATTCTGTCTTCTCCCACACCCCCGACCAAACCAGAAACCTGTTGACCAGTGTAATATATGAAGTGAAGCTTCTTTAACCGCCCCTGCTGTAATATTCCATATGCAAAAGGCATCTTGCAATCTTCAACGGCAGCTGAGAAATCCGAGACCCATCAAACCGGACTTTTGTGGAACCGTTGGCTTTGCAGCTCCGTTGGGTCAGTTGCATTCGGTCGGTTGCTCTGTGGTTTGCTCATGTTTATGGACCGTTTTGTGGGGCGTGGAATGCGACTGAGTGGCTCACCTTGAAGAAGATGCCGAGGTAGTAGCGCTTCTCCCCGAGTTTCAGCAGCGGCATCGTCCATTTGTTCGGCGTGTATTGCGACTCGTCCACGCAGTTGGGGCAGTCTAAAAATAGGGATCGAGAAGGATGGAGGATTAAACTCAAGAATTTATGGAAAAATCAACGATCTTAGCAGAATTAATGCGAAAAACGAGGCAGAAATGGGCTGGGTGACGTTGGAGACTTAAGGATAACTGACTGGCGCTTCCTTATGATACACTCAAAAAAAAATTAGGAATTAAAATAACTAAAAAACGATAATTAGTTTTATGTAATTTAATATTTTTAATTTTACAATATATAATATTTGTTTTTAGTATTTAATAGATTTTGAAATGTTTAATGTCATTAATGCCATTTTAATACAAATTTTTTGACAACTCAAAGTAATTTTAATTCTTTTTTTGCTTTTTTTATAATTTTTATTAAAAAAGTACATTTAATTTAAATATTTTAGATATCTTAAAGTCTTTTTAAGATATGTTTTTTGCAATCTCGAGGTTGTTGTCATTCTTTTTTCCTTTACTAAATTGTATACAAATTTTTTGTAATAAAAAATCTATAAACTCTCTAAGTATACCGAAAATTAAGCTACGGATATCTAGTTTCTGCGGCACTTAAAATAAACGTATTCACATGTTTGGTTAGTTCGTAAAATTAAAAGGACTTAAACTGGTTTGTTTAACTTATTCGAAACGCCCAAAATAAAAATGCTTATATGCAGACAATTCGCGCTGTTTTTGGTTTATAAACATTTATAAGGCGGGTTGCCTTGTGCTTGATTCACACTTGATCGTAATTCGTCTATAAATTTTTAGGAATTGCCAAAAAAAGAGAATCATTAAACTATAAATGATATAGGAGACATATAATTTATAGTCTGATTTAAAGACTAAAGTTCTTTTCTTTCACTTTTCGATTGTCTCATCAATTGACTAATTAACTGCCGCATAAAAGCAATCTTAATCTGTGATTTTAAATGCCGAACCCACCTTAAACGGACATCTTATAGATCAGGTGGACAAAAGACTTTAAGACTAATTGCGGATGATGTCCACAAATTGAGTTATGAAAGTCTGTTCGTTCGGATGTCAAAAGGAAACAAATTCGAGTTGGGAACTGGTTTCTTTTTCGGAATTCATCTGAGAGCCAGTTCGACTTGTCCCATCGAATTAAGCATAATCCGCAGTGACGCACAAACTCCAATCCAGATTGAACTAGAACTAATTTTTGTTTAAATCTGAATAAAGGTCAATCTATTGTTTGATCTTAAGTATGTGAAGGTCACTTACGTTATATTCTTTCTATAAATAAAAAAGAAAAAATCTTTGAAAAAAGCGAAACGGTTTCCCTTTTGTTTCGTAACTGTCTTTCCGCTAATGTTTATTAATTAATCATACGCCATGTCTGCCCATCTACAGCCACCAACATTCTGCGAAGACCTCGCTAAAAATGTGTTTTATGTTGATGTTGATGGCGATTGTCGAATGCCGCTGATATATGAAGGGGCGTAGTAACAAGGGGTTCACTCCAAAAAGAAATAAATTTACTTTGAACACCGGGCCGTGAAGTCCGTGTGAAAACATGAACAAAAAGCAGTTAACATTTTCGACCCCATCGTAAACAATGCAAAAAGGCAGTTTATAGCAATGCCCAAACAATGCGAAGATTTGGCAAGAGTTTTTAGGTGTCAGGGAGTTAGCTAATTACAAAATAAATTCTTATTTTATAAAGACAAACTTTAGGAAATTACAAGGAATTCTAAAAAAAATATTAATATTTTAATTGACGTTTTTTAATTAATCTTCGCTTCTTGATAAATAATTATTGTAGTTTATTTTACTTAAAGCATTTAATTACGAAATTTTCTTCACGTGTATTTATCTCGGAACTTAAAGAATTTGAAGAAAAAGATGAATATTTTTATTACAAGTTTTTAAATAATCTTCGTTAGTTGGTAATTATTTTTTGCTTTTTATTTGACTCAAAGCTTTAATTCCTAAAGTTTCTTCATATTTATATAGCTATTTTTTTTTGATTTTTCATGTAGTTTTAAATGTTAAGGCTGGTAAAATTAGCCAACTATTTGGTTAACACGCTAAACATATTTATTTATTACCCCTGTTAAACAGTTGTGAATTGAAAATATGTTTATGATTTATTTGGTTGTGTAAGTGGTCGTAAAACATGTCAATTATGCTATTTTATGTTAATGAGATTAGCATTAATTTACAAGAAATATATTAAAGCCTTTTTTACAACTGTAGAAATTAATTAATGGCTTAGGGGCTAACTTTATTATGTAATTTGTTTTAGCACCTATTATAGTTAATCCTGACTCTTCTACTTTCACTGCAATCTGCAGTTTATGCAAATTATTTCGCTCACGTTGCATCATGGAATTAAGGCTTCTCTGTTAATTAATTTAACTGCCATATGAGCAATATGAAATACCGGTTAAGCTCTTCCTGCTCCTCGAAGTCATCTTCATCCTCACCCCTCGAAATAATCAAAAGACAGACTTGAAACAAATTAAAGGTGCCAAATTGATTAAGATCCGAGCAAACATGAAATTTGCATGCAGCTTTCATTCGCCAATCAACTTCAAAGATAACCGTAAAACGAAATATATATTTATTCATTGATTGTTTATTAATTTTTTAGGCAAACACTAGTCGATTATAGTTTCTTGCGTCTGTGGAGGCGATTTATCATAAGAGCTATAAACCAGTTTCGTCGGCTCAAGAGGCAATTAAGCAAAATGCCGAAAAGTCAATGTCAATTTGGTTATATTTTAAGAACTGGTAGAACCTCCTTAATCCTCCAAACTGCAAACTAAATTTATATTTATTAAAACTTATTTTAAAAAAACACAAAAAATATATCCAGACTTGTGTTTATTTTATTTTTATTTATTTTCCATAACTTTTATCTTTCTTAACTTTTTAACCTGACATTAAAGCACATTTATCGCTGTCGCTTCCTGCAAAATATATATATTTTTTATAGAAGAATATTTTTGTGTTTTATGCAAATTTTTTTGGACTTGCAAGCTAACAAAGGAATATTTGATATTTAAATGGGTTTTTTTTTCTGTTATTTTAAAGTTTATGATTGGATTTTGACTTTTATAAATGTTATAAATTGATGTTTCTTTTCAACAGCTGCAATTTGTTTGTGGAGTAGCAACATATTTGTTTGATTAAGATTAGATTAAAAATTAATGAGTGGCTAGTTGGGTAAATTTTGGGAAAAATAAAAGCTTTATTTAAAGACAGGATGATGCATACATTTTGTATATATTTAACCAATAACCCTGACCTTCAGTTCACTTTTTTGCTGCCTTTGTATCGATTTTAACCCAAATTGTGTTTGATCGCCTTTTTCCAGTGATTTATATTGCCTTTTATACAGATTTATTTTATTTTTCCCTTGATGAGTGGCTTGTGTCAACGAAATGGCTTGTTTTATTACAAACATTTCAACAGCCAAACAGAAAAGGCAATAAAAATGCAGGCAGGTGCACAAATGAACATTTGACTAATTTCGAACCAAAAAACCCGAAAAGGCCAAAAACAAATCGAATTGGGCCAAAAACAGAGAGCGAGAGCCTGCGATAAATTAAAATGGAATGCAGAAAGGCAGAAAACGGTAGCTGTCCAAACATCGTTTATACTATATACATCACCCATTTCAGACTCGAAACTCCTCAATTAAGCTTCCCAACTTCACACATCCCCACCAAAAACCAACCAAACAAACCAGCCAACCCAATACGAGAAAGTGAAAGTGAGTTTGTATGCTCTTTTTCGTTTTTCGTCAGGATTCCTTTATCGTATATGGGTTATGCAATGGGTTATGGATAGTTATTAAAAACCTACCCGCTACAGGACCTGTTCCTTTCGGCGGCGACGCCATTGTCCTGTCCAAAACGCATAGCATTTGGATGGAGATTATCACAGTCAAAACGAAATACTTTTGCATGTTTCCAGTTATATTTTTCTATATTTATGAGATATATGCAAATGTTTTGTTTTTTTCTTTGCTTTACACACTTCCGCACACTTTTACCCTGAAAATTCCGTAAAATATTTTTGTAAAATGTATAGAAAAAATTTCGCTTTTGTTATTTCAACGCATATTTTTCTCGGTCGTTGGTTGTTTTGTTCGAATAATGAATTATTTTAAATATGATAAATATGAAATCGAAAGTTGGCAGAAATGCGGAGACGGAAACTTGCGTTTTTCCGTTTTTTGGATCGTATTAACTAAAATGCGCAGGCGTGCGCCCAAACTGACCGTCGGCTGTAGAAGAACTAACTCTTTCGGCTTAACTTGGCTCAAACCAAGGCAGAATTCGAGTAGGTTTCTCTCAGAGATGAAGCTGCCTGAGAAAATGACTCAGAGAGATCTTTTGGAGTTGGCTAACTGGTTTGAGAGAGTCCAAGATCTCCGAAGACTTAAAGACTCGGACTCGAAGACGAACTTGTTTGGCGCAAAAAAGCGAATCTCGAGACCCGAAAGATTAACATCAGCCGAGATCGACCATACATGGTTATTCATTTATGGATATATGTGGATTCATGGATTCATGGATATGGCCAACGGTCGGCGGACACTTGCGGTTGTTTGTCAAACACTTGACACAACCGAAGCCGATTCGGAATCTGAATCTTAAATCCGAATCCGAAGCCTCACCAAGGTGAAACGTGACGTGAAACGAACACCAAACCTTTAATAAGAACGCTCTATTTTAAAGGCTCGAATTTGAGTTACCCGGTAGCCAAATTTCCACCTCAAAATTATGATAAAAAAGAAGAAATAACTTTAATTTGTAAGATTTTTTAAAAAATTTTAGAATCTTTTGTTTGTGATGTTAATAACTAAATCCTGAATTTATGAATTCCTCTTTAATCTTCGTTAAAGTTAAGGCCTTTGAAAGAGATTATTAGTGTATTTCTTTCCTCAATAAAATAATAAACCAAATATATCTATATATTTTTAATAAACATTCTTAATTTATATATTTTATTCTTTGTCAAGTAATCTCAACACATATTTCCCTTTGAACAAAAGAAACCGGAAGACTTGGCTTAAGAAATACCAATGACTCACTGGCTAATTAAATAAAATATAAATGGAATACAGATAAAATAAAAGAATTCCCATAAATCTAGGCTAATTTAACATACTCTACAACTACCGGGTACAAAAAGCAAAAAGTGGAATCATTTCAAAGTTCTGGTTTTACTTCTGCGGTTTTCGGATTCTCCGCTTCAATCTCCTATGTTCTCTTCACTTCTCATTTCAAACTGAATTCTGATCTGTGTTCTCGGATTACGCAATTTCCAGCCGGGACTGGATGCATTTCAAATGTGGGCTTTGAATTTGGTCTGCGAACCAGAAAACTCAATTTCTCACTGTTGCTGGCCGAATTTCTTAACGGCGACCTTGGGATGCAGATGATGAACTAGTTTTTTTTGGCTTAGATTGTTCGTTTCCAGCTGCTTTTCATTCAGCGAATGCTGGTTTATACGGTCATACATTGCGTATGCGTGATGTTTGTCAGAGATCACATATGTAGAAGTGACGGGAAGATAAATGGTGGGATAATAATAAGATCAGCTTTTTGACGTCAGCAAGGTAGGTTGGAAAGATTAGGTGTTTCGGTTTTTGGAAGGGGTTATTTTGTAGATGTGATGGAGATAAAACTAATTTTATCGGTAAAAATATTTAATTTTAATACTTTCTACTTGTTTTCTTCATACTTTCTACATGTTTTTCTTAAAAAAAAAATACCTTGCGAAATTCCAAGCATAAACACTTCATAATTTCAGCGATTAAAGCTTGAAGTTCTTTACCAAACTGTAAAGCCATTAAGTTCCTAACACATATTGTGCCGACAATTAAGAGTCGGCCATAAAAATTGATTGTCCCGCCGAAGGGGACAAAAACCATTGACAACTTTTTGCGGAAAATGTCAGCAGTAGTAGCTGTAAAATAATTCGAAAATTCCAATTGCAGATGGGAGAGGCAAAGTGAATCCGGCAGAGGAGGAAAAAATGCATCTGCAATGGCCGCAATTTGTGAAGAAATCCGAAATCGAAAAACCAAGACCAAAGTGGCAGCCACTTGTTGCATTTAGCATGAAAAACAACTTTATGTTGTCGCCAGGTTTTTGTTTGTTTTATTTTTTCTCGGTTTCTTTGCTTACGTGATTTAAATTATTTTTTTTCTGGTATCTTGTAAGCGGCATCGATTCAATTTCGCAGTTCTTCAGGGGTGGACTAATTAATTAATTGGAAACATGGACGCGGTGAAACAAGAAACGTTTCAGAGCAGCTGAAAATTTAATGGGTATTTATTCAGATTTTCTGTAGTTTCGTATGCAACAGATGCTAAACAAACCAGATTAGAGAAGAGTTGAGAAAAATATATAGGCGACGAGTTCATTGCTATCCACTAAAAACCAAGGTTATAAACTTTAAAATTCTTTAAGGTTTTTTAGCCAGGGGATTCACCAAATCGGAAGTGAATTCAATATTAACTAAAGTTAACAATTAAATGAAATTACTATAAATTATAAAACCATTAATTGTCATGAATGGGCTGTTAATTTGTAGATATATTTTAATAAACATAATGATATATAATGAGCCATTGGCTAATGACCCTTGGAGATTTGCATAAATTTTCCGAAAATAGATTTCGTAAGACCATTCTTGGAATCGAGAGATTCCCCTCAGTTGACCCTCGCATGTGATTCGACTCGGGTGAATCCCCTCAAACAAAATTTGAGCTGGCAAACCTTCGTCACAATCTACGCAACAAATGGCCTCTGATGGATCTTCAAACCCATGCTTTTACAATTCATGTGACGCTAATGGAATGGAAATTCAAATTCAAACTCAGTTTTTGTATGCTAATTTAAAAATACACTTTTTGTTGGTTTATTGGCCCAAGAGAGCGATTAAGGTGGTTTGTTGAACTAGATAACTCGTTCCAGTTTGAGTTTTCAATGGTCTATGACGTCTATAAGGTGGTGTTCTAAATTGTATATTGTAAAAACGTGCAGATTTAATTTATTTTGCAAATTCTCCACTTAAAATAAAAAATTTCTGATATTCTAAAATCAAAAACAATGAGCGCCTGAATTTAAATTATTATTTTTTAAATGATTTTAAAATACCCTGATAAAAACAATAAATTTAAACAATATCTTCCCCTTTTAAAAACCATATTTCACTTCCTTTTATTCTGCCAAAAACCCATGCTAATTCTTATCTCAAGTGACTGTCGCACTGAATTTAAGAGATTCGCTAACAAAGTATCCTCAACTAGTTCTCAACTTTGAAAAGTGGGTGCAATGTCTCCTCGACTTGAATTTTATGGCACCTCTTTTGTTTCACATTCCTTTGCGACTCTTCGTGTGTGGGTAATAAATTTTAATGGTTTGACGTTTAAGTTAAATAAAATCCCGTCATCGAACTACTTCTAGAGTCGTCTTGATTCGATTCGAATAAACGCGATTCGATTCAATTCGTGGTCGTAAAATTATTTCGGAAGATTTTGCTCAGGGTTAAAATCGGTGCGAAAAAAAGTGGAGGGACGGTTGGCAACCAGTTTCGACCCTGGGTTAAGTGAAATAAAAACTCCATAAATTTGCCAATTTTTTCGCCTTTAAATTGTGTAAATAGCCTGACAAAACGAGGCTCGTCTGATATGTTATGTAAACTCAACCGAAATGCAGCCCGAGGCCATTCATCATACGCACTGTGGTCCCGGAGGCGACAAAGCGATCAGTGCTAACAAAAAAGCTGCGAAATGCAAATAATAATGAAGGAGGTTTAATGCTTGAAAAGTGCGGGTAATGAGTTGGAATAGTTCCACTAAAAATGGTGTGAAATAAGTTTGAAATCAAGAGGGGAAGCTGTTAAACAAATTCAAAACAAGATGATGAAAAGAAAAAATATTTGAAAAAGAATTAAATTCACAAAGAAGCTAATAAAACAAAGTGTGAGGAAATGAATACCAAAAGAAGACTATAAATTGAATAAAAACACCAAAAAGCCATTTAAACCATTCACATAAATATTTTAACAATTCAATAATCAACTTTATAAGAAGAATTTCAAGAAACTGCAAGATAAATGTTTAAAATTCCTAAAAAGGCCATCCAGAAAAACATTTCGGAACGTCAATTGTAATTTTCGAACCTCAAATGGAATTTTCATGAACTCGAAAAGGAATGAAAACAAAACCACTTTTCAAGGAATAAATTGAATGGAGAGTGACAACGGCTTGAGGCTAGGGAATGCTACAACAGACCTTTTTTAAAAACAGAAATAATTTCATGGCATGACATAATAATAATTGTAATGATGCTGCAGCCGGTAGCTAAACCACATTGAGTGGAACTAAACAAATTAAAGTGGATTGATGGATGGACAGCGTGACTAATGGCATAACCTCTAAGTAAATAGAGGAAGGTGAGGTTTAACACAAATTCCGCGCTTGATCACTTTATCAATGAGTGTGGGTAAATGTGGAATTGATTGCTGGTTTTTGGAGCAAAAGAGCAGGTCGGTTGTTATACATAAAATAAATGGGTTGGGTTTCTATAACGATCAGGTCTTATTTTTAAGTATTTAAAAATTAAACTGATTTTTAAACTAATGCTCAAGAATCCTCACATCCAAAAACCAAATACTTTAGAATAGTAAGACACTTTTTTTTATTAATTTCTTATTTAATAATTTTTTTATGAGGTTTTAGAAACTTAAAGCAAGATTAAAATGATTTTATTTTTACATATGACCTAATTAAAAAACAAAAATAATATTTATCTTAGGAATTCTCTTAGAGTTTCCAAACTCACCATTATCGACTTCATTTTCGCTGGGATCCCGATGGAAAATGTTGCCCACATACTGATCATGCTGCTCCGACTCCACGCTCTGCAGTGATTCCTGCACATCGTAGTCGAAGTCCTCCTGGTTGGCCTGCGGCTGCTGATCCCGATCCAGATCCTGATCCTGATCCTGCTCCTGCTCCTCCTCTTCCTCCTCCCTTAATCGCTTACGATTGTAAGTGGATTGTCTTTTGGCGGAGGCAGCTGCCAGACGATTCCTTTGGGTGCCACCACCGCTCCTCTTAAAATTTCCTCCATCACTGGCCGAAAATCCTCGAGGACGCGGCCTGGGCGATGGTTTCGGCTTGGGCAGGATATCCGCAATGGTGGGTATCTTTTGGTTAGCTGTTCGATTGGGAAACAGCCGGCGCTCCAAGTAATTGGCAAATATCTGCTGCGTTATCTGATTCTGGCGGGCTATCTCGCTCTGATCCAGTTGGGCGCCTAAAAATTAAAAATTCAGCCACAATTAATCAACGAACAAGTAGTCTTATAAGTATGTGGGTCACTGGAAAAATATTGTGCAATATCCCGAGTCTTGATTTTTAAGGGTAATTACATAAAGTGCGGGACTGACTGACAACCCACGTTGAGGTGTTGAAAATAAAGTAATTAAAACAGAAACCTTTAAAAACGATGAAAAACCCCCACGAAGTTTGGTTACCCTTGTGGCTAAATATAACATACGGTTGTCGATATGTCCAGGTCAATTTAATACTTTTTAAATATCATTTTGATATGAGTAAAGATTAAATTTATCTTATTTTACATTATTTTTTTTAAAAAGTACCACATTTAATATTTTAAAGAAGTATAATTAAAACTCTATGATAAAATATCTCATTGATAAGTATGAATCATCAATTTTACATTACGAAAATAAGGTCGTATTTACCCCTAACTCATATCAATTTATTTTCTGTGTGATATTATATACCCTAATAGCAAGTTAATGGCAACAGTTAGGCAATAAAGATGCGATTTTTTATATCCATGTTAGGGCATCATGATGAGCTCGTCACTTGATGATTTTTTGATTACTTCGTTTGGGCTTTGGAAGTGACACGCAGACATCGCTCAAAAGTCTGGGAATCGGGGGAAGGCCCCTTATGAGGCACCTTATAAAGTGTTTGATCGTGGCTCTTGAACCTCACTTCTGCCGAATGAAAGTGAGAAGATATGGTAATGATTGAATTCCAGGTCTCCCATCAAAACATCATCACTTGCCATTTCATCTCATCTTTCAAACCCAAAGCAGAAAAAAGTATGTCAAGGTCGCATGAAAAAAACTTTTACTACCCAGCTGTTAAGCGGATTGTTGCAGTCGTTTTATGCCCCTTTTTTCCAGTTTCCGCAGCTCCCTGTGATGAGCCCGAAATTGCCAAATAATTGATATAAATTTTGATGCCCCGCCCAGCCCTCAGCTCCTAATTTGAGTGGCATTTTGGCTTAAATTTATCTGCAGAGACCAAAGAAAAATACAGAAAAATGGAGTAAAATTTATTATGCAATTAACGTAATGTTTTTAATATTTTTTTAATTTATTTCCTTTTGTTCACTGCTTATCGTTAAGAGTACGAAATATTACGCCGCCGAAAAGAGTTGAAAATTCCGCCCTGACATTTGTCTGTGATTGAGTGCAGCTTTCTGGGGGTTTCGGAGGCGATTTCGAGGGGGTTTCTTGAAGTGTGTACGATGTGTCAGGTGAAACATTATTGCCGGATTACCGAAAACAAGGCCTCTGCTCACTTGACTTTGTATGGCGGATAATTCGGCGCTTTATCTGATTGCCTTCGGTTAATGAAATTGGACTCCCTGAATGGGCGAGAAGCACTTGGCAGTAAATCGCCTGCAAAGATCTTCATTTGAGATCGAAAAGGCTGTTAATCGAAAGTTCGTGTCTTCAGTAATTAAGTGAAAATTGTGAGGCAATGGATTGGAAAGCTGAGTTGGGAAAGTAAATCGATTAACAAAGATTTTATATAATTTGTTGGGTGTTTCAAATTTTTCTGGCTTAAACTTTGGGTTTAAGAAGCTGTCAGTTTTTTTAACCAATCATTTTATTTTCATTTGTTCGAGATCAAAGATTTTCTACAATTTATTAGGTTTTCCAAATATTTTTCACGATTCTCTGGCTTAAACTTTAAGTTATTGAACTGTGTCTTGAAATTTAAGAACCTGCGAGACTTTATTATTAGCTTAATATTTTACTTTCACGTTAATGTAAATCTGGCTTTAAATAAAATTGATTGAAGTACACATTTAACATTACAAAATTGTTTAAATCTCATAAACAATTTAAAAATAATAAATCTGAAAATAATTGATTAATCCCCATCACGACTTCAAGTTCATTCCACTCGACCACAATTATTTGAAGTAATTACTTTAATCCCGAGCCGGCGGTTGTGAACATTTTCTAACAACTTGCCAAGAATTTAAGGTGCTTTGAATTCCCAGCGGATTGGCAAGTCATCGAACAAGACTTTAATTTGGGCATTAATTACCAATCCAGCTGGAATTGGACCGAATCTTTGAGTTGGCCATCGAAATATGAGAACAAAAGACGGCTCAACGCACTCAAACAAACGAGCAGAGACTTTGAGTTCGTTGTTCGGTTATTGTTCTCTAAAAGACTGGGAATCGGAATCCTTGGCTTGTTAACTCAGTATTATGCGAGATAATTTACGTGCCATTGTTGCAGGCCATTTGAAACTGACCGATTGAAAGTCGGGCAGAAAATATGACAACAGTTGAAACGTGATGGCCTAAATGCTCTTGAGGTTTCGAAGAGAAGGAGGGGGGAAGTTCTGATCACAATCACCGATCAATGGTAAAAAAAGTGCACTTAAAAAATCATTTAAATAATGTAAACATTAAATAATAATTTAATTTAACACAAAATATATAAATTGCAACTGTAAGTCTTTTTTTAGACTTCATTTTGGTTCGGTAATAGCTCCTTGAGATCGCGCAGCCATTCGTCTACTTCCTCACGCTTCTTTTTGATTTCCAAAATTTGCTCTTCAAATGACTCATCGAGTAGCTGAATTGCTTCCTCAGAAATAATACAAATGCCGTAAACACTTGTATAATTGCACACCTCCTTCTGGACTTCCTTTCGTAACTCGTTGTTCTCGTACTGAAATCCAATCATTTCATCTAGCATAGTCACCAATTCCTGAACACGAACCGCCATTCCCTCATCCAGTACTCCCTCTTCATCATCCAAAGCACGAATTTTTCCACATTCGACATGCAAGTTTTGTATCTTAAGATGGTTTTCTTCTACCTTTGCAAACAGAGAATTCATTGATTCGACCCAGTTGACATGATCCGGATCCTTCCAGAACTCTGCGCCTTCCTCTATTTGGAATTCTTTCATTTTTTTACTAGGTATTGTCGATTTATTTATCTAGTCGATATGGTCGTCAGAAGTATCAGCTATCAAGTGATAAAAATAAAAGCCCTCTTTTCAAATGAAACTAAATTTGTGGCTTGCTTAAATTCAAAGCTACGCGCGGTCATTACTTTATTTACCCATAACATCTTGCTAAGTAATCCGATTTGAAACATTTTTTCAAAGTCGCTAGTTGTTAATAAACCAAACAAAACTGAATTTACTTTTTCACAAAATCTTTAAAGATGTTGACTTTATGGTGTTACTAAATTCAAATTTAAATTTATTTCAAATCCGTTTGATTATAAATCAATTTACTAAACAGATATTATAGATCTCCAATCTAAAGGAGCAACCTCTTAACTTATTTCTCTCAATGCAGTTGTCGATCGCCTGGGCATTCAATAACTTCACGACTCGGCGACCCAGTTGTGTCTCTTGTGATGTGGCGATGTGTATCTATATCGGGCAACAACTATATAGCAGATACTTGGACCGGCTAATTGTCGTTTGCACAGGCCCCATAAATCATGACAACTCGCTGAGGATGTTGGCTTTGCCTTGAGTGAGAAACGAACCTTTCAAAGCGGTAAATCATTTCCACCCCAGCATCTGTACTTTTGTAATTTGTATTTTGTATTCTGTGGCCAAGAACCGTCGCAAAATGTATCTGTAGTTGAAACTCTGAAGTTGCAACTGCAAAGTATTTGAGGGCCGTGCAATTGCAATTGCCGCTTGGCTGAAAAGAGGTCAATTAGCTGCGAGGAGTTGCCCAGAGACAAAGGATTTCGCAATTCCGCTCGCTAAACGATTGTTTTTTTCGCTGTTTGTGGACCAGCTTCCACATTCCATAAAGATACTTTTTCAAACGCTTGCGCAATCGGCTTGTATATCTCTTGTTTCGGGTAATTACATGAGCAGCCAATGCGGCGTATACGTTACGCAGCTCTCGGATTTCAGATTTCAGTTTTCAGAGCTGTGGTCAAACTTCTTTTGACTGACGACGCACCCAAGGTGCCCAAGAATCGGTCTTTCATATGCACACATTTGATATATTAGATCATTATGAAGTTAAGTTGGCAGCCGGGGTTCAATGTCAAGCTAAGAGGCCTGAAAGATTTATTTATTCAATGCTGAAATGTGTAATTATATTCATAGGCTGATGTGGGAAAATACTCTAACAAAGTAGAGAATAATGATTTATGGCACGCGATTGTCTTTAAATATTTTTTGATGTATTAAACACGTCATTTTATTTGTGTTCACATTAAAAATAAATTGACTACTCGTTTATATTTTTTTAAATTCAGTTTGGAATTATGTTTTTAATTTAATTATAGCTGGCGGTTGTCTTGAATTTAAGTTTTTATTGTGTTTACACAAAAAAACCAATTAAAATAATACTTCAATCTAATAAATTCAGATTAATTATGTTTTAGTTTCTGAGTTAGCATTACTTTGTTAAAAAATGTAGAGCTACTTATAATTAACATAAGACACTTAATCACTGACCTAGCAATTAATTGGTATCACTTTTAAAATGGGAACAAAGTTGTAGATAAAATAAATATTAATAAAAATTCAATAGAAACCTTAGATTTATGAATACCCTAGCTAAATTTTATGTAAAAGCTACCGAAGAGTATTCAAATAATTAAAACGAAAAACAATAGTTTACGTTATCTTGACAAATGGCCCTTTTAAGTGGTGGGCCTCTCGAGTTTATTCTTACAATTTAATAAAAACATTTGCATATATTTCGTAAGCACACGTTTTATTTTTGGACATCTGCGGCTAATTTCTGAACATCACGAATTTAATTTCCAATGCAAATCAAAATTCTTTGCCGGCTTTAATACCCAGTAATTATTGAGAGGTTTTTGAACTCTTTTTTTTCGATATTGGTTTTTTGCCTTTGGTTTTCAGCTGCCTTCTCGAGACTCATTAATCTTTTTGGCCATTTTTGGGGAAAGGTTGTGGGCACGTGTTTGTCTTCTTGGCGGCTTTTGTTCTGGCCAAAATGTCACGAGGTAAAAACTCAGCTTTAAATCGCTTTTGCATTTAATATTGTTTAATGCGTTTTCTGATTTGCGTCAGTGTTTTCTTCTTCTACTCAATATTTTACTTAATATTCTGAGGTCACCGGCATTCCAATTTCATAAAAACAAAGTCAATCCGAGCAGCAGCCCAAAAGTGGAGAGAAAAATATTATTCAAACTGGATTTCTTGTTTCGTTTTATTGTTGAATATTTATGCAACTAGAAGATGGCCATTGAACGCACCTACCCATGTTATAAATACAATCTATCGAAATCAGGGGCGGTTTTTGATAAAGTTTGCCTCTGATTCGTTGTGATTGTGCCAAAGATCTCTCATATGTTTATGAAATGCGAAATCTTTAAATGCCAAATGGTGCATGGGAAACACACTCGATTAGCATTTTAATACCAGCCAGTACGGATTTTGTTCAAATCTGCTTTTTCTGTTGTTGTAAAACACATATGAAAATCACATGATGAGCTTGCAAATTGATATGCTATGAAGGAATAGTAAAGATAAATGTGTAGAGATTTTTTATGCAAATTTACTTTGCTTTCATTAAAAATTCTTTTATGATTTGCATTGTTGGTAGCGAAAAACTAGATTTGTTTGTATTTCCAAAATAAATGCTGGCAGAATACATTTTTCTTTTCGCCGAAACCATTAATCGTATTGATTTTTAACATGGTACATTAATATGTTTTATAGCTATCAGTTGCGGGTCATAAATTTTGTCTTATAAAAAATGGATCAATCAATTGCTACTTTTTTAAATAATTTAAATACAATGGAATATAATGGAAATTAAATATAAAAGAAATTAAAGATTTTAGAAAGAATTTTATATTTAGGAAATATATTTTATTTTGAATATAAATTATTTTAAAATATTATAAAAAAGAATACATTTTTAAATATTATTTATGTATTAAAAAATGATAAGTAGTTAGCATTATTAATTCCAATGTAATAAAATATTTTATTTAAATACAGTAATATAGGTAGAATATTTAAGTAAATTGTAGGTAATTTTCTAAATTTTTATTAAGGATTAATGACCATTAATTAAAACCATAACAATAATAAGGTAGCCAATCGATCACGCTGCTTTCCTAATGTTTATTAATCACTTTATAGATTAGCTAATGATTTTTCCCTGTTTTACACCTGCTAATAACCCACGGAACCCTTGAAATACCACACAATTTCCGCCTACATCTCCCACATTAAGACCACATTAAGGAAAAAGATTGATTCAAAGCAATCTGGCCAAGAGCAATTGTTAATATTTGCAAATCAATTGACACAGCCTCTCGAAGATGTCCAAGAGACCGAGTGACTCTGACCCTGACACGGATTTACCACAATGAGAAGGCACTTCTAAAAGTGCCTCAAAGGGGCCAAGTACTCACCTCTCTTATCACGGCCACTATTTCCTCCACCTCCTCCGATATTGGCCATAATATTGCTGTCACTCGCATTCCCTTCGGTGTGTGGGTTTTGATTGAGATGGAAACCATTGGGAATATTACTTATGTGTCCCATTGCCGGTACTTTTGTGTTAACGGGTGTATTATGACCGGAATCGACACTGGCCAACGAGATGAGCACTACGATAATCGTGGGGCGTAACATTATCACCGTTTTTGTACTTTTTCACGCGAATATCTTTAGACACCAAGTGTAAAAGTGTAAAAGTTGCAAGTGCACTTTCGGGAGATCTCTTTGGGAAACCGAAAACCGGGGCGAAAGCAAGTTATGGATGGGATGGTATGGTATAATAACCTCCGATCTCGAGCTGTAACTGAAAGCCAACTGAACGATGTTGGTCTTTCGCAGGTTTCAAATCTCTTGCTTATTTGGTATGCAGCTTCGCTTTCTAAATTATCAAAAATGTTATTCGGGGGAAATGTTTTGTATCTCGCGGATCGGATCTAGTTTTAATATTCAAATACTTTTCGGTTTTCTCCGCCCAACTGTCAACGAAGATCGAAGGGGGCGGGGTTGGGGGTCTTTAACTTTAAGTCATTAATTTTTCGCCTTCCAAAGTGAATTTTTTAAGAGACCTGGGTTCGATGCCTGGTCGCGGATTAAGTAATCACCCAGTTAGATCTCCACTCAATTCACTTTCTTTCCGCTTTCGCAGAGAGAGGGAGTTAGAGATTGAGACTCGAGAGAATTGGAGTGCTTTCGGGGTCTCTCCCACTTTTTTATGGTCTTTTGTGAACCGATCTCAAAAGTTGCTCGCATTCGGCGACGATCCACCGAAGAGTTAACATCTAGGCTTTGAGCACCGCCATACGATATAATATACGATCTGTACGATTTTCTCGGCCGCCGTGTTAACTTACAGACTAAAGCGTTTGAACGCAACTAAAACGAGTTCCTCGCTCGACTCCTCGCCGAACCGTCGATCGTTTCGGATCGGTCAGCTGGCCCGATCTGCCGTCCCTCTCTCTTGCTATATAATATAGCCAACGAAGTCGAGGAGAGACTCGTTTGAAGTGACCGGACCAGACAGCAAACCACTAAAATGCCGCTGCATCCAACGCCTTTTTCTCCTCTTTTGAAGATCTCTGACGGCGATGGGTCTCATGATTTTTAATTACAGGTGTGCAATAGACGAAGATGCTCGGAACGGATGGGCATTACTGTTCTGCATCGCGAATTGGCTTTGTCGGCTATTTTTAGCACCAGAGTGGCCTTGACATGGCACTTAAGGATCCCTTTAAGAGGGTCTATATCACTTTGCAAAACAGTTTACCATTAGTGAGAGCCTTCAGGAATTTTCCATCCTATAATTTGGTTGAATGGAATTTATATTTTATTATTTAACAGCAAAATCAGCTGCCCTTACTTACAGTCAAATTTTTAATTCCAAGATAAGAGAAACCATAAAGCTGTCAAATATTATAATGCATGCTTTAAGCCATTTAGAGATTTCTTAAGATTTCTTTTCAGCTCAATAGGGGGTATAAACTGGTTAAACTTTGCAAAAAAGAATCTCAAAATAAAAGCAAAATATTTTTTTAAAATATTCCTCTTCTTAAGTGGCGCCAATGACAGAAAATTATTTTACTAATTTTTTATAGGGTATTTAAAATTCCGCAGATCTGAAACAAGTCAGCTTTTAGTTTTATTTATAACCAAGGGCCTGGGTAACCTAATCCCTTTTCGAGGAGCTTCTTCTCCGACAGTTCCACAAATCTTCACATGCGGTTTTCACACTCTTGATTAAAAATTAAAAATGACAGCACCATCTTTCTTATAATTTTAAATTTTAATTCTTGGTTTTTGACTGAATTCAAATGATACATTTACGTAACTCTAGTCGAAATATTCATTATTTGTGCGTCTAACTAAACGGGTTGATATGAGAGGGTTATAGCCAAAAAAATCTAATTTCAATGACAGCTGCTGTGAATTTTGTTGTAGTGTAGCGTGTAAAAGCCAGTTGGTGGGTTCCGAAAAATGTGAGCTTCAGGTCCGGTTAATAGGTAGGGATAGTAGGGATAGTTAAGGATATTTTCTTATCCTCTACTTCTTCTTCTTGCCTTTGCCCTTCTTTCCTTTCTTTCCCTTCTTGCCCTTCTTTCCCTTTTTGGCACCAGCGAGCATTTCCTCGGAAACGTAGGTCTCGGTAGTGACCTTGCTGATCGGAAGGGTTACGGGCTGTTTAGGGGTCCTGAGTTCGATCTCGATGGTGTTCTTCTTGTGCTGCGACTTGGCCTTGCTGCCCAGTTTCACCAGGAAGACATCGCTGTCGGTCTCCTCGCAGGTCTTGTAACAGACCTTAATGGGAAAAGTAAAATAAAAAATTATTCAAAATATTTTAGAAATAATTAAAAAGTTTAAAAAATTTTTAAAATATTTTCTTATTAAATCTGAGAGAAGAAAAAGCAAAAAGTGTATTAAGAAAAGTTTTTAAAAATTACTGATTACACCTGCTTCTCCTAGGTAAAAAAAAACACCTAATTTACACTTGTGGTTGCTAAGTTTTCCGTCAATCTATTACATCTCCCCTGCGATTACCATAAATAAAAAACCATGGAAAGTTTTAACAGATTTGCCACCACAAAACGAAAAAAGAGTGCTCCACATTTGGAGCTGGCAGATGTTACGCAACAAAATGCCCCACAATTGAGGCAATTGAAAGACTTCCCGAAGCTGCAGAAGTTGGAGAGAAGTTGCACCACCTGCATCGGCATTTAGAGGGGGCCAAGTCACGGACTTAAAAAGCGATCACACATTCCGCATTCGCACACGTAACCAGCGAGATCCCAAAAAAAGGAATGCGGAGGCGATCAGTGATTATAGCTCAACGATTTAAGATTAAACATTCTTGAAATATGGATTTTGCGTGAGAAAATTTATACTGTGGGACTTTCTTAAATGTTGAGAGATAAATCTTGTACCAAATTTATTATTTCTAATTTAACAATAATTACTATTAAATTTGTATAAGTAATACACATGAAATAGTTTAAAGATAACGCTTTACAAGTAAAACCGTTTTTAGAACAATAAAATAAAATAAAATAAAATCTCTTAGGCTTTAAAATAATTTAAAGGTAAAAAAAATTATTATTGCATACTTTTAGACACCTCTCTAATTGATTTTAAAACTCCTCTGTATTTTTGAATATTTTCTACCAATATTTGAAAAAGAAACTTGGAAGGTTAATAATAAACGTGGCACTAAATTTATATCCTATTAAATTTTTCCTTATTAAATTTTAAAAAGTAGAAAAATATTTTGAATTTTTAAACTGTTAGAAACTAGTTTTACAATTGCAAGGCTCACCTCGATTCCCTTTCGCCTGGTGTCCAGATTGACGCCCTTCATGGTCTGCATGATGTCCTTGCGCTCGACCTGCATGCAGCAGGACCTCTGATTCTGGGCGGGGCACTGGGCGGGGACAATGCGATCCGATCCACCACATAGCCGCTGGCGGTAGCAGTCGACCTTGGCCTCCTGGGCGTCGCAGGCTTCCTTGATCTTCGAGAAGGGCACGTAGTAGTTGTCCGTCTCGCAGGCGTCGTTGCCCGAGTACTTGATATTGGCCCGCACCTTGGGGATGTTCGGATGGTTGATGATCCTGCCGCCCGTTCTGCGTTTGATGTGGTTCCTGGCGAAGGAGCTGCGCTGCAGCATCTCGTGCAGGCAGGACTCCTGCTTCGGTTCGCAGTCATTGGGATCCTCCCGATAGCAGGGATCATCATCGGCCCCAAGATTCGGAGCCGTTTCGCTGCCATCCCGCACGCTCTCCACCTTGTGGGTGTTCTTCAGGACGCGAATGGTCAGGCCACTGCCATTCAGACAGGCCTCGAACTCATCGTAGGCCTCTGGGCCCGGATCCGGCCTGGTCGGTTGGATGAAGCAAGGAGCCAGCTCAGGACTGCAGTCGCAATCGCAGGCGCATTGGCAGCAGCCATCGCAGTCATCAACATCTGGGAATTATAGTTTTAATAAATGAATAAAATCATTTATAAAAAATTACAAATAAATAATAATACCGAAAAAAAAAATTTTAAAAAATGAATAAATAACTAATAAAGAAATTAGTAATTCAAAAATTTTAAAAAATAAAGTTTCTAAATTAATTAAATCAAGTATTTTAAAATAATATTTCAAAAAAAAAATACAGATCATAAAATATATAAAAATATTAATATTCATCTACAAAAATTAATGCACAAAAATACTTTAATTGAATATAAAAAAAGTTGTCATTTTACAAACTAATAGTTTAAATTAACTATAACATGGAATTTACAAGGAATATTTATAGGTATTTATGATAAGTCCGTTAAAAAATTTTTTAGTAGCATTAAAAGAATTTACTAAAAATTAAACATTGAATTTAAAAATTTTAATTAAATTATTAAAGGAAATAATTAATCATTTGTATCAAATATTATTTTATTATACATTAAGGCACGTAATTAATCCAATATCTTAGAAATCTAAAATGATTATAAGTATAATTTGTCAGTGCTGTCAAAAATGCAACGCATGAACTATTTAAAGATGTCATGATTTATTTAAAGATCGTTATCTTATTTATAGATGCACTCACCCTCGTTCATTGGCTTGAGCATCTCATTGGTGATCTTGAACTTGCAGTCGACCTTGGGCTTCTTGCCCTTCTTGCCCTTCCTTCCCTTTTTCTTGGCCATGTTGAGTGCTTCTGTGGTTAAGTGTGTCTCGTCTCAAATCAATATAAACTATTCACTAAGTACGTCTGCAGGTGTTGTCTGCTTTAAGAGTGCTGCTCAAAGATCTCAATTCCAAAGGCCTTCAATTCTCAATTTGGATATTGTACTTCACCAGTAAGTGGCGCAATTTCCGCACAGCTCGTTTTCGTGCTGCAATTATGAAAAAAAAAAACCGAATTATTAGATCACCGCGATAAAGATTTAGTTTATTAAACTAATGCATACTGCTCTGCTGTTTTAATTTCCATCCAAAACTCGCGTAATGTTAACGTAAGAATTTATTTTGTGTTTATTTTGTGTGGCAGACAACATTTCCCATTTGAATATATAAAACGAATGCAAAACGAGTAATGATCTTTTACCCCCCGTCTACTTGGTGTTACTAAAACTTTTGAATGAGTTTCGTAGATAAATGTGTTGTTTATTTCACGGCCTACTTAGGTTTTCAAAATTTTAAAGAGTAAAAAAGATTTAAAATAAAATAAGAGGGAAAAATTAAAAAACTGGAGAATGCTGAAAATGTACAAATATCCTATGATATTTTATAAGTAATATTTAAAACTACTACGTAACTATTCTGATATTTACATCATAAATACTTTTTTAGTATTTTTTGTATTAAATTTAGAAGAAAACAAACATATGAATATAAACCTTATAAAAACAATATTTTTAAAAAATTCGAATATACCTAATAAAAATTTTGTTAACTAAGTTTTTCTAATTTGAATTTTTTTTTCAGGAAATATATTTTATGAAAATGAAACTCACCTTCATCGCATGCCATATCGTACTCCTCCTCTCTCCCGCGGCATTCGGCAGCACTGGGTTCCTTGTACCTCATTTTCCTGGTCGCCTGGAGGACATTTTCGCAGGCTGGTTCGCAATCCTCATATACGGCAGATGGACCGTTATGATCTCCTACACAGTAGACAGCTCCTCCAGCCTGACGCTTCTTCTTGCCCTTGCCCTCCTTGCCATCCTTTCCTTTCTTGTCCTTTTTACCATCCTTTTCCTTCTTGGCATCCTTATCCTTGTCTGGTTTGCCCAGTAGAACCGCATCCAGTTTCTCCTGAATGAAACGGGGATATGGGGGAATTCCTCCGCAGGGACCACATTTCTGCAACTTTTGTTCGATGGGCGACATATTGCAGCGCTTCGTGGGAACAGTGGGACATTCTGGGGAAAAAGGGATCATAATTATAAATTTTATTCGAATTTTTTATGTTTTAGAACAAAAATAATATGAAAAGGCTTAGAATAACTTCTCAAACACAACATTATCTTGAAATAAAATATATTTTTTCTTTTACCTTTATTTTTAAAAATTTTAAGGAAATTTTGTATTCAAAAGAGTTTGCAAGAAAAAATGTGCTCAAAAAGGCCAAATCTCTTCCAAAACTTAAAATTACCTTATAAATTTTATATTTTTTTGGTTTACATTTAAATTTAAAAAATTAAAGGAAATGTGGTATTTAAAAAGTATGGAACAAAAAATTTGCTTAAAAGCCCATCGATTTAAGTATGATATTTTACATATTTTAATGTTTCCAAGGATTCAAACTCACCCCTATCGAACTCATCCTCGCAGTAATCACAAGGACACATTTTGTCCAGGTTGCAGGCGTAGTACCTAAGGCACTTGGCCGGCGGCTCCACCCTCTTAGCACAAGGATCCACCATTTTGCAGGTGCGACAAGGAGGTTGGCCACACGCACCCTTGCAGCTCTTTTTCTCCATGGGACCACCGGTGGCAGTGCCTCCTCCGCCGCAGCAGGGACTACAGGGATCACAGGGATCGCAGGGATCACAGGGAGCTGGACAGGGTGGCCCACAGGGGGGAGGTGGACACGAACCGCAGCAGGGAGGCGGAGGACAGGGACCACAGGGTCCGCAGCAGGGTTCCGGGCACTTGGGATTCCGAGAGCAAACCTTACTGAAGGGAAAGGTGGACACAATGGCAGGACCATTGCAAACTAATCGAAGGATTAGGACTATATTCCCAGTTTGCATCTTGCAGAGATTGAAAAGGGGTAGTAATCTTTTGGATAACTCAGAGGTGGGACACCACTGCTCATGACGTTCATTGAGCTTCTCATAGCAGGCACAATTATCCAGCAGACCCTTGCTATTCGGACCCTTCATCTTGGGCAACTGGGCAATGTGACCCAACATGGCACCCTCCCAATCGGGATTCTCGATGTCAAAGGACTCCTTAACCCTATCGAATATAGGCTTCACCTTCAGCTCCGATAAACCTATCAAAAACTTGCAGCTTTCCGTTTTTTTCTTATAAACATGCACCTGCAGCACATCCTTATCGGTTATGGGGGAATCCAGGGTAAACAAGGCACACTTTCCGCACTTGGGCGAACATGGGTTAACGCAGGTGCCCACCTCGCGATCGCAGAGATTTACATATACCGATGAACGGAACGTGATCTCCGTGCAGGTGGGATACTCCTCAGGAGCACAGAGATTCTGACGAGTGATCAGCAGATCATCCACCACGAACTCAAACATGTAGAGGAAATTTCCTGCAATTTTTAAGGGCTTCTCGGGCTTCTCATTTTTATCCGACTTATCAGACTTGTCCATAGTTTCAGGGAAGGTAAAACTTTAACCGAACGCGAATTTTAGCTAGCTTTTTGTCTTATTTTTGCAAAACTTTTAATTTTCTGTACCCGAACACACGCACTTCCAAAATTTAGAGAAAAAATTTGAAATTTTGATTGAGATTTTGAATGGGTGTCCAGACGGAGAGACTGTGGTGTTCGAACTGGTGATACGAATTTATTATCATAGACTACTAGGGAATTTTTTAAAAAATATTTGTAAAGCTTGGGATTTAAGATATTTAATTTCTTTTCAGTAAATTTTAAATATTATTTCATCTAAATAGGTAAGTAGGGGAGAGTGGGGGAATTTCGTCAGCATTTTTTCAAAGCTATTTTTTGTCCATCTTGAGACACGTTATCATATTTCTATTTTTATTGTTGAATGCGGTTAGCACCAAGCTTTAAAATGTGACATTCCCTATTTTTTTAATTAGCTTGGTGATTTATAAAAAATAAAATGTAAAACCAATATACTGGGGCAATCTCACCACACAGGGGGTAAAATCACCACACAACTGGGGAAATTTCGTCACCTGAAAAATGTAGGAGTTTAACGCCTGAAAATATGCTACACTGATCAAGCGTACCATTTTTGTTGACGTCCTATATTTGTTGCTGCTGCTGGTAGTCTGTTCGTTAGCCAGCTCGTCAAATATAAAAATATGTATTTAAAATAGGTGCGAATTTACCCTTAGCGTAGGGTGGCGAAATTTCCCAGACCGTACTTTTTTAGAAATAATTATTTTTCTTGCGAAATTAGGCGCGAAGCTAAAAATCACTGACGCAGAAATGCACATTATAGCACTGTGTATTATATAAAAAATCGTGTATCTTATTCCTTTTGAATTGTGGCATACAGAAAAATTTCGTCGAGAACTAAATGTAGCTTTTGAACTGTTAAAACACATTTAATATTATAGCTTAATTATCTTGGACTTCTGTGCAAAACAAATGCATTGGTTGTGTCTGGCCGTCTTGAAGGACTAAAACAAAAAAATTATATATTTTTACGACTTATGGATTCCGAGATATTGCAGGTGACGAAATTGCCCCTGTGACGAAATTCCCCCACTCTCCCCTATATATTAATTCATGCTAATTCATATAGCTCCTATAGCTTCTTAATAAAACAAAATTATTAATTTCTCACAAATTCTAACATAATGTACATTTAATAAAATATTATAAAATTATTTAAAAAATTCTTGTTTAATTTTTAATCCACAATAATCTGTCTCATATAATAAAAAAACTAACATAAATGACAGTATATTATAATAACATAATTATAAGAACATTAGTTCTATTAATATCTATCAGTAATTCTAATAAAAACCATTATCCACATTATCTAATTTTTGATACGTTCAATTTAAATTATTTTTAGACCATTGTGATAATATTGTAGATACCTAGTAAAAGTAGTGATATTAAAACTCTCTGATTGATGTAGAAAATTATAAAGTATTTTATTTATTTTTATAAATTGTTATAGGTGATATATCACTAATATCTTATTAAATCAGCGGGCTTCCTCGACGAACATGAATACCTCAAGATTACTAGATGAACAGAAATCCCTTGCAATAGCTCCCAGTTTCCTACGCCTTCTTCTTCGTATTCTTTATGGATTTGCAAGGATCACAGGGATCAAAGGGCGAGGGACAAGGAGCAGGCCAAATTGGTTCGGGAGGACAGCAACCAGAACAGCATCCAGTGCAGCAGGGATCCTTGCATTTGGGAAGGTTGAACAGGAAAAGAAGTCACAACCGAAGGACCATTGCACACCAGTCGCAGGATCAAAACTATATTCCCAGTCTGCATCTTGCAGAGATTGAACAGGGGCAGCATCCGCTTGGTCAGCTCCGATGTGGGACACCATTGTTCGCGGCGCTCCCTGTGTTTCTCGTAGCAGGTAACACAGGCATTGATCCTTTTGCAAGGACCCCTGATCTTGGGCAATCCCGAAACGTGCGTCATCACGTTCTCCTCCCAGTTTATATTCCGGAAATCAAATTCTTTCTTCACCCTATCAAAGATTGGCTTCATCGGGAGTTCTGCTAATCCCAGCAGGAACTTGCAATCCTCCGTCCTTTTCTTATAGACCTGAATATGCATTACATCCTCGTCGGTAATGGGAGAATCTAAAGTAAACAAAGTGCACTTTCCGCACTTGGGCGAACATGGGTTAACACACTCCCCATTCTCCCTATCGCGAATGTTCAGGAAGATCGATCGAAAGGTGATCTCCGTGCAGGTGGGATACTCCTCCGGAGCACAGAGATTGGGCCGCGTAATCAGGAGATCATCTATCACAAACTCCAACATGTACAGGAAGTTGTCCGAAAGTCTTGAGGGTTTCTCCGCTTTGTCCATTTTGTATTAAAAGTCTTAAGAACTAGCCTTAAACTATAATAATTCTACACCAAAAAGGGGTATATTTTTATGGGCTTACTTATTTTAATGTTAAATGCGAATTTGGAAAGTTTCAGTCCCTATAAACCAACTAGAAAATTTTGGGAGAATTTATTTGGAATTTATATTTTGATTTTTTGGGGAAGGGGTGCCGAAAATGAAGGTCTATGGTGCTCGAAATGATATGAATGAATGAAGAAAGTTAGAAAGCCTGAAACAAGAACCCCTAACAAATTATTTCAGACCTACTTGGATATCATATATTTATAGCAACTACAATATCTAATATTTTCGGACCCCAAAACAATAAAGATATTATATTTATTTTACGGAATTAACATGTTCTATTCGTAAGATTGAAATAATTATTAGCAAATACTCCCAAATTAAATACCCTATACTTATTTTTAAGAAAAGATGATTTTAGAGAACCATAATAAGTATATTTAAAATATTAAAAATATATGTAAAGTTTAAATATTTAACAAAAATTCTATCTCATTAATTGTTCTTCTTTTAAAATTTCTGCATTCCATAAGCAACCGTAGTTATTATTTCAATCAATTATAACAAACAAGTTTATTTAATTACTCTCTTTATAATAACCTTTACAAGATACGATCATCATAAACACGATATACCCGTATCATCTCAAGCAAGACAAACGTTCTTGGCCGGCAATGCAGTTCACCTCTGCAGGTAATTAAAAGACGTCGATCGAGGTTTTCTAGCAATGCGTAAAATACTTTATTTAATGTCATTAAAATGTTTCTACAAAAGTGATTGATCTACATTGCAGTTAATCGCAGTTAATAAGCGGCGTCTTGACAATCCCATCCGAAAACCCATCCATTTCCCTTTCAAGCCGCCTCGAAGCTCGCCTAAGTGTTCTTTGTATGTGATAATAACTAAGAAATGTGGCAGAAAGGAATGGACTTTGGGCTCTGGCAATTTACAACTAAACAAAGAAAACAAACAGATAATTGAGGGGAATTCAAATCGATTACAGGAATTGGTTTATAATTTAAGCTGCATAGGTAGCCCCTCAGCTAGACGACACTAATGTCATGGCTCGCGAAAGGAGATGGGCGGAAAAAGCCGCGGCCACTGGACAAACTCGACGCCGTAGTGCAGGATGCCCGTGGCGCTGACGGCGATCATGGCGCCCCAGAAGAGCATGAACAGCAGGTTCTCCGTGTTGAACTCCGACGGATAGGTCATGGTGATCATGAACATGGCCACGGCCATCAGCAGCACAGAGGGGAAGGTGAAAAAGCGCCAGCCGCGCTTTGAATCTAATGGTGAAGGCACGGCGCCACCTTCGTTGTCGTTGATTAGATACTTTCCTAAGAACAAATCGATGCTATCCTGTCGCTGGCCATCGGCAAAGTTGTTTAGATAGTAGCGCATCAGGGAGTTCTTGCCATCCTGCAGGGCACCCGCCTTGGTTCGCTTGCCCGTCCTGGTGAAGTCCGTCTTTAGCGCACAGGTGCCGGAATATTGCAGCGACACCAGATCCGCATTGTCCGCCCAGACGCCCTTGAAAGTCCGCTCGAAATTCGCCGAAGCTGACTCCACCTGCTGGCCGACATGCAGCACTCCCAGCTTCTGGAGCACCCCAGTCAGGGATCTCCTGGCCAGCATGCTCTGCACCACATTCGTTCGATCCAGGCAGTCAATGCAGTTCGTTCGGAAGACGCCCGTCTGCGTGGACACCAGTTTTCCATCATCGAAAACGTGATAAACGCCAAACTGATTCTGCTCGTAGGCCAGACGATCGATGAGTATGTTCAGCCGATCCCAGCGCATCTTTCTGCACTCGCTGTGGAAGTCGAAGGACTCGTAGCGCACCCGCTGGTTGCCCATTTCGCGCACCAAGCGGGCGTACGTCTGCTCCAGTTCTCCCTCGGCGCCCTTGTGATCCACCAGATTCACAGCCACATTGTTGCCATACAGCTTGATTTGCTCATTGAAGTGCTGAGTGCAGGCGGCCAGGTGATCCTTTGCCGGGCACTAAAACAGGTCGCGGTTTGTACCTCAGATTGGGCAGCTGGTGCCAGTGGAAGGGCATGCTGCCTCGGGTTTGGACAAAGCCCGTGAGCTGCCCATTGAACTCCACTATCTGCTCGGTCTCCACAAAGTTGGCCACATGTCCCTGCTCATCGCTTCCCCTGCAAAACAGTCTCGTGCCCGCTCGCTGCACCGATCGCCTGGTGACGATGCTCCAGAAGAAGGTCTGCCCGTTGATCTGCACCTGGTTGATGGACACAAAGCCCAGGACCAAAGGCAACTGGAACTTGTCCATCTTGTCGCAGTTAAACTGCCGCAAAACATAGCCGTTCCAGACGAAACGCTGCTCCGCACGTTGCAGTAAACCAAGAGCCGTTTCTGGCCGGGATTGGGCGGCCACCTCGCGCTGCCTTTGCAGGGAGTTTGTAAGATCATAGCGGTAGGAGAAGTAGAAGAACTTGGTGTCCAGTGTCTGGCGGAGAAGCCTCAGATACGTCTCATTCTCCTTGCGCTGAATGGCATTGGGAATGTAGGGAATGATGTCGTAGCCGGCTAATCTCCAGACCACCGAGCCATTGAGCACGCCCACGAACAGGCGGTGGGTGGCCACCAGCAGGTAGTCGCAGCTCAGCAGGTGAATGGTGCCGAGGACGCCGCAAATCCGCCTGGTGGGCCGCAGATTGGCCAGCTGACCTCCGCCCGCCGGCTGAACCCGGGTGACCTTGTCGTGGCGTCCGATTACCAGCACCTCCGCCCCCCCGTTGGGCTCGATGATGAAGCTCTCCGGGGTGATGTACAGGTTCATGTCGTCGTAGACCGCCTTTTCCACATCCATGCTCTCCATGATTTCCGGGGGCGGTGGTTGGCCCAACTCGAAGGCTAAGGGTTAAAGTTTAGATGGGAGACAAAAGATAAGGGTTAATATTGCTGCTTCTTCTTCTGCTGGCTTCTTATTGGTTATTACTTTGTGTTTTATGGCTTTCCCTATCGCTGTCACACACGCACAGCCCTAAAATCAGCCACACAATCAGCAGTTTAACTCGGATTTTATTGATTTAACACAGTTTTTCGTCTCATCTGCGGTTTTTTGGGTTTTCGGCCAACTTTTTTTGCCACTACGTGTGTGATAGGGATGGGCTAAAAAGCGCAATGGGGATGTGCTTTTAGGCGATACTTTAGAGTGTTTACACTGACTCACGTGCATCTGGTATGGCACTTTCACAGGTACACCAATCTAACCAGGAGGGCATATTGCTGTTCAAGGCAGCATAATTTGGGCCTCAAAACTGGAATTTTGTGAAGGGTGTTGTGGATTTTTATTACAAATGTTTATTTGACATTTTACTCAAAGAAACAGATGTTACTTAATCATAGATTTTAGTTTGTAACATACAGAAAAATGTAATTAATTTAAAAGTTGATTCAAATAATAAGTAAACTATTTCTTAAAAATACTAAACATATATTTCCACCAAGGATCGATAACAGCACCACCGATACTATCGCTTTACGAACATTTTGGCGCGAACCCATCTCTAGATTGGCAAACAATAACAAAACACAAAAATTAGATCAAAAATGAGCGGACAAACAAAATTGTTTGGCGACAAGGCCTTTGATCTTCTCAAGGAACTCGAGAGATCATCGGCTACAATTCCCGCCTTCGATGACGACGGAGTGCGTCAGGTACTTGAAGAAATCAAGGCGATATTCGAGGAGAACGTGGCCCAGGCCTCCACTTACAATGCTTCCGGGGATCGAAGTTTGTGGCCCCTTCTAAACTTTCGTCATGCGGCTCTTCAGCGGAACAAAAGGTGCCTCCTAGCCTATTTGTATGAGAGGTGCAAGAGGATCAAGGCGCTGAGGTGGGAATTTGGACCCATCATTCCCGGGGACATCAAGCAGTCGCTCTGCGAACCGGAGGTGCATTTCTTCAACAATTACTCCAAATCCCTGGCATCGTACATGTGCAGTGCGGGCTACAACCAGGGATTGCCCATTGATCTCACCAACAACCTGAGGCCCCCGAAATCCCTTTATATAGAGGTTCGCTGCATGGAGGATTATGGAAAATTCGAGTTAGACGACGGCGAGGTGATCCATTTGAAGAAGAATAGCCAGCATTATCTGCCCAGGGCTCAGGTGGAGTCCCTGGTGAGGCAGGGCATCCTTCACCATATAGCTTAGTCTTAAAATAGTTTATTATATATTTACCTAAAATAAATTATAAATAAAATAAATACTTTTCGGTATTTTTGCCAAAAGAACATGTAGCTGGAAAAGCATTTTTATAAAAAACTCAATAATTGTTGCTTATTAAAGTAAAATTGCTGATAATAATTTTAAAATATTTATTTTTTTAAATTAAAAGTATTTTAAATAATCGACTCTTTTCCAACACTAGAGAATACTTTTTAGTATATTTTTCCTCCCATAGATGGTATTTCCACCATGACCCACTGCGGTCCTACCATTTGCGCATAATTTTAAAATCAAACGGACAATTAGCGACGCTGCTTTTCGCTGTTTTAATAAGAAGTAGTGAAAAAATAGTGATCCTCCGGCGTCCCTTTGTAAATATTAGTTAAAAAACATTACCATTTAGTTCGGTGGACAGTGAAAATCAAGGATTTCCAGGAATCACACACGCACACAGGGGCACGCATACAATTGCATTCGCCTGGCGTCACTTTTTGTTGCTGTACGCGCTAAAATTCCAATTTAATTGATTTAACTGAATTAACCGATTGAAAATGGATATATCCGGTGGGAATACGTCGCGCCAGCCGCCTAAAAAGTCGAACCAAAACATCCAGGTTTATGTGCGCGTCAGGTGAGTTACTAAATTCTTCTGCAGTCTATGGGAATTCCAGATCTAACTGGGTTTTTATAATCTTTCGCAGGCCTCTGAATTCCCGGGAACGCTGCATCCGATCCGCCGAAGTCGTGGATGTGGTGGCTCCTCGGGAAATAGTCACCCGTCACACGCTGGACTCCAAGCTCACCAAGAAGTTCACCTTCGATCGCAGCTTCGGTCCCGAATCCAAACAGTGCGATGTGTATTCTGTTGTGGTCTCTCCTCTTATCGAGGAGGTCTTGAGTGGCTACAACTGCACTGTTTTCGCCTACGGACAAACGGGCACGGGCAAAACCCACACCATGGTGGGAAATGAGTGCGCCGAGCTGAAATCCTCCTGGGAAGATGTGAGTTTGGGGTTAAAATTGGGGAGAAAAGGGTAAAATACCTATAGGTATCATGTATTTCTATGGGATAATAGGGATAGAAACCTGTGTTAGCCTTTTAGAATCATTAAAAACGATCATATCCCAAATTTAGTCAAAAAATACCTATGATAAAGGGTAAAATACCTATATGTTCCATATATTTCTATGGTTTCAATGAGATAATAGGGATAGAAACCTGTCATAGCCTATAAGAATCATTAAAAACGATCGTATCCTAAATTTAGTCCAAAATTACCTATGATCTGCTGAGTTATGGATAGTTTATATATACCACCCATATGATATAGTCAAGGAAACTCATCAAAACGATATGAATCAGTTAAAAACAACCTTTTGCAAGCTTTGCATTCCTTATCTTATAAGTCAGCTTGGTTAATAAACCATATATCATTTCACAGATTGAAGAATTAAAGTTTCTTCATTATCTCCACCTCCTTTTCTTAAATATTCGTTAGAAACGACAACATCTCAACTCTAGTCAAAGTCTTTATAGAGGATTATGTGGATTAGTTGTGGATTATATTCATAGATCATCTCATATTATAATCGACAGTCGAAGGAAGTCTACAAAACATCAGGGAACAGTAAAAATATATATATTGCTAACTTTTCATCCCTCATAATAAAAATCATATAAATATACCATATGGCAGATTCAAGAACTAAATATTCTGCAGCATCTCTTTCTGCTTATTTTCTTAATTCAACAACAAAAAGAAGACCCTTGCAATATTTAAGCCATAAGGTCTCAAGGCCAGGCTTTCAAAACCTGTTTTCCCATACCATAATAACAACCAATCTAATCTTTTCCTATTCCCATTCCCATTATCGTTTAGGACTCTGACATTGGCATCATACCGCGAGCTCTGAGTCACCTTTTCGACGAGCTGCGCATGATGGAGGTGGAGTACACGATGCGCATCTCCTACCTGGAGCTGTACAACGAGGAGCTGTGCGATTTGCTCTCCACCGATGATACCACTAAGATTCGGATTTTCGACGACAGCACCAAGAAGGGATCGGTTATCATCCAGGGACTGGAGGAGATACCCGTGCACAGCAAGGACGATGTGTACAAGCTGCTGGAGAAGGGAAAGGAGCGTCGCAAGACGGCCACCACTCTGATGAATGCGCAGTCCTCGCGATCGCACACCGTCTTCTCCATTGTGGTGCACATCAGGGAGAATGGAATCGAGGGAGAGGATATGCTGAAGATCGGCAAGCTGAATCTGGTCGATCTCGCGGGCAGTGAGAATGTTTCCAAGGCGGGAAACGAAAAGGGGATAAGAGTAAGGGAGACCGTAAACATCAATCAGAGTCTTTTGACGCTGGGAAGAGTAATTACCGCCTTGGTGGATCGTGCTCCTCACGTTCCCTACCGCGAATCGAAGCTTACTAGGTTGCTGCAGGAATCTCTGGGCGGCAGGACGAAGACCTCCATCATAGCCACCATTTCGCCGGGTCACAAGGACATCGAGGAGACGCTCAGCACTTTGGAGTACGCCCATCGAGCCAAGAATATCCAAAACAAACCGGAAGTCAATCAGAAACTGACCAAGAAGACGGTGCTCAAGGAATACACCGAGGAGATCGACAAGCTGAAGCGAGATCTCATGGCGGCCAGGGACAAAAATGGAATTTACTTAGCCGAGGAAACTTATGGCGAAATAACCCTGAAACTAGAGTCCCAGAACCGCGAACTTAACGAGAAAATGCTGCTGCTGAAGGCCTTGAAAGATGAACTCCAAAATAAGGAAAAGATCTTCAGCGAGGTGAGCATGAGTCTGGTGGAGAAAACCCAGGAGCTGAAAAAGACCGAGGAGCATCTGATGAACACAAAGGGTACGCTACTGCTGACCAAGAAGGTGCTGACCAAAACCAAGCGGCGCTACAAGGAGAAAAAGGAGCTGGTGGCCTCGCACATGAAAACGGAGCAGGTTTTAACCACTCAGGCGCAGGAAATCCTAGCTGCTGCTGATCTGGCCACCGATGATACTCATCAGCTGCATGGAACCATCGAGAGAAGGCGGGAAATGGACGAAAAGATACGCAGATCCTGCGATCAGTTTAAAGATCGCATGCAGGACAACCTGGAGATGATTGGCGGGAGCTTGAGTTTGTATCTGGAGCAGCAGGCAGCCTCCAAGGAGCACTTGAGCCAGGAGATGGGTAAGATGGCTTTAAATATCATCCTCCTAACTTCTTACTCACTTTTATTTTATCTTTTATAGTAAACTCCAGCAATGTGAGCCAACGATTGGCCAGCAATGCCAGCAAAACCATTGGAATGCTCAAGGAAATCTGCAGCCAGTCGCTGGTTGACCAAGCTGAGCTCCAGAATAACCTAATGTCGCAAGTCTTAAAAATCAGCGATGAGCACTCTCAAACGTTCATTGCCCAACTGATGGAGCAGCTGCAGCAGCGACAGCTTCTGATGAGCAGAGAAATCGAGTCGAGTCTGCAGGAAATGGAGGAAAACAACCAGCGGCACAAGGACATGCTGGACTCCATGCAGGAGAAGTTCTCGCAAATCATCGACAGCAGCTCACAGTCGCTGGAGAAACATGTACAGCAAGTCCATCAGCAGCTGGAGCAGCTTAGTTCGATGAGTTTGCCGGATGCGGAGGAACTGGAGCAACTGCAAGAGGAACTGGCCAATGAAAGGGCCTTGGCGCAGCAGGAGGAGACTCTGCTCGAATCCATGATGATGCAGATGGAGCAGATCAAGAATCTGCGTGCCAAGAATAGCATTAGTATGGCCATTCGACTCAACAAAATGGAGGAGAGCCGCGTGACCAGGAATCAGCGCATCGATGATACCAAATCTGGTATACGGGATTACCAGAAATTGGGCTTAGAAGCTGCTCAATCCGCTCAAGCGGAGCTCAGCAGCCAAATGGAGGCGGGAATGCTCTGCCTAGACCAACGCCTGGCCAACTGCTCCCTGCTGCAGGTGCACATGAAGAATCTCGGCCAGGAATACGCAAAGCAAACGGAAGAGAATGTCGGTTCCAGTCGCCTGCACAACGAGCAGGTGAATTTCATCTGTCAGGAAAGCAAGAAGCAGCTCGAAGCGCTGCAGGAGAAGAGCCATGCTAATCTGGAGCAGTTAGTGAGCGAGCGACAGCAGCTGATCACCGAGGACAGGCAGCGGTTCATAGGTCACGCCACGGTGGCCACAGATCTTGTGCAGGAGCTGAACAAGCAGACCACCGAGCATGCCGCTCTGCAGCGACAGCAGCTGCAGATTTCCGAGCAGGAGCTTGTGCGCTTCCAGCAGACGGAGCTGAAAACCTACGCGCCCACCGGCACCACTCCCTCCAAAAGGGAGTTCGTGTATCCACGCACCCTGGTGGCCACGTCGCCGCATCAGGAGATCGTCAAGCGCTATCGGCAGGAGCAGGACTGGTCGGATCTGGACACCACGGCCACTATAGATGAGGTAATTAGCTGACATTACTAAAAAGTTGATAAGAAAAATCCTAATATTTGATTTTATATTCCACAGTGCAGCGAGAACGAGCACGACGAGTCCTTGCAATCCGTGCAGGAGCTTTCTGAAACGGAAACCATCATGAACTCCACGCCCATTGAGCCCGTGGATGGTGTAACCATTAAGCGTGGTTCTGGCACCACTCGCAGCTCCAATTCGAATGCCCTGAAGCCACCCGTAATCGCCGGTGGCAAGCGCAGCAGCTCCTTGTCCCGCTCCCTTACGCCCAGTAAATCTTCACCTCGGAACTCTCCCTCCTTCAACAGGGTAAGTCAATTGCCAGTTCGCTAATGGCAAAATAAATAAATATCTGGGATAAATGATTATTTATTTTCCATATTTTCTTATAGCACAACAAAGAAAACGTCGCCTGATTTTGCTTTCGATGACTATAAGTACTCTACTCTACCCAGTAACCCGTTTATGTTTGTTTGGCTCTTCTGGATATTCTCTTTAATCTGTATATCAATCTTTGGAATTTCGTACATTTATTATTTAAATAAACTTAGTATGCTATGTAAAGTTAACGAAACCCTGAGGCTTCAGTTCGAGTGCGCAGGTTCATGGTTTATTAAACGAGTTTTACAGAAAGTGACGCTTGAAGTTCGATTTAAATTAAAAAAACAACTTTTCTGTATATTTTATGAGCCTCTAATAACTTTAAATTTAATGTTAATATTCTTTTACTCTACAAAATCTCATTGAAGAATTTAAATTTGTTGCACTTTCGCTCTTATAACTTTTATTTATGTTAAATAACCGTATTTCTAAGTTCATTTTTATACCGATAAAGAAACAAAAGATTGTTGTATTTTCAATAACCTATGTAACTATCTAAGATTAATCTTCATCATGCTCGTCGTCATCATCTTTAAGAATACCCAGTCGACGAGCCACCTCCTTCACATTCGCAATAAACTCCTCCTGGACGAGGTTAAAGCTCATGGCCAACAAGGCAATGCCGAAGAGGAGATATAGCGAACAATAGGCAATAGACTGCTCCGATTCATCCTTAACTCCTTTGGCAGGAACAAAGTCACCAAATCCTAGGAAAAAATAACATTAGAGAATATTATAAATTAAATTAAATACAATAACTTACCAATTGTGGTCAGCGTGATGAAGCAAAAGTAGGCAGAGTCCAGGAAGGACCAGTTCTCCCAGTAGGCGAACAGCACTGCTCCACCCAGGATATAGCTGACCACTAAAAATACGCACAACCAAATGGGCACCGGACGATCCTTGGGCAGCAGGTCACCATAGTCTCCGTACTCATCGCCGTACTGGGAGTCATCCTCATCGTAATCGTAGCTGGGTCGCCGACGGATCTGCCGCTGCACTGGAAAACCCATGGGCGACATGATTCTCGGCGAGGGAGGCAATCGCTCAGTTCGTTCCCTTCGTCGATTTCTCTTGGCCTCGCGACTCCTCGAGTGATGCCGCTCCGTGGGATAATCCTCGTAGTTGTTGTCGCCATAGAGAGATCCCTCATCGAAGCTTTCTTCGAAATAATCCTCGTAGCGTCCCTGGGAGTGACCACGTGACCTGTCCCTTCGATGATCTCTTCCCGGCGGCGGAGCATCGTAGTCGGGCAGCTCGAGATGGTTGCCAAAGCGGGAGGATTGCCTGCCCAGGCTGCCGGCTCTTCTGCCATTATTCTGGCGATGATTCTGGGGAGGAGGTTGTGGAGATCTCTCCCTCTCCCGATCCCTTTGTCGCTGCCTCTGGTGAGCGGATCTCGGCATGGATTGGCTCCTTGGCGCCGGCTGTCTTCTATTATCCGCATGTCTACTGCCTCCAAAGTCATCCAGGGCATATCTATTTGGTATAATGGGAGTCTTCCTCACCACATCCTCGTCCACATCTTCGTAGTGTGAAGAAACGTGCCTGGGATCCACTGACTTGGCTCTGCTTCTCCCGGGGAGCCGAGTGCAGGCGATGCAGCTCCCTGGAAGCTTTCGAGGATTCCTGATTGTGTGGCGATCGCACAGAACGCACACTGGCGGCTCTTTTGGCTGGAGGCTGCATGTCACTGAAGTCCTCAATGGAACCCGCCTCCAAGTGGGAACGAGAATAGCGCTCCCTCTCCACCGTGTGCCTGTCCCTCATCCGATCCCGCTGCCTCTGCCGGCTGCTATAGCGATTGGAGCGGTTCAGCGTCTGGGTTTCGTACTCATCCCCGTAAATTGTGTGCCGCTGGCGAGGATCTCGATCGTAGTGTGAATGCTGCTGCTGCTGCTGGCGGCGATTGCGGCCTCCACTGCTTCGATGGCCGAACTCCCGGTCGTCATAGCCCCTGCCCATGGTGCGTAATTCTGGATCGGAGTAGGCATGACCCATGGAGGGACCCAGTCCAGAGTCATTTCCCGATCTTTGGGTCATCTTCATGGACCGACGGAACGAGGGAGGCGGTTGGGAACGGGCGTGGCGCTGGGATCTCATCGATCTCTGCCGGGATCGGGCATTCCGAGGACGTTTGGCAGTGCGGGTGCACACATAGCAGCAGATTCTCCAGTATAAAAACCTTTTTAAAATTATTTTGAATGTATTAATGTTTAATTAGAATATTTTTATGATTATTTAGAATATTTTAATATTTTTGTCGAAAATTTTTATATTTATTTAAGAACGTATTAAGATTTATTTGGAGTATATAAATATTTATTTTGAAAATGCGTATATTTCATTGGAGTAAATTAATATTTATCTAGAATATTTTTATGACTATATAGAATGTTTTAATATTTTTGTCGAATATTTTAATATTTATTTTTTTTATTTATTTATTATTTATTTAAAATTTATTAATATTTATTTGGAATATATAATTATTTATTTAGAATATACTAATAACTATTTAGAATATATTAAAATGTATTTAGAATATTTTAATGTGTTGAAGAATACTATTAAATTTTATTATACTTATATTTATCTAGAATATTTTAATAATTTTTCTGTTATTTTTATAAAACTTACTAAACAATAATCATACATTTTTCAGCACATCTGATTTCAAACTCACCGGAATGATGTGGCCATGACATCTCCAATATTGGACAGGCAGATGAGCATCAGCGGAATGCCCACAATGGCGTAGAAAATCGTTGTCACCTTGCCCCAATCTGTGCGCGGCGATATGTGGCCATAGCCTGTCCAGAATTTGATGAAGAATATGAAATTACTTTGTATCGTATAAGGGGTAAGTCATGCTTTTGCCTTTAACCTTCAACCTTGTGACCGGAAAGTTCTTGAAATGCTAATGGGGCCAAGACCCGCTAAGGTCTAATCTATCTGTACTTCTTTTTAAACAAGCCAAGCCCATTATCTCTCCCAAAAAAACAAAACAAATGGCAAACAATTGTTAAAATGGTATTTCAAGTCTACCGCTTTTGGCCTTTACGGAAGTGTGCAAATTCATAGATATCGTAGAACCTCTTTGCTAAATTCTAACTGATGGGCGTCGGTCACTAAACCCATTTGTGTGCTAGCTATAAATCCATATCGGGAAATTGTGGAAATGAATAGCAAAAAACTAAGCTCCCATCATCAAAAAGCTAGAGCTAATAAACTACTTTAAAGAAACGGTTTGGGCCCGAATGCCGAAAAGTTAAATACCCTCACAACAAGGTTGATCTTTTTAAACATTACTATTAATATTCTATATTATTATTCTTACATTTTTAAGTTTAAGTCAACCCGATAAAGACATTTAAAAAAGTAGTCCGTACTCCGTAGATGTCAGACTTTTAAAATCATTTAAAACAGTGTCTAAAAGTATGCACTAAAAAATTAGTTTAGGTCCAAAATATACTGTAGCATACTTTTTTACACCTTTATGAGTATTTTTAAAATCCTAGTGATTTTGGTAGCATTCCTGATAGGTAGTGTTTCGATACATATTATAACGAGTTAATTTTAAGTTCTCACTAAATCACTTTAACCCCCTTTTAGGGTATACTAATAATCAGAAATTCCCATCGTTAAAATCTAAATCTAAAACGTCAGAAAAGATAATCACGATCGGTCAGTGGCGTTTGACCTTGCTGTTGTTTTGACCACAGACAATTGGAACCAACCAACTCCACTTTTGGTTTCATTTGACACGCTCCCTCACTCGCCTCCCCTATTTCCATCACCCATCACCACCTAAAATGAACCCATTTTTAGAGGTCACCCACGTGCTGGTTGCTCACCAAACTGTGTCCAAACTGGATCTTTGACCTGTGACTTCTCCACCATTCTGCCCTGCAAAAGGGAGTAAGTGTACTAAGCCAAACTCATGGTGATTTCCAGGAATGGGTTTTTTGTTTTTTTGGGTCGATCCATTAGCAATTACCCAATGATTTATGCGATTTCAACGTGATCAGTGATCACCGAGTGGACAAAATCAACTGGCCGATTCATCCGCTTGCCTCATTGGTTCCTGGGCGGATCGGATCGGTGGTCTGGTGGTTGCGCTTCAGGTGAATCAAGCCTACGATACGTGGGCCCAAGATTTCTGTCTGGCACGATCGTTGTTGATTAATTGGCCAAATCCAAATCCCCACCTGCGGCTGCCCTCGTCGCTTGACTGAGTTTGTGCGTCGTCATCGCCGCCGATGTCTCTTTTATTTTGTATATTTTTTGTTGGCTTTTCGGTTCTCGGGTGCGGTTATATAAGTAGCGCGTGCCGATCGCATATCTCAACTATTCTGTTGCGGGAGCTTGCCGCGTTCAAGCTGAAAATACGGGTCAGTGTGTGAGCAAACCAAACGAGAAGTCCAATCATGCAGAGCTATTGCCTCATCATCGCGGCTTTGTGCCTCCTGGGATTAGTGTCTTCGGAGAAAGACCAAGATCAGTGGGTCTGGCGTTCTTATAATCGCAGGGAGCGTTCTTTTCGGGACATCAGCCGGAGTTCTCCTATAAGGAACTCCTATGATCAGAAGCTGAGGAGGGAACCCACAACTAGGAGACCTCTGCCTGGCGAACCGGAGAACGATGAGATCGAGGACTATGCCGATGTGGAGCCCACAAGATCATCGGATGCTCCCCAAGTGGGCACTCGTCAATTTAATCCCTATGGAGGCCAACCGAATGCCGGGCAGTTCGGAGGAGGAATTGGAGGAGGAGGCTATGGTGGAAATCCTGGAGTGCTAGTGGGACCAGGAGGACCTACTGGAATCATAGGAAGACCGCAGCTGTTCCCCAGTCCCTATCAACCGGGTTATGGTGGTGGCTTTTCGGGAGCTCAGAATGGCATTGGTGGTTATCCCGGAGGATATCCTGGAGCTGGATTTCCCTGGAGCCAACGTAGGAGGGGCTTCAATAACTATCCCACCAATGGACTTGGCCTAAATCAATTCCCCAGCAATGGTCAGTATCCATATGGAACCTATCCAGGTGGTGATCAATTCAGTGGCAATCAATTTGCCGGCATCGGTGGACAACAGTTCCCGGGATTAGGAGGACAATACCCAGGAAGTCAACAGTTTGGAGGACCTCAGTACACCGAGGGCTATGGTCTAGCTGGAGGATTGGGCCTGGGTCAACTGGGAGTTGGTAAGCTGGTGGTATAGGTTATAACGGAGGTGGTTTCCCTCCTCTAGGTGGCTTTGGCTACGATGAGAAATCCCCAGCTGTGGCCGAGGGTAAAAGCGCCAAGAATGTGGCTGCGGCACCCAGAAATGTGAATGATAAGCTCAGTAAGAAGGTCTAAACGAGACTAGTTTAGAGTTACGGAACTGAAAGTATTCCTTTTTAAATCCTAAAAGATCTGCAATCGAAATATAAAACCCTGAATGTATTGTTCTAGTGCTTGAAAAATATCGATATTTTCGATTTTCGACAATGTTGTATCGATCATATTGATTTTGTCAAGGAAAAAAAGAAAAATTTAAAAAATAATTTTACTTTTGATAATCATCGATATTGGAAAACGTCGAGAATATCGATATTTAAGATTTTCGGAAGATAGGAAAATGTTAAAAAATTTTATATTTCCGTAACCATTGATATTGTAAAAACATCGAAAATATCGATAAAGTCGATATTCTTTAAGCTCTATATTGTTTCTCCCTTTACACATTTTCTCCTCCTCAGTTGTAAATATGCCGCTAGTAAATAGTATTTTAGGTTTCTAGTTTAGGTTTTAGCTTAAGCAAATAAAACCCAATGTTTACCCCAGAACAATTACTCACCTATGGTCGTTATCACTATGATGGAGTAGAACAAGGAACCAGCAAAGGTCCACTGGGATTTGCGTATGTCCTCGTCGCCATCCCAGCCATCCGTCTTGATGGCCGTAAGGATCTGCTTTTCAAAGTTGGCCAAATGCTTGCTGACATTGGCCATCCAGTCGCTTTCCCTTAGAACCACGGCATCATCCGATAAAAGCCAGATATTCTCCGTGAGATTAAAGCGTAGATTCTGTATATCACGCTTGACCTGCAGAGGGATTTATGGATTAGTCTCCCCATATAGATTCTCACCCACTCACCTCCAGTTCGTGGGGTCGTTCGAGGTGCTGGAAGAGATAGGCACCGCCCACGCAATAGGAAACGACGAGGGCCACGAGCAGCACATGGGACACAATGCAGGTGAGCACCTTCCACGAGAAGCAGATGGCGGCCACACAGCGTCCGCGTTCCGGCTTCGCTGGCTCCAACATGTGCGCCGGCAGAGACTGGGCCCGCCTACCCGACATGGTCACCCTCCTCTGGTCTCCTTCCCTTGGCTAATTTACCGCTCGGCTGGCTGTAAATTATGAAATGCAAAAGAAACTAAATAAAAGGATGGAACTAAAGACCTGGGAGATCGACATGAGGAATACCCTTGAGCAAAAAAAATACTTTATATTAAATCAATACTCCGAATCAGAATAGCGGCAGAGAGAGTTTGTATTCATGGGTTAACTCATTACCTTTATTATAAAGTTTTAATGTCAGACCAATATTCGGAATTTTAAAGTCAGAAAATATGGTTTATTCTATTTTATAATTATGCCAAGAGCTTATAAATCATTATCGTGATTATGAAGTCTATATTTTAAACCAATATTCCGAATTTTTTAATCATAAAAGATGGCAGCGCAGCGGCAGAGAAAAATTGTAACCATTGAGCTAATACGCCATAACTCCTTATCTTTATCATAAAGTCTGTATTTTAAACCAATATTTCCGACTTTTTAAATCAAAATGCTTTTCCTAAAATTCCTAAATGGCTAAAAGTTCAGATGAAGGCTGCCATAACCATTAAACTAATGCCTTTAAATAAACATCCCTTTTTATCGAGTGCGATTTGTTTTCCCCTGGTAATCTCCAAAAAGGAGCAATAACAGAAAAGCCGAAAGGTAAACCAGACAAAGCTCTATAGCTCTATAGCGCACATGTTTATTTGTCCAAATATTTATTTATTTGGGTTGCTGGGGCAAGGCCGAAGATCCGGGGGGAAGACTCGAGCGAAAGACTCGAGACTCCATGAGACTATTTTGGGTTTACTGCTGCCCAACGGCGGGGGCATTCATCTCATCGTCAAAAATCTCGTGCCACGCCTGTCGAGAACTCTTCGGATTCGGTTTTGGATACTTTTTGCTTATAGACGAATAGACGACGGGCGGACTACATAACATGTCCGAGCAATTATGAACTTCGATTTCACTTGGGCAATTAGCTTTGGTAATTTATGGGCAATCCCATCGGGATTGAGAATGGAATGGGCCTAAATGATGATTACCGATCGCAGATCGCCTTCTGATTCGCACTGAGTGGGGGAAACTTTTCAGTTTTCCAATTTAAATTCCATGCTGTATATTTTCCCCTTCCCAACCGATACGCGATTGGATCCGCACAGAAGAATCGACGCACCGATCCGTACGACCCACAAATGCTAACTGAGGATCGGTTCCACACAGATGGGGACTCTCCACACGGAGATCTCTCGGGAAATCGGTTTATTTTTGGTCTTACGCGAAGTTCTCTTGTTTTCTATGTGGTATATAGTTTTGGAAAAACTTTGATATTCGAATTTTCTCTCGCTTTTCGTTTGTTTTGTATTGTTTGGTTTGCTGAGAGCTTGCATCTCAATTTGTGTTTTGTTTATGCCCGGTTCTCTGTTTTAAGAACTCTTTCAATCAGCTGATACAGGTGGTCCATCGTTTAATCTGATTATTCACTTGATATCTTGTGGGATAATTATAGTTTTATTCGTTTGATTTATGAAAATTTTAATTTGTTTGTGTCAAGTTCTTTGTTTGTTTTTATGCTCTTATCTTCTTGCTTATCAAAAATCGATTAGAGTCAAGTTAATCCCGTGTACTTGAGTACCTACACCTTTGTAACTTAAGATAAGACCTGCAACTGAGACTATTTTTAAACTATTTTATTTTAGCAAAATGTCGATAGCTTTAATCAACATTCAGTTGCCGGAAGGAGCCCTGCAGACCAAAGAGACTCTCGAAATCGACGGGTTGACCCACTCGGAGGCTCTCATCGGTGCCGTATTGCTTCTCCTCCTCCCAGTAGTTTCTGTAGGCCAGAACACGCTGTTCCCACTCCTTGATGAGCTCCGGAATGGAACCGTTCTCACCGCCATACTCCACAGGCAAATACTTTTTGGGGATTTGGTTGTAGAGAGCCTCCCATTTGCTTCCATGGACGTAGAGCTGGGGGTATAAGAGGTCTTGAATTATTTCTGAAATAAGTTTTTATAAACAGAATTTTAGTTACCCTTCCCTGCTGCTTTTTAGACATCATGGGCTTGATCATATTAAAGATGGTCTCAAATCCATTGGGTGTGTTAATAAAATGAATACCCTGAGGACGAAGTGGTAGAGCTTCTTCCTGAAAAACAGTCATCTTCTTGGCAAAAGAGGGAGTCATCTGGAGGAAGTGACCAGTGGTGACATTGGAAAGATCCAAAATGGATATCAGACCATTCACAATAGCCACATCATCTTCATCCAGCATAATCTGCTGCATAAGACCACCAGCTCTATTAACCTCCTGAAAGGTGTATTTACTCGGATCATAAGATGCCATGCGAATCATGGCCAAACGAGGGCCATTGTCGTTTAGAGGACGTGGCAGAATAACTATAGTTCTAAAGGAAAAAGATTAAGTTAGGGTTAAGGCGAGATTAAGTGAGAGCTAGGTTAAAAACTCACCCTAGTTTAAAAATATCCAACAGCTTCTCCACATCCACATTATGACCCAGATAAAACTCGGGGTATTTGGTTCTCAAAGTGTAGAATCTATCGATCTTGGCCTTGGTCCTCTCCAAACTGAATTTGCAGCCTCGGAAAAAGTTCACCAAAAACTGATCATCTGTGCGGGCCTTCAGATGAGGCTGCTGCTTAATCCAATCCCTCAAAGCGGCTATATCATCATCCAACTTTTTGGGCACCTCATTCAGCTTATCGATGGCAGTTTTCTGGAGCTCGGGGCTCAGTGGACGGATGGTCGGCATCTCGTTGGTCTCTCCTAAACGGTCAATGAACGAATGTTGATTTTTTAGCCCAGCATTTGTGCAATTCAAGTTGGAATCGATAAGCTATCGCCTGAAATGTTGATAACCATATAGTAAAGTAGTCGCCAAGAAGTAGAGCTTATCAAAAGCATTTATTATGGGTTTATGGCTTAGATGAGTTAACAGGTATTTTAACCGATTCAGTCGATGACCAACTGGCGAAAAGAGCCATCTAGACCAAAGTGACTTTCTTCGGGTTTTAGATTTGAGGGTTCCTCGCGCAACTTGTCATTGGTTCCAAAATGCTGACAGTCTTGAAAGTAGCTGCGGTATTTAAGGAGTTTTGCTTCCATCTCGGTTGTAATATCCTTCATGGTTCCTTTAGTACCTCCATATTCTATAGGGAGATAGTGCTTGGGGATTCTATCGAAAATGGCCTTGGGATCGGAACTAACTGAAACCTAGAAATATAAGAGTTATAAGGATTGATTATAGAACGATTTAATAGTATCCCTACCCTCTCTTTAATTTTTCCCGGAAACCATCCAAGCAAGGCTTTAAAACCCGTCTCAAATGACTTGGGCACATTGATGAAATGGATTCCCTTTTGACGCGTTGGCATCGCCTCATCCGCATACGCGGAGAATTTGCTTAGAAGTTGAGGTTGAAGGGCAAACAGATTCGCACCCGTCACTCCACTCATATCCATGATCTCCAGGTAACCACTAACCGAGGCATTATCATCCTCCAGCATCATGATCTCGCCGAACATGGAACCCACTCGTATGATATCCTGGAACTTGAACTTGTTGATGTCATAGGAACCCGCTCGTATGATGGTCACAGCTGGTCCAGTATCCTCCTTATCGAGGGGAATGCGCAGAATAACTCTAAAAGGATACAGGATACGGAAAAAATGAGAAGAGTTTTAAGATCTCAAAGGGTTTTATAGCAATTTACCCCATTTGAATAATCTCTAGCACCTGGGGATCATCAGCCAAACGATGTTCGTTGAAAACCTCTGGAATAACCGCTTGCAAACTGTAGAATCGATCGATCTTTTGCTTGGCCTTCTCCAGACTAAATTTGGATCCCCTAAGAAAACTGAGCAGAAACTGATCCTCCAGACAGGCACAGATATGCGGTTGCTTCTGCAGCCATTTCTTCAGGGTGGCTATATCCGATTCCACTCGACTTGGCACCTCATTTAGCTCCTCGATGGCCACCTTTTGCAGAGCCGCCGGTAAAGGTCTTAGGGGATTAGAACTTCCACTCATTTTCGGTAGCGCTATCAGCTGCAGACTAACCCAGAAATATTAAACACTTCACTCCGACAATGCACTTCTAAATGGTCGAGACCATAATAATATTCAAAGCAACAAGCGATAAGTTTCGACTAATCTGACTAGCGATTAGCGGGGCTATTGGAAAAGTTTTAAAGTAGATAGGATAGAATCTAAACATCTATTAGCGGTTTTATACTTTGATACTTACTTTAGCAAAATTTTTAGTTATATTATTATATTTTATTTGAGGAGGGATATGTTGAATAAAGATTGTATGGAGCGATTTCTCAATGTCATGTTAACCCTTCTCTTTTTAAGGTTAATGCTGATTCGGAAAAATATAGTACTTTATTATCGTGTTAGATTTAATCTGGTTAAATATACTTATTTTATATTGATAAATCCATATATCTCCAAATTAACTTTCTCTGACAGACAACTTGACATTGAGAAAATGAATTAAAATTATCGATTAGATCGAAAACTTAATTGCTACACACAAAAAAAGCATCTTCCCGTAAAATTGATATGGCCATGTAAATATCAGGTCATGCAAAACCCATATCGTTTATACATGAAATACTCTTTTCGACCAGGTCAAATTTACCTGGCCACATATCAAATTAAAATTGATCTTAAATAATATAAAGTCGATCTACGTTTCATATCGAATTTTTTTGGGCGTATAAAGAGGTTCCTTTATAGCCCTTTAGCCACCTATGGGTTAATATAGACTCTTTATCTCTAAGCACACACAAGTCCACAAATCGTTATAGATAAAGTTCGTCATGCGTCGGCTGCCGGTTTGCACAAAACAACCCGTATCTCTTTAGTTTAAGAACTTTATTCAAAGAAAATGAATCAATTAGGCTAGACATGAACTACGGAACTAATACTTATCAACTAGATACCCGGTTGAAGCTGCCACCGTAACTAAAACTAGTCTGGTTTGCAGTTATCTCGAGATGTGTTGCATAAGAAACGTGTTTATCGTATAATGGATAGCTTTAGATGTTCTATAAATAGATGTTCTATAAACCTAGGAGTGTGGATTGTGTTTATTGCACAGGAGATTAAGTTCTTTCTGGAGTATCGTGGTTAGTAGAGACCGGAGGGCAGATCCGTGACCTTGGACATGGAACCCTGGGTGTGGGAACGCGATCGCATGGTTGGTTGTCCACCAAAACCCGCGGAGTGATCATGCATCCTCATGGCCAGATTGCTGGTGAAGTATATCTGCTGATTGCTCCTCGACTTTTCCCTTCCAATCGCCGCTTCATTGAGAGCTTCGGGATGAGCTGAGGCGAAGGCGGCCTCCAGTCGCTCCACATTCTTGGTGACCCTCCTCGCCTGCAGGGCAGCCGAGATGTCCGGCTTGGGATACTTCTGCGGGGTGTTCATCCCGGTCATAAAGAAGACCCCATTGAATTGTTGGGCTGGGGGCGTGGGAGGCGGTGGCGCTGGAGCCTTGACCTTCACCGGGTGATGGGGAATCGGAATAACTGGAGCCATATCCTGGGCACTTTTCCTCAAGGCCTGCATCGTGGGATCGTGTTCATCGTGCCGCGCATTCATGATCACATCTAGTAACTCCCGATTTGTGCTGGCATTGTAAGCAGTTGCCGTGGCATTAGCCTCTGGCATATCGGGAGTAGGGGACTCCATTTGATAGGCCGCCGGTTGATCCGTTTCGGGAGCATCGTAGTCCACCTCATCGAAGAAGCTCTGCATGGCGGCCAGGCGCTCGGCGGCCGCAGGATCTCCTGGTTGATGCAGGACCATCCCATAATCCGAACCCTCCTGATCGGAGCAGTCCGTACGGGCAACCAGGTGAGCCAAGGATCGGGATTTCCTGGGAGGCTGTGGTACTATATTAACTGGTACTATATCCTTCTCCACCGAGCGATGGTGTCGCATCTTGGAATGGGTACTGCTGATCTGCTTCTCCGCCTCGCTAACTATATTATCCAGTTCCTCAATCACATCCTCTATGGTGGCCGCATCATCTTCATCCTCCTGCTCCTCCTTTGGCTGCTTTACCACCTTTCGCGACTGCTTCGCCTTGGAGGGCAGGACCAAAATGGGCACAGGACTCAGGGAGGCACCCGTTTCCGAGCTGCTAATCCCCTCATCCTCGTGCTCCGAGCTGCTCTGTTTGTTCTTCTTCGGGGGAGCAACCTGGCGGGGAAGGGCCACTGGCTGGTGATGGCCAGAGGATGGGGAATCCACTGGTTTGAACTTGGACTGCTGCTGCTGCTGGTTGCCCTGCAGGCGGAAGATCTCGCGCTGGAGCTCCGCACAGCGTTCCTGGAGCCGCCGCTCCATGGAGGTCAGCACGGCCTTCTCCTCGTGCAAGATCTGCACTCTCCTTTCGAGGATCACCATCTGGCTGCGCACGCGCTCCGCATCCCTGGCCTGGGTGATCATCTGATCCACATCTATGTGGAGTTCATTGAACCGCTTCACCTCGATCTTCAGGGCATCCAGCCAGGGGGATGAGGAGGAGATGGTCCTGGCCAAAGTGCTGGCATCCAAGCCCGCCTGGAAGAGCTCTGCCTGGATGTACAGACGCTGCTGAATGCTCACCGCGCTCTCAATGAAGGTGTTGAGAAATCTATAGGGGATTATAATTATTTAGTAATATATATTTATTATTTCTGTAGAGGATTCGCCGTACTTGACACCCGCACACTGCAGCTCCCCGGATCCTCCTCCACTATTCAGGATCCCCACCAGCAGGCGAAACCTCACCGGTTCACTGCATCGCAATCGCAACGTGGACATGGCATCCGAAACGGCTGTGTGTCCCGCCGAGGCAATCTTCTGACCACCACTGCCTCCCCCGAAAGGCTGACGATCGCAGGCGGAGGCGAGCAACTGGAGGGCCAGAATGCGAGCTCGGATGCCCTGACCAGTGGCCGAGGAAGCCAGGGGCATGAGACCCACCGGTGTGTTTCCCAAACGGGCTATGGCATCCAGGGATCGCGAACTACAGATGCTGAGACATTGCCTGAAAAAGGATTATGAAAAGGGATTACTCTCTAAAACAATGAGGATTATTAGTGGCTTCCAACTCACAGGCAGGACAGCTCATCCAGCAGAGCTCTTCGTTGATAGCTCTGTGGATTCCTGGTCATGGCCAGGGAACTACTGGCTCCTGGCATCGGAGCTGGGCCATTGCTGGCCTGGGCCATTTGAATGGCGCGCAGGACCTCCAGCAAGTGGCTGATGCCATCCGCAGGAGTGCCCACAAACTCTTGAACGAAGCTATAAGGAAAAATGTTATAAGGAAAGGAAATAGATGGGTTAATCTATGATGATTACCTGGGAAAGGAAACCCTTAAATCAGCCCTCAGCTTGGTGAGCAAATCTGTGATGGAGCCAAACTGACGCAGGGACATCTCTCTATCATTTTCTGGCGGAGCAGGAATGGGAGATCTACAGGGTTAAAAAAGAAAGTATTATTTAGCCTTCTGTATTGCTTAGTTGGATCTCTATTACTTGTACTCCGAGTGTTTGGCTGGCAGGGTGGCCGATCTGGAGGCCTCTTCCTTGGCACTCAAACCCGTGCTCACATCGTAGATGGTCAGCTTCTTGGCCGAACTGCTGGCCTTGATGAACTTCCTCAGCGAGTGCACATAGTCCTCGGGATTGTAGACAGGCGGTCGCTGGTTTTCCTGTTAGTCATATTATTTAAATGATTATTTACGAATTTCGGTTTTTTGTTTTAGTTTTTTAAGTTCAACCGTTTTTGCTACAGTTTCAACCTGCCTTTTTTTAGGCGGCTGTTTTTTTTAGTAGTTAAGGTGGGAGATACATATAAAACTTCCATTTTTTTTATGTTTTTCGCGAATTTTTTAACCAATAAGGGATTGTTCTGGGATTTCGTAACTTGGCATTTTGATTACATTGTTCTTATATAATTTTAACCAATTATTTATTTTATTTTTTATCTTTTAAAATGGCGGCCGTGGAAATTGTTTTGTCAGGTTAGGTTTAAAAATGTTTGTGATCTTTTTAAAAAGGTATTCTACCAATTTAAGAACCAAAAAAAGGAAATTTCTTGTTTTGTATGTATCTTTTCCCTTAAATGATTATTTACGAAATTCGGTTTTTTGTTTAAGATTTCTACATTCAGCCGTTTTTACTACAGTTTCAACCTGCCTTTTTTTAAGGCCACTCTTTTATATATTTGTAAAGATGACTTACCTTGCTGAATACTGGCGCCTGGGGCCAACTCTGCTCAGAGCCGCCTATCTTGTAGGAGGCCAGGGATCCATTGAGACTGCTCGCTCCGCACTTGTTCGTCCCCGAGCTATTGGATCCGTTGGTCTTTTGTGCTGCCACCTGACTACTTTGACCCTGGCCAGCCATTTCGCAGACACTGGGAGCCATCTGGTGTCGCTGCAGTGTCGATGTGTCGCTGCGTTAATTGGAAATGGGAAAACCAATCGGGGTGGAGTCAATTAATGTACGTGCTTGACATGGGAGAACTTGAATTTGCATATATATAGGAGGTATATAAAAAAAAGTGGTCGGTAGCTGGGAGTTTGGGTCGCCACCACGTAACGCACCGGAAAAACAAGCCGTTAAGTTTATTGAACATTTCGAGCCAAGGCTTATCGCCAGTTGGATTTGGAGTTGAAGTTAAGGTGGTTTCTGTGGTCTCGGGACAGGTGCTTTTGCATATATCCGCTGTCAACGACACCCAGATCGCAAAAGAGGTGTCTGTTTGTCTGGCATGTGGGCTGCAGGCCTGTTTCCTAGTCATCTGACAACTAAGCGATCCAATCGAATCTGTGACAGTCGCTAAATTTGTTTTTTTGCCTTCAATGCGTAGATAAAATATAATGAAAATTTGCATTTTAATGTGCTAGAAATAAAGACACTTTCACTGATCATCACTGCAGTTCCCTCTCCCAAAGACCGAGTACCGTTAAACCACAATGACGGGGTTAACGGTTCATATATGGTGGCTATGCTATGCAAATCCCATAGGCCATTGTGTTCGGCTGGTTATGACGTGCCCATCTCAGGTGGGTTACCTCAACTCATAGCAACTCAACTGCGGTATCAATCAGTTCCAATCAGTCACGTACCGCCGATGCTCAGTTATGCCGACGAGTGGGTCTGATTTGATTCTTTCGTCAGGTGTGTGTGGATGAGGCTCTGAGTGTCAGTGCTCCAAGTCGGAGGCTATGGAGTGCTGCCTGATTACTATACAAATGCGGTTCCCACAGCAGCCCAGACAACAACTCTTCGATCAATGTCAGCAGCCATTGGCCGCAGACAGGAGAAACTCAAATCTCAACGGCGGCAGCTGCGAACCGTGTTGAAAGATCACTCAAAACAGAAGGAGGCGGGGTGCGAGCTCTCAAATTTGCATAAATCAATTTGTGAGACAGAAATTGAAAACTGAACTGCTCCACAAAACTGGAATTGATAAGCCGTGAAATGGCACCCCGGGCTAATGGCTTCGAAAAGAGTGCTCTCCATTAGTTGCAATAGATGTCCGAGCGATTTTATTTGGACCACTCAGCCAGGGTCATTAATAGAAAAGTTTTTCATGGTTTTTAATAAAATGTTTAAGGAGGAAAATTAAAGATCTCTAAGAAATCCTAGTGCTCAATTAACTTATTCCTAGTTATTTACTCAAAAATAGATATTTTAGAGTGCTTGGTTTTCAAAGATACTTCTACGGCGCTATAATTCCCAACTGGTTCTAGTTTTTAGTTCTAGATTTTTGAGGCTTAATTAATTATATTAAAGAGGAAAAATAGAAGATATCTAAAAAATCCTAGTGCTCAAATGAGTTATCCCCCTCAAAAAATAAGATTTTGGTCTACTTATTTTTAAAAAATACTTCTACGACTCTATAATTCCCAACTGGTTCTAGTCATCTTTAATGCTTACTACTCCATTTAAAAGTGGTCAATGATTCGGGTTTATATGCAATCGTTTTATTCGTGATCAAAATCAGTTTAGAAGCACTCATCGATGGACGGCAACCAACCGCTGCAGTAGTGCCAGACGGCCCAGGCGGACCATCCCTGCTGACTGAGGACCTTCTGGGCACAACGAACGGAGTTGGTGATGTCATCGCTCAACAGGGCATTGCAACTGAGTCCACACTCGTTGTAGGAGAAGCGACCATCGGCCTGGCACCAGTACAGATCGTTGATCTGGAAGATTCCGTAGTCGTTGGAGCCATCGGAGTTGGCAGGTCCCACCACCCAGGTGCGGTAGTCAGACTCGTGCTGGGCAATGCAGGTCCACTTGTCCAGTTGGTCACGAGGAACTCCCAGGTTGGACATCTCCCTGGCCAGGGAGCAACGGTCCAAGGTGCGTCCTCCCATCGCAGGAGCGGCAATAGCTGCCAGAGCCACCAGAGCAAAGAAAGCCTTCATGTTGAATAGTTAGAAAAAAACTGTCTAAATAAGTGAGCTTCTAGCTTGGGTATTTATGGAAAATCATTCCTCCAACATTCCTACGCCTATCAGCTGATAGTCCCTTCTTGAGTTCTGAAGTTCTGATTTCGAACACTCAAAGATAGAACCATAATTAAAAAGCCACAAGTCTCAAGATTTAAATAATTCATTGAGAGCCAAAACAACTAAAAATAAAACAAAGTATTTTATCAGCAAAATGGGTACATCAAAAGGTTTAATCTCAAATAATACAAATAAACCTTTCTCTAAAAAATGCAGCATAGTTTTAGGCTAGCATATTAAGCGAAACCACCGGGATTTTAACTGATGATAAGTTATTATCAATTACCTTGAATGTCCGGTGTCTACAAAAATATAGTTAATGTTTGGGTTTTTCAGGTTCATTGATCTAGATTGAAAGTTAAACCCCCGGGGCGCATTAAGTTGATAAGAATAAATCAAGTTCAAGAAAAAAGAAAGCGTCAACAATTCGACAAAAAATTTATAAACAAACGCGATAAAAATCAATTGCGAATATGCCAGCATACTTAAGTTGCAATCTATTTCTTATAATTTATTCTTTTATCTTTATAAGTCGAATAGGCAATTTTAATATCGCAGTCACCACTTAGACTATTATTTTACTCTGCCAAGAACAAGGTTCACTTGCCTCCTTTTTTGTAGAGCTTTCAATGTAAGTTAAAACCTTTTCGAATATTTTAAAAGGGTTTTATTATAAAATCAAGATCAAGTCTTTAAAATAATGGTTCGGGTTCACCAAAAGCATTCTTACATTGTTTAAATGCAGGTCCTTGACTGATCGAGAAATATTGTTTGAATAGGATTTTTATGCAAAAAGAACATTATTGAATGTTATATCATCCGAATAGAATTAGATATTTATTAAAATTGCTTATTGCTAAGAAAAATAATTTTAAACCGACTTAATATGCACAGTTGTGCGATTTTTTTTTGAGTTTTTTTTTTACCAGTTATAAATGGGTAAATTGAATAGTTGGAAAGTGTGTAACAGGTAGAAGAAAGTAGAAGTACATATGTGTATTTTGCATCAGGATCACCAGATGAGTCGATCCAGTCGTGTCCGTCTGTTTGTCCGTATTTTTGTCCGTCTGTTTGTCCGTATGAACGCTGAGATCTCGGAAACCATAAAAGCTGGAAGGTTGGGATTTGGCTTGCAAAGCATTTCCGAACTGCCTTTGACAACTTCATATTCAGTGGGCTTAGGAAATAGCTCTGTCCGATTTCAGCGCCACTCAGATCGATGAACTGCCCCGTACAAATTAGTCACATAAATGAAAGATAAAATCTCATTCCATTACAAGCCCACCACTCTTTTAAAATAGTAAAGAATCAGATAAAGTTGTGTAAATGCAATATTTTTGTAATTCGTGGTCAAAATCAGTTTAGAAGCACTCATCGATGGACGGCAACCATCCGCTGCAGTAGTGCCAAACAGCCCAGGCTCCCCATCCCTGCTGACTCAGGACCTTCTGGGCGCAACGCACCGAGTTGGTAATGTCATCGCTCAACAGGGCATTGCAACTCAGGCCACACTCGTTGTAGGAGAAGCGACCATCGGCCTGGCACCAGTAGAGATCGTTGATCTGGAAGATACCGTAGTCGTTGGATCCGTCAGAGTTGGCCGGTCCCACCACCCAGGTGCGGTAGTCAGACTCGTGCTGGGCAATGCAGGTCCACTTGTCCAGCTGGTCACGGGGAACGCCCAGGTCGGACATCTCACGGGCCAGGGAGCAACGATCGAGGGTGCGTCCTCCCATCGCAGGAGCGGCAATAGCTGCCAGAGCCACCAGAGCAAAGAAAGCCTTCATGTTGATTGGTTTGAACAAAACTGTTTGACTTGTTCTAGTTCTGCCCTGGGTATTTATGCAAAATTAGAATACCACCTGTTGGGCTATCAGCCTTTTGGCTTAGAGCACTCAAAGATAGAAATACAATTAGGGTTAACTGATTTGAATATTTCATTGAGGAGCAAAACAACTTTATCAGCGGAACGAGTACATCAGAGGGTTCCATCTCAAAGAATACAAAAGAACTTCTAAGCCCAAAAATGCTGCATAGTTTTAGGCTTTCCGAGGTCACAGAGCTTTCGACTGATAAGACACCATTACTATCACCTTGAAAGTAAGGTGTTAACCATATATTTCGTCATCGTTGAAGTTCATTGAATGCAGGAGAAAGGTAGAGACCTCGGCGCGCCTTCAAACTGATTAGCATAATTGCTGTTATATCAACAATGACGATGAAGTGGCTTAGAAGGGGCCTCCCATTTAGTTTGGGTAGCCCGAAAAACACAAGAGATAGAGCTGTGGAACCGCCCAAGTGGTAATCCAGATGATTAATCATCACATAAACCAGACCGAAAAACCGAAAAGACCGGGGGGCTAATAGCTGCAGTCAAGTGGAGCTGTTTCGCCATTAAACCTGCGATTCCAAAGCTCCAACTTCAAAGTCGGACATTAAACTTGTGGATGGGAATGAATTCGCGTCTGGGGCGCAGAAAAGAAAGAGCATTGCAATTTCCAGACTCGAATACCTCGAATGCCGCACAATGAATAACGTTGAATAATTAGCCCCCACATGCAACCCCACCAACCGAGTTGCGTGAGCAGGGAGACCATCGCACAATACAATGCCTACTATATTAGAGATAAATATTTCGAATAGCTGATGGAAGACTTCAGACTCGAGACAGGTAACTTCAACCGAATGGGTCTCTTACGCACAAAGAGCTGAGATACGATTTTATTCCCATTCAATGCGTAGATTGTCTGATCGAGTGTGAAGAAACTGAAGATACTGCCATATCTGAAAGCTAAACGCTTCCGTATTTATTTTGGGGGGTACGAGTACTTGAATTGCCTCTGTTAAGTAGGGAGATTATTTGTTTTCAAGAGGTAACGTTGTAAACAAAAGAAAGGTTAGCAAAAATAATCTGAAGATAAGTAACTGTTAAATCTGATTGTTTCATTTTATTTTAAGTAATTTCTCAAGATCAATTCAGATCATCAGGTTAAGATAACCCTTACTTATTTCCAAAACAAAAAAATGAAACGTAATTGGATTTCTTAACTGTTTGATCTCATGAAATTTGAAAATCTCGAATATATTTTTTTTGGGGCATTTAGTTTATGGAACATTTAACTTTATGGAAGACTGAATTTAACCGCCGACATTGTATGAGAAAGAGCCACCTTATTTGCCCCTCTAATGATGGGTAAATAATACTGATTGCTCTTTCCAATTAAATAGTTCTACAATGTTGACTCAACTGCGACGACTTTAAAGCTCTTTCTTGGGTATAAATATTTCGAGACTGCAGATCGAATAATCAGTAAATAATTGCAATCAATTGTGAGATCAAGATGAAAGCCTTCCTAGTGATTTTTGCCTTGGCTCTGGCAGCAGTAGCCACCAAAGCCCGAACGATGGATAGATGTTCCCTGGCCAGGGAGATGTCCAATCTGGGGGTTCCCCGGGATCAGCTGGCCAGGTGGACCTGCATTGCCCAGCACGAGAGTTCCTATCGCACAGGAGTCGTGGGTCCAGCCAACTCGAATGGATCCAATGATTATGGCATCTTCCAGATCAACAACAAGTACTGGTGTAAACCTGCAGATGGTCGCTTTTCCTATAACGAGTGTGGATTGAGTTGCAATGCCCTGTTGACCGATAATATCACCAACTCAGTGAGATGCGCCCAAAAGGTTCTGAGACAACAGGGATGGACCGCCTGGTCCACCTGGAAGTACTGCAGCGGAACCCTGCCCTCGATCAATAGTTGCTTCTAAAATCTGAATATATTTCAGTGATTGTGCTAGTCCCAAAAAAAAGTATTTTCTGTATCCGCCCTAATCAAAAAATTCTAAAATTTACTTCCCAATAAACACAAGTGTTTCTATAAACTGCTTACCAAATATTTTAAAAATTATATAAAGTTTCTATGTATGTTCTTCATTTATTTTTCCCAATAATGAAGACTGTTGAAGTTCTATAACTCGAAGTTTCCTTAATAGATAGATAGATAGTTGATGGTTTCTTATTAAATACGGCAATGTAAGATTTTCAGGAGCATTAAAAAGAAATATAAAAAAAGTGGTGGAAAAGTCCTCAGAGAAAATATTTTCTGTTTTGAAAAAACACAGATTAATATTTAATTATAATATGAACTGTAAATTATTTTCCCAAAGAACCTAACTTCCTTTCTAAAGAGCTAGAGACATCATAGCCATTTGTTTTACCATTCGGAAAATGGTATTTAATATAATACGATTTATCTTGAATTTATTGATTTATTTAAAATTTCTTATATTTAAGCCCACATTTTTCCCTCGTGCATTTGACTGGCGATCTCTTTGCAATTGCAAAACTGTCTCCAAATGGAAATAGGAGAGCCTTTTTGGCTCGACGGGCGGCGTCGAAAAGTGAAATTTTATATAATGGCCCCACACATAACAGAGTCATTATGACAGTTGGCCTGGCCAAAGCGGCCTGAAATCTATTAGACATTACTAACTGCCTCACTCTTGGCCAGCAAAAAGCACGCAGCTAGTAAATGGCAAAATGGCTGGTAAACAAGTTAATTTAATTTCCAGGCATAAAACAAATTACGTATGAAAAGTCGCCGTTATCGTGGCGTTTATTTTATCATCATCATGCCTCCGCCAAGATGGTATATATTTTTATATGTCTCATTGAAGACATAAAAACTTAATGTCTCTAGTGGCAAGTGCCAACGGACTTTGGCTTGGATTGAAAACAATTTCGATTCAATTACATCTAAGGCAGAGCGGAGAAGCGAGACATGATGTAGGTCTATGGGATTGCCATTTGCGGCTAATCGCTGGAGATCAACTTTGCCATTTAGAGTTCGTTTAGGCTGGGCAAAAAAAAAGAAATAACAGAGAAAAAGGCAAAGACCAGTACGAGTTATAGAGCCTAGAGCCTAATGTATTAATTTGTAGCGCTATTCTCAAGGGTGTCGGTTGAATGACATTCCTTGAATTGGATTAGAAACGCCATATACCATCTACCTTGGTTTTTCTTTTTATTTTCTCTCTACTTAATCGTTCTGCTGTCCAGACTTTCCCATTCAAAGGCGTGTTCTCCGCGGAAAACACCATTTCGGACAGCTCTTAAAATTAAGAAGAATTAAAAAGATTCCAAGGAAATCTGGGGAAAAGTTTCTCTTCTCTGGTCTCGTGTTAAAGCGAACACCTTGCCAAATTGTTACACAAGCTGGCAAAACACACGAAAAATAAAAAACTACAAAAAAGATATATGGCCAAGATCTGAGCATCTGGAACCCGGTCTTTGGGATCGGATGTGGGTTTACCTCAGTGTTTTTCGCTGACGATGATGCCAGAGATTAAGTCACCGCTGACAGGCAAAAGTTCTCATGGCAGTTCCATTTCTTTTCGCCATTTGCATTTCTGTTTGTTGTTTGTTGTGTGCCATTTGTCTCTGGCCTGAAATTTACCCACACTCACCCCGAATCCGAAAAAGAGAGATAAAACTATTAGGAGAATTTAGCAACCGACAAAGCCGGAGAGAAATGTGGCCACTTTTCAGCTGTCAGAGATCTCTCCAAAGAGATTCGTTAGAGATTTCCCAAGGCTGTCAGCTCCCTTGAGCTACGAGTCGAGATTTCAGATTCGAGATCGCATCGCCCATCGCCGACTTTTGTCATCTTTTTGATTGTCGACCGGATAGTGCACTCAGAGAAATAAATCTTTAAAAAATATTACAAATTAGCCTTATAACATTTTACTTTTCTCAAAGCAAAGAAAGCTTTTCGTTTGTCAAGAAAATATATTTCTTTAAATTTAACATAGTTTGTGCATTTGTATAAGAAATGTGTAAAAAATAATTTCATCTCATAAGGAATAATATTTTTCAGAAACATCGCATTAAATACATTTCATAGAAATAAGAGCTACAAAAATCACTTGGATTTTGAAATATTTTACAAAGGTGTCTAAAAGTATGCAAGAAAATATCTTAAACCTGAAATTTTGATTCCCTTTGATTTTGGTTCCTTTTTTTATTGCACAATTTTAGACACCTTTAAAAAATATATTTCAAAAAACCCTTTTTTAGGTAATTTAAATTCGTGTGAAAATTAGTTTTTAAACATTATTTTCCTGACTGCTACTAATTTTTTCCCCAGTGTACTGCCCGACTGTCATGCTTGACGGCTTCGCGCTTGACTCCAAATTAAAATGGTTTTCTTCAGTGGGTTTTGTTGTTTTTGGGCAAAGATTTTCCACCGCTCATTATAGTTTTCACTGGGACTTTTTCGGCCTGCCCGCCCGAGGTTATGTATCGGCATCAGCGGGCCCCAGCTGTCAAATAATATAATTAGGGTTTATGTTGTCGTTGAAACTATATCGCAGCGGGGTCTTTGAGTCTCTGGAGCTTGCCTTTTGACACAGTTGCGTCGAGAGAAATGATTATAATTTGTGAGCCGAGTTTGTGACGGGTAATTGATGCCGAAAGTGGCTCAAACCGGGGGCCAAAACAACAAGTGTCACTGGGGTTTTACGACGCAGTTGGCCTGCCATTGACAATGGGCAGCTGAAGATCATGTTAAGTTAACCGGGCGGAAAAATAAGTAATACTATAGGATTGTGCAATGTGCAGCCAGGGACTGAGCATCCACAGCAGACTCACCATACTTGGAAATCACAATGTCACATGTCTTCTGGGTAATCAGATCCTGTCCAGCTTTCTAGCAGAACATTCCAGATCACTCAAGCGATCCCCGGCAATCTCGTCCACACACTGTTGACTCCGCTAAACGGGGAAGCCAACTGCGACGAACAGACTTTGACTTCTTCTCTATTTTTTTGTTTTTAGGAGTATATCAAGGAACTCGTGCGCTGATAAAAGTAAACCCCCGTCGGTTTATAGAGATATCCCGTATCGGTCTAAGCGATTTGTATAATTTGAGGCATCGGTTCCATGTGTCCATTTGCCAAGTGGAAAATTGTCTGAGTCTGGAGATATGTCGGCTTGAGGGGCACCATTGATAATTTAATTACGCTGGGTTATCTCAAATGAAAATCACATGAATTGCTAAATTTTGGTTGGTTTTTGGACAGCCCATTTCCAGATTTTCAGACTTTCTAGTATCGGTAAATAAATCTGAGATTTCTAGGGGGTTTTTTAAAGTCCTTTTGCAAATCATTTGCTGATATGTATAATTTTGTAATTATAATAATCCAGATTTCAGACTTTCTACTATCGGTCAATAAATCGAGGATTTTTAGGGGGTTATTGAAAGTTATTTAAGCATCTAATTTCCTATTTACTCTATTATTTTACCCTTAGAATTTTAATTAAAAATAATAAATAACAAAAAATAAATAAAAAAATATAACAATGTTGTTTAATTTTTGTTTTACATTTATTTTAAACTTTCTCCTAACTAAACTTAATATAATTACTAATCATTTGGCATAGAACTTTGTTTCTTGGCTTGCGTATTTTCCATTTATGACCTATTTTATCTTCAAGATTAATCATTTGGATCTTTAGTTAGTACCTCTTCAGAACTTCTACTTATCACCTCTATCACCTTTATGAATCTTTTGGCCATTCAGTAAGCACACCACCAGAAGTTCGCACTTCCTTAAAGATATTCATTAAAATCAGCCACATTTTGTTCTCCAGTAACCCGTTTCCCAAGCTGCCCTTCTCCTCCAATTCCTGCAATCTGTCATCTCCGGCTCCTCAGACCAATTAGATGGGCCACAAACCAAGTGTAAACCAACGTTGGTTGTACTTGGTTATCTGTGGACCATCATAACTTAACGCTACAGTGACTTCGAAGCAATTGTTTTAGCCTGACCCACGCAATGTCGCTCCCGAGGGCTAACCTCAACCTGCGGGGCAATTACTTATGCATTTCCACTCCCGACTTGTGCTAATGTGCTCAGATTATAGGAAACACTCTTTGCCAGGGGTCTTCTATAAGGTAAGCCCCTTCCCTTTCCCCTTAGAGGAAACCAGGAATGGTACGAGTATAATTTTCCGGTCTTTGGTTTCCTGCTTTGTTTTAGCCTGTTCCTCAGACGACGATCAATCCCACAGCACTTTACTTGGTAGAGGGTCTTTGTCTGTGCGTCTCCACTTCCTTTAGACAAACACTCTAAACTCAACGTTCCCGTTCTGAGAAGTCAAGATGCCCAGCCAAAGTACGTTTATCACCCGAGTGGAAGACAGGGGCTACTTGTATAATTTATTGCCCACTGTGCTGGTCAGTGGCTACATTAAGAATTCATTGACCGGTCCAACACAAAGTCATCGGCCTGTGGAAAGGCGAATCGGAATAGGAATCAGAAGTGGAAGGGTAGAGAAGCTGCGGCTCTTTCTTCGATTTTCTCCCATTTCGATTTAGAAAGTGTGTGGAGAAAGAGAAGTAACCAAAGAATCTTGTAACCCATGGAAATTCAAAGAACTGTTAGGTTTTGATAATGAAAAACAAACAAACATAACTTTTAAATTACCTAATATATCAAGACCTAATATCACTTTAATCCAACAGAAACAAGTTAAATCTGGAGATTATATCCATGTTGTAAAAACCCAATTTTTCATGGTCTTAAGAGACTAATTCCCAGAAATCCAAAAGAACATAAAAGATCTTTAAATTAAATCGATAGTTTATTGACAGTCAAGTTGGGATCAAAAGAGAGCTTAGAAGCAGCTGTCGATGGATGGCAACCATCCGCTGCAGTAGTGCCAGGTGGACCAGGCGGACCATCCCTGCTGGCTGAGGACCTTCTGGGCACAACGGACGGAGTGGGTGATGTCGTCTGTGATCAGGGCATTGCAACTGAGTCCACACTCGTTGTAGGAGAAGCGACCGCTGGGAGGAGCACACCAGTAGTAGTTGTT